TATTCTTCTTTATTTATTAATCTCGTGAAAACCATTTTTATACGCCCACATAATGTCGTCGGCCTATCTGTCCGTCCGTAGGTCGGCTTGTGATCACAATAGAGGCTACAGTTTTTAATGAAATTTGGTGTGATCATTTATATTCGTCAGATCTTGGTCATGTTCGAATTTGGCGATTTATTGATGAACGGTTTTTGAGTTATTACCATTGATCTAGGAAAAACGAGTCAAAATTTGTTTGTGAACACAATAGAGATAACAGTTTTTATCTGATTTTAATGAAACTTGGTGTGAAAATGTATATTGATGAGAACTTTGACGATTTTAAAATGAACAGTTTTTGAGTTATTGACCTTGACTTTGGAAAAACGCGTCAAAATTTGTGAACACAATAGAGATTACAGTTTTCATCCGATATAAATGAAATTTGGTGGTTCTTGGTCAAGTTTGGATTTTACGATTTTAGATGAATGTTTTTTAGTTATTGCCCTTGACTTAGAAAAGATAGCTTGCCAGGCAAGGTAATATACGCCCAATGGCAGCTTTTATCTTAAATAAAAAATATTTGGCAGTACAGTAACAATTACCCGTTCTATCTAAACAAAGATTTTTGCCTTCTAGAGTGTTTTGGAGCTAAAAATTGAACGCGTTTTCAAGAACAAGGGCAATAACTCATACAAATTATTTTTTTTTATTTTTTTTATTCTAAATAGGGTTCATCCTTGGGTGATAACAAACACTCACACCAAGTTTCATCAAAATCCGCCACGAATAGCGTCTTCAAGAGTGTTTACGAGCGTTTAAAGAACAAGGGCAATAACTCATACTAAATATTTTTTTATCTGATTTTAATGAAATCTGGTGTTATCATCTATTACAATGAGATCTTGGTCAAGTTTAAATTTGATCATTTTTCAATTTGAGAATTTGAGTTTTTGCCCTTGACTTAATAAAAATGCATCAAAATTTGATGGCAGTTTCTGTTAAAATTTAACGACATTTTGTGTGTTTGATTAAATCAACAATATCTTTTACAAATTAGATTTTGGTATGATTTGACACCGCCTTTGATATACTGAAAATTTATCAGGGAAGTGGGCGTATCTTGCTAGGCAAGCACTTGTTTCTTTTAATGAGAACGCAACAAGATAAGGTGTTAACTCTTTTTTGGATTGTTCACTCTTTTTTGGGTCGATTTCTCGTTTTCTTTTGATAACGATTCTGTAACTTCAGCTTTACTGTTCAACTGAGTTTCATGATATACCATATTCGTTCTTGATATTTGTTTTTGGAAAATATTTTTTTTTTTTTAAATCTGAAAAAAAAAAATAGATAATGATGCAAGTAGAAGAGTCCTATTGTGTGGAAGGAGACTGGGAAAGAAAATCTACACATTTGCAGCTCAGACTTTACAGGTTTTATTTAGAAGTGATAAATCTGTCCACGGACTCGGCTATGCAGCTAATTATTTTATTACACCTTTGGACAATGGTAAGAGTAAGACAATTTGTACATTATCTAGGCCATTAAACAATTTATTCCATTAGTTCGAAGTTTTCTGAAGACGGGGGTCATTTGAGAGGAATTAAATCAATTAATGTGGAAATCCAGGTTTTTGGTTTTTACATTTGAAGTTTATTTATTGTCTTATTCTTATTTTAGATAAGTCTTGCGGCATGGTTTGTGAAAATGGGGCAGAATGCAACAAAAACTTTACAGCAGACAACATACCTATCTGGAGGTGAAACACAGTGATTTTCTTATATTTCTGGTAATGACCAACAACATCATCTATGAACACAAAAGCAAGAAAAGCAGACCCGAAACATACTTACGTTCTTTCTATGTTTAATTTTAGATGCATCTGTCCACCAAATTTCTATGGTGAGCTATGCGAAAAGAAACGTACAACATGTCTAGATTTACACTGTCAGAATAACGGTGAATGTATAGAAAGTGAAGATAATGAAGTTCATTGCCAATGTCACCATGGGTTTACTGGTCATTTCTGTGAAGTAGAGGTACTTTTGGTGAAATATTACTATATTTCACGTCTCAAATCATGTAATTAATGAATTTATAGACTGTGTCTTCGAACACTACATGTTTGTATCACTATTAACAGGGCGAATATCTACTTGCAAATTGTTATCGGGACAATGGACAACCCCCCCTTTCTCAACAGTGAAAGGTTTTATTTGAAAGTACATGTAAACATTAATTCCTTTAAATGCTCAAAATGAATCTCAGGCCATCTGAAACCCGTGTGGAGCTCTGGATAGATTCACGGCCTCAAGGCGGATCGGCTCTTCCGGCCTCTCCTCGCCTTTCATTTTCTCCGACCAATCATCGGGTATTTTCTAGATACACTTGTAGATGGCACAAATTAAAAGACTTACATTGTAGTAAGTGCTCGTTTTATAATTCAATGTTCTATAAAGAAATGTCTCCGATCATCACAATCTTACATAAACCACTACTAAATATTTCAGAGAGTTGACTTATTTAGATTTATCAAGAAACCAGTAAATACGAGTGTTGCTAGAGGTAGTAGTGTTTTATTAGAATGTGGTGTGAATGAACCCAATGTTGATATCATGTGGTAAATATTATTTTAATTCATTTGTTTATTCATTAATTTAGAGTTAGGTAAATAAGATAAGATGTTATCAATTGTACCAACAATCTACTGTTTCTGTTGAAAAAATAGTAAATTTTGTAACACCGATCACGATTTTGAACAGTGTGGTTCGTTGTGTGCTTTGTTCATGATATTGTACGCGTTTCTGATTATATTGACAACCATAATCCTTTAATTAAAAAAATTATTATGATCTCCACGCAGGTTACAGAGAGATCGAATATTGAGCATTGATGACCATACTCATGGAATTAATATTTATCCTGGTGGTGTGCTAGTGATACCAGATATTAAAGAGGAACATGAAGGAGAATATACCTGTGCTGCAAGATCCGGTGATAATTGGATAGAAATTTCGGCTTGGTTATCCTTAGTGGGTCCTTGCCACCTTAGTGAGTAAAACTATCATGAGTATAGGATAAATTAAGTAAGTAATCAAGAACAGAACTGTGCTGTATGGCTATTTATAGGCTAGGAAGTCCACTGAATTTATTACTAATTAAAATACGGGGATTCAACAAAATGAAACAGGAATGTACGCAAAACATAGAGATACCCATTGAATTCATTTCCTTCAATTTCAGGAGTAACAAAGGCACCTAAGAATGTAACAAGAGATGATGGCGATACGGCACTATTTGAATGTCTAGTTCCTGGTGCTGATTCTATAGTGTGGCATAAAGATGGTGACATTGTTTTTCCTGATAACAGAAAAACGGTATTTATACCAGTAGTCATGTAACATGATCGATCTACTTAAAAATCTTTCAGTCAGGCTAATCGCTGGACTATAGCCTTTATAAAGAGAGGCTGGTCTTTTCAGGGTCAACTTTCCGTGAACTTTTCCTCTTGAAGCGCTTTCGGTTTTACGAACTTTGAATCTCAACTTTATAAACAGATAAATATTTCAGACATCGATCTTGTGGCAAAAAACAAATTGCCTGACCAAAGGTTTTCATATCAAATGTCAACAAATACCTTACATTCTATGTTTATGGTTATGGCGTGAGCTTATGACTTGTTATCTTCGTCATCGGAATCTACTAAATCTTTTCTTCCATTCAATGAATGTATTGCAGATTTTGGTCAATAATTATCTGATGATTGAAAATTTGATGGAAACCGATGCTGGAGTTTATACATGTGTTGCTGTTGGACAAAATGGATGTTTTGCTAAACCTTCAGCTCAGCTTATTATTCAAACAACGGGACATAACGAATGTAAGTATGTCTCGGTCAGGAACTCTTGCTACTTTCGGTTAGTTTGGTACAATACTCAGATTTCCTTTGGATTCAAATCATTCATTCGATCCGAGAGATCCAATTTGATACATTGAATACAAGCGACTGTGATCATTTAGATCGACCCAAATCTCGTAGAAATAAAACCATGAGCAATTGATCGCGACTGGTGGCAACTGCAAATTTTCAAACTTAAAATATTTGAGTTATATTAGTTATTACCCTTGTTCTTGAACACCGTTCAATTTTTAGCTCTTAAAGTCTAGAAAGCACAATTCATGCCGGATTTTGGCGAAACTTGGTGTGAGTGTTAGTAATCACCCAATGTTGAACCCAATTGAAAATTAGAAGAATCGAAAAATATTTAGTATGAGTTATTGCCCTTGTTCTTGAAAAAGCTTTCAATCTCTTAAACACTCGAGATGGCACAATTCTTGCGGGAAATTGACAAAACTTGGTAATATTGTTCAAAATTACCCCAAAAAGTTCAAAAGAAGTGTATGATTGAAGGTTGAATATTTCATACTGGTGATTGTTACTGTACTGCTAAAAATCTTTGTTCAAAATCAAAGCTCATGAATATTGCTGATCAAAATTTGATATTGCTGTGAATTTCCAGAAAGTGTTTTTACTTCATTATTTGCGTCTGGGTCTAACTTGGTTTCACGATATTGCTGCTGTACGGACATTTCTTTTGTCAGCCTTATTGGAAGAATTGTACCGCCGAAAATTCAACATTATACTATTAGTATACTAATTTTACTATTATTTCAGTTTGTGGTCGACCAATAGTTAGTGCATCGACTGATAAAAAATTTAGAATTGCCAGTGGTCGTGAAGCTGTAGATGGTTCAGCACCTTGGCATGTCATAATATGGGAATCAGTTCATGTGAGTAATGTTTGCACGTTCGGATAACGTCTTATTTCAGTGCTTAGTGCTTGGGTACTTAGTTGTTAAGCAATATGCGCATTTGTCCATTCAACATTATACATGGGGAAGAAACAAAGTTACCTGGTTCAGTAGTAAGTAATCTTCCATAGAGCACGTACTTGTCATGTAAAGATGTAAAAAAATCTTGTCTATTTAACACATTTTAAACTTATATTACAATTCACATGGTATTGTCAGGATATTTGTTTAATTTTATAAAGTTTTATTTACAGGGACTGGCTTATTGTGGTGGATCTATAGTCAATGAAAGATGGGTTTTAACAGCCGCTCATTGTGTTACACAATTTGAAAAATATTTTGAATATAAATTCAATAAATCATTAATTGAGATGTTTATAGGAACCCGACATTGTAAAGGACGAGGGGGAATTTCTAGAAAAATTAAGGATTACATCATCTACCCAACCTTTAATGGTACAGACTTTAATAACGATCTGGCATTGTTTGAACTTGATGAACCTGTCACATTTGGAGATTTGGTAATGCCTATATGTTTAGAACGGGAAGCTTTTACCAGTGAACTACTGAAAAGTGGTAAAGCCGGGATAGTAACTGGATGTGGAAATAGATATGAAAGAGGTCGACCACCAACTTACCTTCATGAAGTAAGCATTCCCTATGTACCAAGAGAACTATGTACCGAATCTGCTAAGGCTGTCAATGCTTCCTTCTCTGATTATATGATTTGTGCAGGTTATGCTAGAAGTATGCAAGGTGATGCTTGTACCGGTGATAGTGGAGGGCCATATTCTATGAAGTTTAATGGACGTTGGATTCTGGTTGGTATCGTATCTTGGGGTGTAGGATGTGACCGAGAAAATCAGTATGGCTATTACACTCACATCTCTAAATATTATGATTGGATCATGTCCATTACAACAAATCATCAAAGGGTATAGTTGGTATTATTTACCTGCATTTTAAATTCTCTTTAACAATTATTTGTTCATAAGATCATATTTTGATGATTCAATGACATGGTTTTGAATCAGATTTGATTCCAAATATTAAGAAATTATAATTACCTGGCTCTGGAGGTTAGATGGCTTTGTATGATTTCGTAGACGATAACAAGTTTCATTTTGAAATGATTGATTTCAGAGTTAAAGAGTTATAATGAAAGATAATTATTTTTATTTAATATATTGATTATTTCTAATGTACATTATCTTGTTCTGATTTTAATAAAGTACTTTATATTTAGTTTATCTTAATAAGGAAGCAGCATAATATATACATACATCGACTCCAAAATTCTTTTCAGATTATTTTCATTGCGTAGTACGAAACATAGTTGGGATGATTTTAGAATTTACCTTAAAAATACACCAAAGGAGCACTGTATTTTAAAATTCGCTGTCTAATGTCATGTAGATAATATATGTCATTGTTTTAATCCAAAACTAATTTCGGATTTATTTAAGTCTAGCATTGGCTTTATCTGTGTCTAGGGAGCTTTTTTAGTCTGATTTATCCCAGTCTAACGTTTGATTTATCTCAGTCTAACATTGATTTTTTCTTGTCTAACGTTTGATTTATTCCAGTCTAACATTGATTTATCCCAGTATAGCATTGATTTTTTCTTGTCTAACGTTGATTTATCCCAGTCTAACATTGATTTATCCCAGTCTAACGTTGATTTATCCCAGAGTAAGGTTTGATATATCAGTTTAACGTTTCTGTCTAGCATTGGATATATACATATATACCCGCCTAGATTTTGATTATACCAACAGAGCAGTCTGGCTATGTAGCCTTATATTACCACGATATTTCGATTTTCCTATTGTTCCATGTATGTTTTCAGTCAAAAATCGTTATTGACTTCTTTACGAATGGGGATATCATAAGTAAGACAGACCAGAAGTAAAACATCCGTTTCATTTATTCAATAGCAGCCTTTACGGCAGCTTCCGTAACGCTGAATGGAGCGAATCAGCGTGTCTTGTGGAGAGAGGCTTATAACTTTGACAACGTTACCACTGGTTTGCAAAGTGTTGGTATGGCGATAGCTCTACAGGCCTTGGGGTATCATATACTTATTTGTTGCCATTAAATACCCTGATAAGTTGCAAAAGTTTAATTTCATTGTAATTCATGATGCCCTGTGCGACTGGGTCTTCAATTCGACATTTATTCCGGAGAGCCCACATAGCCAATATTGTATTATGCGGTATACAGAGATTTATCGCCATGGATCGAACTTATCGATTTGAAGTTAATAGGCTTTATTCAACTACAGCAATTCATTTACTTGAAGAATGCAGACGCAGCGTGGATAACTTGCAAAGCAACTTTTTACCATTTCATTAAATAAAAGACTAGTAAGATATGTTGACTGCACTTTTCGTATTTATGATTTTCGTAAAATCGCAAGCAATACAATTTGCAAACTTCACGTTAACGAAAGTTTATCCAACAGATAGTGAAGAATCAAGGTTTTTGAAAGAAAAAGTTGCTGTTAATAAGATGATTTGTGCCAGTCAGTGTTCAGATGAAGTGGAATGTCAGAAACTGTTATTCTGTGCATCTGATAATTTGTGCAGGATGTATAAAGATGGTACAAACTGTATTTTACCCAAATCTTCGCTGTCAAATTGTGTTTGTTTTAAAAAGGTAAGACAATCAATTTTCAGTGCGTGTTTGCTTTGACTAAAGTATTATTGCCGCAGCTCTTGTCTATCTCACACAAGAGTGTGAGGGCCAGTATACCATTAGAGATTAGGGTGATAGAAAGTAACAAGTTACTATTCATTAAAAGGCACTGGCACAAGGTTAAATGTAGACCTAGTAAAATAAAAGTTAATGATTCCGGTATATATTCTTCTTATATCTATCCAAACAATTCAGTGTAAAGTATAAAGGTAGCAGATACAAATATTTTATCAAATACATAGAAATTTTTTTATATCTTGATTGAAATGACCAGGAAAAATTGTGAATAATGGCATTTTCTAGATAAAATAAAACAAAAGACAGACAATTAGTCAAAACAATTTCGAATTATCAGTGGGTATCCGTTGGTTTAAAAAATACATTAATATCAGGCTTCCCAGTTTCTGTGAAATCCGATCCTTTAAATATTGTAGATCACTTTTATTGACTGTTAATTTGATTGAGGGGTTGGTGTATTACCAAATCAAAAAAAAGTGTCATCTAGAAATCGTACTTAGAAAAAGGGTTTAAAGGGAGATATCAAATAAGTTTCGCAGAGACAAAACGTTAAACATCTATACATCAAAGTGTTATAATTAACTTATGATTGGATGTCCCCAAAAGCAAAGGCAAACGTTATCCTTAATAAAGGCGAATTATTGTCTCAATTGTCTCAATAATTGCTACAGTCTATGAATAACAGCCAAATCTTTCTAATCCCCCAATTAGCTATTTGAAAAGATAATCCACATATATTTATAAGCTGCCTATGTAGATAAATTGCTAGTTCTTCTTTGTTTAAATTTATACTTTTAATATCTAATGACAATAATTTTTATCTTCTTCAATTTTAAGCGCCTGTCACAGGAAACTTTATATTAGTATCCTCTAAAATTTATTGTTAACATTTATTATAAATACCAGAAATTGTACTTCTCATGTTGTCTTCATTTGGTTAGCTACTGAGCAGTATCTGGTACATCCGATACTGTAGAGACGTTATAACTATTACTTACTGTAATGGTTAAAGAACCACTCGAACTGTTTTCAAGGTGGCGTCTTCATGGAAGGAATATTACCCTGAACCCTTGTAACTTCACGACATATTTTTACTATCGTCGGTTACTATTAGCCTGTTTTTAATAATTATTAGAATGAAGATGAATACATTTTTATAAATCTCTTTTGATGGCATCCTTTTCATACGAGATTAGAGAAGGAATTAAAAAAACAATGATCAGAAAGCAGTATTTACATTAAAGCTTATATGCTATGACGATGGGACTTTAGGGCTTCAAAGGATTACGTCATGAGAGGTTGATAATATTTTGTATTATAGGAGATCAGGTGCAATGGTGCTGGTAATTGTATTTGTCCCTGGGGACAATACGGATTGAATTGTAAAGAATATATTAAAGGTAAATGTTGCTCTTTTAAACCCTAGAGTAAAAGAGAGGCCCCTTGAAACCATTGGATTTCATTTTAGTACAACAAAAAACTGTAGGCGATGGGCGTCGCTTTATTGTAATATACATAATTTGTTATTTAATAAATCCAGACCACGAAAAGACATACCAAACTAAAAGCCTGATTTTGTGACTAGATCACGAACTTAGTTGACGCCAATGTAAAATTTGTTTTAAGCTGCGATGACATGTGTAGGCCTACGCAAACGCAATCTCAAACGCAAACACAATAAAGAACGGACAAGAGCAAATCCTATCCAAATCCTTATATAGCAAATCCAATTTTCTGCTTACATGTGTCCTCAATCTCAAACACAACAAATCCGTAATCGCAACGGATGGCTCAGTGAACGATTTTTTGCTTGGCGGACAGCTAGCAGACTTCCAGAATGCACAAAACTATTTCTTTTTTACTGTTGATTGATAGAACTGACTTCTTTTTGACAGATTGCAAGGATGGTATAGATAGAGGAATTTCATCTTCAAGTACCATTCTTGTCGCCATCAAACCTTCGCCAACATTGGAACCGTTCGATACAGTCTGTGTTATGAATAATCAAGGATGGACTACAATATTAGACAGACTGTCATCCAGTAACAGAATAAACTTTAACAGAACGCTGGCAGACTATAAAGAAGGTTTCGGAGATAATCAAGTCATGCGATGGTTAGGTTTTATAAGGATACATCAATTACTGTCTGTTACTGCCAATTATTTTAGATTAATGGTATTGATAGTGTCAAGTAATGGGTCTGCTTGTTATTCTTACTATAACAACTTCGATATTGGACCAGCACCAAACTATATATTATCTGGAAATTACCTACATGGTTATTCCAAATGTGGTGACTCGCTCGTAGGTCTGATTGGGAAGTCGTTCTCTACAGCAGATAGAGATGTAACAGGAAAAGGCTGTAGTACACTATTTGGAGGTGGGTGGTGGTATGATGCGGCAAATGGATGCTCCGATACTAAAGGTGTACTAACTGCGATGCCTGAACCATTTTGGAAGAACGACTTAAATGCAGATATTCCCAAAAGAATAAGTATGAAGATACTTCGATTATAAAAGAAATTATATTTAAATCACAAAACCCTGAAACTCTTTTGGGGTTAAAGTTCACATTATACTTTTTAATATAGTGATTGCTAGTTTATGTTTTACATGCTGCACTGTTTATTATGTGTTAAAACAATTTTCATTATAGTTAGGCCGGCTTGTTTTCATCACTCAAATATGATATGATAATCTTATTTTAACTATGTGAGTGCATCAACTCTTTGTCCATCAGTTTCGCTTCGATCTGCTTAAGATTAAACGAGACAAGCACCATTGAACATTAGTCAGTAAAGGTATCCTAGATGTCAAGCACGGTATACGCACATGAGTTTTTTTTTATAAATGTCAAGAAAATAGGCCTTTGAAAAGATCTCTTACCTCCATTATTGTAAATGACTTTCAATGAAACTGCAACCTTTCACAATCGTTTGAAAACGCATGTCGTTCTTCTCAGAAGATGCAATTGGAAATCGGCCAGTACCAGCAAATCGAGATGAGATGGTAACTAATACCAGGTAATGCCAAGGAATACCAGGAGATTCAGGACGCAAAGAGAATACCAGGAGTTACCACGGGATATAAGTGGAGAGTACAGTATGGCCTTCACGCAGATAAAAAATAGCTTGCGAGGCAAGGTAACAAACGCCCACTGGCAGCTGGCAGAAATGATAAAACAGACTTTAGTGACTAAAGAACGAATTTTCTCACATAGAAGAAATTTTATTAGTTTGAATTCAATTACATATATATATGCCAGCTATTTATGCTGAGTAATTCTACAATTTTTTTTTTAAATCATTACAATAACCCAAATACAACAACTAATTCAATCACACATCTCTAATCAAGGCCAAAAAAATATTGACACGTGTTTCCTAAGTCAACTATAAAACCGTTCATTGAAAAATCACCAAGTTCAAACTTGTCCATGATCTCATCAATATAAATAATCACACGAAATTTCATTAAAATCAGTTGAAAACTGTAGTCCCTATTGTGTTCACAATAAATTTTGACGCCTTTTTTACCTAAGCCAAGGGCACTTACTCTAGCTCAAGTTAGAACTTGTCCGAGATCTTATCAATTCCAATGATCACACCAAATTTCAACAGAATCGGTTGAAAACTGTAGCTTCAATCCTGCTCACAAACTATTTTTAACAAATTCCGACGCGTTAATCTTAAGCATCACACCAAGTTTTATCAAAATCAGATGATAGTCTCTATAGTGCTCACAAGAAATGTTGACGGACGGACCGACGGACAGGGGCGACGAAATCATAATAATCCCAAACCTACCAATATCCAGCAAGTCAATTTCTTGGCCTGTGAACGATCATTCAGCAAAACTTCAGTTCTCTTGGTTGCTTAGCATAAAAGCAAAGTGGCCTTTGTGGCGATGAAGGCGCACATTTTACAATTACTTTTTTTGATATGATTGCTGATTTCAGTTCATTGGTTAAACTAACAAAATTCAGGGAATTCACCAAAATGGAACCCGATCTGGAACTTTAAGCTATTTGCTGTACATGTGTAGGTTTGAATAAAATTTTCATTTTGGTTACTCCGTAGATAATATATTATTAGGGAAATTATTTAATAGTAGATGATGCCACGGGACATTAATGGAACCAGGGAATCAATATAGAACGATACTAGCCTAAAGAATATAATTTTTAATAAAATGATCAAATAAAACACCATTTCTAATATCTTCTTATTTTGATTGATGTAAAATTGCAAAATCCAAAGAAATTTGCACATAACAACGATTATTTGTTTGATTAGACAGTTATAAGTTATAAAAGATAGCTATAAACATTATTAGTTGACTTGAAATATCAGTAATGTAATGTTCGATGATATTTAAAGGTATAAAGTTGATAAGTTGATCGTAATAATGCAGGGTAAAAAACACATAGCTAAAATATGATGATACATCCTATACAGCAATCTGTCAAGAAAATTACTTATAGGAATAAAAACTACAGTCGAAGTTCTGCCTAACATTCATCAGAGTACAATCTTCAAATACAGATTTAACTATTCCATATGAAACTCTTTGTTCATCTTACACTGTAAGGAAAGCAGCCCTCAGATAAATGTTTGATGACGTGTCGTTTTTCATACGTAATTTCGTTCATTTCCTTTCTGGCTGAATATATAGCTTCATGTACATTATTTCTTTGTGCTTTTAGTTCTAAAACAAAATAGGTCATCTGAGCAAAAACACATTGGAATGTAAGAGTGATTATTAATGCAATTGATGCAAGTGATTAAAAATGTCAATTGTTATTTTTTAAATACATTATGTAATTCATTTTACTGAGTCATAATCCTGAGCCTTAAATTCGTCGGAAAATTGTGTTTCCAGGCGTCCAATGGGCGTCCTCGGCAGCAATAAAGATAGCAATAACTTTATGGGGATCACCAATGTAATACGTAACAATTCACAAAGTTTTCCAGACTACAAAACTGCCCCCCTTGATTGGACGTTTGCAACCCCAGAAGTACTTGGCTGGCTACGGACCTGAACATATCACAACATACCTGCTTGATTCACACAGTAATAAAACAAAATCCACGCACTACCAGAAAATAGTTCTTTAGGTAACGGGAATTCATGTTGAATAAACAACAGATGAGATAAAAATAAATACATGACTCTATATACACACTGAAAATAAGAGTAAAAAAAACATGAGATAAAATGAGTACATGAATATTTGATCTTTCTATTATACCTATCTATATTTTTACAAAGCTAAACTTGTGTTGATTCTCTTGTATTACCTTCTCCTCCAGAATAGTTAGAGGAGGCAAAATGAGAAAATACACGAACATTCCTACCTGAAACCAGTTACCGATGGTAACACAACGAGGTGATGGACATAACTGGATACTTTGATATTGTTCTTCATTTTCAAAACCACCATAAACAACAGTACAAATAGCTAGAAACTCATTTTCTGTGATATTTAGATTTCTTCCCCAATTTAACAATAAAAAATATCGCAACAATTGAAATTTAAAACCACCTTTTCTACCATATTTATCTGTCCATATTGTTTCAATATTTCCTGTAATACAATATATAAATGCTGTCTATAGGACATAATATTGGAAATTACAATATCGTTATCAAGATCAAGATCAAGATCTAAAACAAGGATGTTTGTCAAAATCAAATCATAGCTTAATGAAAGCATTTGCAGTGAGAGATATCAGCTTTGATCAAATGAATAATGATTTTAAATACAGGTCAATCTGAAAACTTCAAGTACCCCAGCCATATCGTGTAGGTTTTGATTTGAATGAATTATGTGCGATTTTAGGAGAATAATCATCAATCAAGAACAAATAGGTCGTAAGGTAATAATTTGTACCTTGAATGTAAAATGTCTCACAATTGAAGAAATCTCCTACAGACACAATAAACATAGTTTGTCAGGCAATGTAATATACGCCCACTGGCAGCTTTGATTTTGAATGGAAATATATGGCAGTACAGTAACAATCACCTCTTTTAAATATTCAAAGTTCAGTCACACACTTTTGAATTTTGAGGTGATACTGAATAATATTACCGAGTTTTGAGATATTTTTTCTGATTTTCAATAGTGTTCATCTTCAGGTGATAACAAACACCCACACCGTCAAAATCCGTCAAACATTGTGCCTTCTGGGATGTTTACGAGAAATTATGGACGGACGCGACATGGGTGACGCCCCAATTTCATGTGGGCGTATAAAACATTGTCGTTTTATTAACCTAGTAAAAATCTTACCCATTTCTTGGTGGGTTACAATGTAATGAAAATGTCGTAAATTATCAAAGTGTTTATTTGGTATAATTTGATTTATTCTGGGTAGGTTTGGATCCTGTATAGCATGCACCTACAAAATCAGGTGAAAAAATTTTAATAGTGGGAACTACAATATTTTAAAAAAAAATAAACTATACCACTGTTTTACATAACACATATTCCAATTTCTCAGCCAGATGTCTGTTGGTTTCGCAATTCCACTATAAATATAAGATGAAGCAAATGCAATGGCCCTTAGATACGCTTCTATCTATCTATCTATCTATCTATCTATTCCTATAACATAAGATTTTTTACCCTTCAAGGTGGAAAATAAAGCTATCAATAAATTACCTGATATGATTTAAGTTTTTCATAAGGTGTACGGCCAAACTCTGTTACAGTCTGTATATGTTTTGGCAGAATCATGTAATAAACACAGGCACGTAGTTGTTGAAGAGCTATCTCTGCACATGGATGACCGTGTTGTGTGTCTTCTAGAATCAAACGGCGCCAATACATATCACAATGCATTGACATTAGCTGAGTAGGGTAAACACCATCTTGAATACCTTTCTCAAGTAACTGTGTAAAATAGCCTTTATGAGCTGTACCATGATGTACAGATCTCAGATTATAGAAGTTTCTACTGTGTTCCACGGCTGATATGAAAGCATGGTTACATACCTACAAAAAATCACCATTGAAATAATTGAGATTTTTGAAAAGTTTCTAGTGCTAGTCTGTTAAATATATGATTGTTAACTGTTGTCTATAGTGATTTACTGTGTAGTCAATGGGAGGTAATAACACGCTATAACAACTCATAATGTATAGTACAATTAGTTCTGTAATATATGAATGTGTTTCATCCACACTGCATATTATAAATGTGATATTATAAATGTGATATTATAATTATAAATGTGATATTATAAATGTGATATTATAATGTGGTGATATTATGATGTGGTAACAATGTTCATTAAGCTAGTGAATAAATAGGCTGAACTGATAAAAGCTTTATTCAATAACTACAATGACTTTAACAGGATCTCAAGAGACTTAAAGAAAAGCTATGTATGCATACAATACAAATGTCACCATAATTTCAATTTCAAAATACGGCACATGAGAAGATGACTTGTGTAAACTATCTACAAATATTACCATTTCATGTGCAAGTTGTGGAATGTTTTCTACTCTTTTGTATCTTCTTATAACACCAGCATAATCCTCAATACAATGACAATTCAATTTTCTAAATAAACCTTTTTCTAAACATGGTCCTGTATAATCATTGCCAGCTATAATTCCCATTTCTACTAAATCTTCAGATGTAGCAAACTGGAATGGAAAGTTAGTAGCAAAAGAGTTATCTCCCAGCCATGATTTAATATCAGTCATCATTCCGAATCCTGTGTCCAGCATTCCAAAAGCATTATTACTATTATCATTTATATAAGGTTATCTCAAGAAATGCCAAGATAATCTCTATACTTTAAAATACTGGTAGATTAATATCATATTCATCAATCAAATTCTCAATAAATAGTAGCATACTTACATTAAGTCTAGATACAACTTTTCTGTTTTGTATTACACCACATATTATAGAAGATGGTATAAAACTATCATTTTCTGTAAACTGTAAATTTTTATTCATATCAAAAAAATTATTAGGTATTAAATAACTGTGTTTAAATACTACAAAATCAGAATCACTGCTTAATATAGCATACACATTTGGACGCATTAAAAAATCTTTGGCTATCACAGCATCTGCTTCACCATTTGATATTTGAACAATTTCAAACCCACATGATTTTATGGAAGCCATAACTTGAATATCAGAAAGAACTGGACGTACACATCTGTCCATGTCAAAATTAGAAATATCTACATCACCACAACACACATTTAAGGAATCATTGAGAGAATCTACATCTCGACAGTGCCTACGTCTCCATACTTCCATTTTCTGGCGTTTTTCTTCTGGGTTAGTTCCTTGACCTCCATCTATATAAAATCTCAATTTGATATTACAGTTTTTTAATTTCGTCAACATATTACATATCTGTTTATCTAAACTGACATATTCAGCTCCCATTAAACACAGATAGCTATTGTTAGCCTGTACACTTAATTCCTTCACAAATTTACAACGAAAATAATTTACAAAATTATAATAGTCTACCAGGATCTCTATTCCATCATGATGTTGTTGAGCTATCTGAACTAAATCAACAGTTTCATAACAATGATTCTCTTCGGTAAGACAGTAAGTTAATAATCTTCTAATACCCATCTCAAACTTATATTCTGTCTTCACTAAAAATATAGTTAAAAAAAATTCAAATGTAAGGTTTTATATTGATGATAATCCTGTAACGTTGATGAAATTTTAAGCTCTGTGGGACCCGCTAGAAATGGCAATTATTTTAATCTTTAGATCATTAAGATATGCAGAAATAGCATTTCACAAATCCAACTTTTGTCTAGGTCAAATAAAAAGTGTTTTGGTTATCCAAATAAGCAAAGTACATACATTATTCACTATAAATTATATTATTGATATTTTGACTTTTCATCTGCATAAATTGCCTATTGAAATTTCTAAACGTTCGTATTAAGCATCAACTTTAGATCACCACCTATCAATTAAGACATTTTTCATATATAATTTAAATATATTGTGTCCACTCTCGGGAATAAGTGACACCATGCCTAAAATCCAATCAACATATCGAACGCATACAATAGAAACAATGAACTCAATTTTACATTATGTTTGGCCAGATCTCTATGCATGTAAATAACGAATCCTGTTAGATTTGAACAAATCCAAATTGCAAATAGTGTAAGCCAAAGCATTCTTCTTGCATCTTTTAGAAAATAAATATGTACAAGTCTATCGTAATCTCGTTATGATAGTGTGAGTAAACTGTCTGGTTAATCCAATATTTCAGACTGTGTTCGAAAAGGTTAAGAAAATGATTCGAATGAACTGGAAAACACCTTGTTTTGAACCGTTGCTGATAAATATGAAATCGTAACAAGTTAAAAGCGGGTGTTAGTACTTGGGTTTTTTTTTTATTACAGTGGTGTAACCTATTTTCGTGCATATAAGGATTCAACACCGAATTTCAAAGTTAAAAAAACAATTTTTTTTTTATGTCTTAGATGTTTCCTCAGATATTCTACAAAATAATTAAAATTGGTTTGTTTCGATTTTCTTTATGAATCCTTCACTTTGACCCATATTTCATGAGCAACCAACTCGGCAAAGGCGGCAGAATGCGTCACCTATTTTCGTGTACAATGTTTGACCTATAAATAATTCGAGAAAAACACGTTGTATGGATACCGGGTGGTGTAATTTACTTTTCTTAGTATTTATCTTTAATATCAATTCATTATAACTAGTGACAATTCCTTCACAGAACCACGATTTAAAAGAAAAAAATAGTGACTGACAAAATAAGATACGTAGCGTGATCTATTGCTAAAAGTCACTGAAACAACATATATGGCCCACTTTGTGTTCCATAAAAATTTTCTCCTGACACGGAATCCGCTAGTTGATCTTCATACTTTGGACTACATTCTAGCAGACGACACTTGGAATTCCGATTACCGCTTGGGATTATAAGGAAATTAAAAAATAGTGACGTTTGGTAATAACTGAAATCCGCCATTTTGTATTTGTCAAAGTATATATTAATACATTTTACCTTGCTTGAAACTACTGAATTCATTCTACTAGCTGATATTGCACCGAAAACCCATGTTTATCAAAACAAACAAAGGTCACGCGAGGTCGCACATGTAAATTATTAATCCTTTCCAGAAATGCACGAAAAATAGGTTAGCACGAAATTAGGTTAATTGACTGTACTATTTTATTAACAGAACAATAATTAAATGACAAAATGCCAATTATTTCATGAACTCAATTCGATTCATGTCCCATGAGATAACCATTTATAAAAACTATATAAAAAAAAACATTATAAAAGGGGGGGGGGGGGGTTCTGTTATTATCTGTAATAAATCATTTACTAAGTTTTTAAGTTGGTATCTGTAGTAAATCTTTAAACAAGTTTTTTTTAAAAATTGATATCTATAATAAATTTTTACCAAGTTTTATAATGACTATCTGTAGAAAATAATTGATTAAAACGTATAGTTGATATGTGTAGGCCTAGTAATTTATTTACTTAGCTGTAAAATTGTTATCTGCAGTAAATCATTGACTAAAAAGTATAAATTAGAGGCCGAAAGATACCTTACCAAGGATTGAAAACACCGTATATAAAAAAAAACCACAATATTAATGAGGGATTGAAATGTTTTAAACAGATTGTCAACGAAACAACCACAACAAGACAAGTGTCAAACGTATAGCTTCCGGTTAGGCGTCACAATGGTAAACCAATAAAAGTCCAATATTATTCACTTCACTAGTGTGTTTGACCACCAAGAGTTTCAATCCAGGCGAAGACTCCCCGGCGCACAAAAAAGTTCATAATCTGATCAAGTCACGGGGATAGGTCACCATTCTTGTCGATTGACTGAAGGGCTTTGTCGCTGACGAACACGACTATCCATGATACCCCACAGTTTTTCTATGTAGCGCCGTCCGTTTACTCCTTTTGCCTCCCATCATCTCTGAACAAACAGAACTGACTTTCATCACTGAAGACGAGAGTCAACCAGTCTAGTCGGTGCCATCATCATACCTTGTTGGCCAATCCTAATCTCAGAAGGCGCTGTTGAGCTGCCAATGTGCGGCCTTGTATAAGCCTCATTCCTTGACTTTGGAGCTGTCTGGACTTGGTCTGTCGAGTGGCCCCGTGTCCTTACGAACCAGTTCGCTGATGACGTCACTGTAAGAAAGAAGTTTCAAGATGCACAAAAACAGGTCACCACGTGGTGTGGTCACCCTGGTTCTGCCGGTTTTATGTCTGTCTGACGTTTGCATTGTCAGTCTGAAGCGTTGCAGCAACTAGTTTATTTCAGTAACACAGGAAGAACCGAAGGTTCCCATCCGTACCATTCCCAGAGCTTGTTCACGTTGTTCACGACATTCTTCTTGTGTATTCCAGGATCAAGTGATTTTCATCTATTTGAGATTTTCCCATCACAATGAGCACTAGCTGTGTTCGGGTATAATTCCATCAAGTGTGGATGGATGGATGAGTTTCTAAGTTTTTGGTTAGATTCCACTTTTAAAGGGGTGAAGTTTCTTTTGGCTTTCAGTTTTGTTGATATTTTTAAATTGATAACTGTAGTAAATTTAGACTAATTTTGTATAAATATATGTGGTAAAATATTGACAAAAACATATAATTACAGCTTTAGAGTCGAGCTGGAAACTATATTGTTTTTTTTTTTATGCAAGTCGTTCTTAAAACGTCAGCCGCCATATTGAAATGACTGACGTTTCTTTCAATCAAAATAATCAAATAATTGATTAATGAATTATCCGATTTGATTAATATCGATGTCAAAGAAAACTACGATCGTTAGTCAAGAAGTTGTAGTTACCTGATTTTCGAATTTCGATTCTGCTGTCTTGTTATTTCCGGTTTGAATTTTGTTTAAAATTTCCAAGCTTTTCTAACCTGTATCTAGTAACCTGACCTTCTGTGACCTGAACAAAAGTGACAAGATATATCCAATCTATCTTCATTTTTGTCGTCGTACGATGTTTATCTACTTCCTGTGTTTTTGAAAATTTAATCACTGATAACTGATTTGATAACTGACCTAATTAAAATGTTGCAACATATTTTGTTTGTGTATAAAATGCTTGATGCCCCTTTTCGAATGATGTATGATATACCACAATTTGAATAAAATGACGACTTTTAAAATGTTGAATTTTTACAGACAATTGACTGTTAATCAAGACATATGTCATGAATTTAAGCGACTGGATATTTTAATATGATTTTAAATGATACATATATCAGGATGGAGTAGGGCTAAGATAGGCAGAAGGGCATACTGCATATTTACAAAAATTGAAGACCGACAACTGAAATAATGACAGTCAGAAAGTCTATTGCTTACAAGCACATTATAATAGCATCACGCTGGATGTTGTCAAAGCTCAAGTTCATGTGATACAAAAGATAAAAAAAAATGTGCAAATTACCCATTTAAGAGCCCTGTATGTACCAAAAGTAAAAGTATCAGAGAAAATTGTATCTTGGGTAGCTTTTATCGCAGAAAACTGTAACATTTTAAAACAAGTTTTAAAAAATTCTGATATAAATGTTGTCTGCATTGATTTATACGATTTTTCATTTTCAAAATGAGGGCCAAACGGTTAGGAATCAGCAAGAATACAAAATGAAGATATTGAAGTACAAATTCTTGCAAAACAGTCCAAAAACTAGGATTTTTGTGATTTTAAGCTTGTATTTGTCTGAACAGTTTCAAGTTCAACTCAAAGCTGAAATGAACAGGATAAAATCCATTCCGATCAGTGCTTCACAATAACTTCAGAAATATCTTCTAACTGTATAACAAGAAACACATGGGAATACTGACTGAAGATTCTCATAGTTGTATTAATATATATTTTATTATCAAATAAATTTAGTAGAATTCATTGCATACCGTAACAGGCCTTTACAATTAAATATAGAAATAAAATAGCAGCATCAGAATATTTTCAAACATACAGGATCTTGAATTTTTGGCAACTCATTTGTGAATCAATTTTATATATTCACAAGAAGAAGAACTTAAATATTGCTTGTGACTAAGCTTAGCTTACCTCAAAAACTTGTATATGTGAAAATATTATGATGGATTATTAACGGCCACACATAAGGCTATTTATAACATTCATCACACTTGCATAAATGGCACAAAATATATAACAAAACAATCTAAACATTACTATATTACTAGTCAGATTCACACATTTGTTCAGGTTGAAATTAACAATAAATTTGTATAACAGTAAATATTATTTGATAGAGCTGACACTCTTGGATGCATCAGAAATAATTTCATGTCATAAGTGGGATAAACAATGGCAAGGAGTAACCACTCTACTTGCAAACCAGATGTTAAAATTATTATAAACATACATCAGAAAACTATAGATCCACTTTACAGCACACAAATAGAGATGAGAAAGGTAAAGAAGGGACATGGTCTATATAATACAATTTTTTTAAAAAAAGTCTGTGATAGATTACAACTGAACTTACACAATCCTATCAATTCTCTAGGAAACTGTTACAAAAAAATAAAAACAAATGTGACTATCAAGGTAAAATATACAAAATGGATGGTTTTATGAGTTACACAATGTGGAAGACTAATATGCATAAAATGTGCTCTCGTTTACTCAAAGTGGTCAACTGAAATTTATCTAAACCTATCAAAAATAATCAAAATGAAAAATATTTAATTTGAAATATTGCACAACTATTTCAGCTCATGAATTCAGAAACAAATTTTTAGATTTCATCTTCCATGGGGAGATACAAAACTTAAAACATAAGATAAGTATTTTCCAGTATCATTATCCTTTGATAAATGAAAATACTGTCAAATACTAACAATATTAAGATTTCGCTTCTAGTTTTCATACAATTTCTGTCCATAGACATCATAGTAATAATTGTAAAGTCATTAACTCAAAATTTTGGTACTTACTAGTCAGTGAAAATTAATGTCTTATAGTCAAAGAAAACTAAAAAGCCTAGTTCACTATGAAATTAGTTGATTTTGTGCATTTTCATGCTATATTTATATATTAACAAAACCTGAGTATTAAAACCATTTATAGTCATTGAAGATCCAACACTTGTCCCATCATGGTCCATACAGACTTCAATCTTATGTCAAATGACTTCATGTCCATGATACATTGTAATTAACAGAATCAAGCAGAGAAAATTGAGTTATTATGCCTACAATTTAATGTCACTCAAGAACTAGTTAATCACAAAGAATAAAAATACAAATGGCAAATTCCAAATCCTCCAATAAAACTTTTTTTTTTGCCACAAAAGTAAAATATACAATTAAAAATAATAAAAGATACTTTCAAAAATTATATTTCCACTATATCGAGATTGTACTATTTCTCCAAGAGCTTGTCATAGATAGTACATGAAAAGAATACCAAAACCAAGATATTTTTTGTCAATAAAACCTTTTTTTTTTAATCCATTTCTTTATATTCATTTCTTCATTTACTGATGATATTTTTCAAAAGCAAATGAGTCCACATTGAACCTTTCTTTTAACCAATATATCAATAAAACATGAAATTGAGAAATATAGCAAGGTTTTAACCTTTTTTAGAATTTACCTTCTTCAGGCACTCTCCCACTGTAATAAAATATGTTTTTACGAAACACAAAATCTATAAAATTCTAATAAAAAATCTAACATGCTCAATAAATAAATATTGAATAGAAGAGAAAAAAATAAATAATACATTTGAATAATAAATGAATAAAATTTATATCACATTATTAAAACTGTCCCATTTAATTCCGGGATATTCCATGCTGTACTCAATTCATGGAATCTATTTCATCTTGTAAGCAGCCATGTGGGAAGTAAAATCTACTGCTCAAAATAGAGCATATTCCATAAAAGTTAAACAATTCTTCCCTAACAATGAGGAAATTTTTAATTACTCAAGAGAAGATGTTGAAGCTTTTCTCATACTGAATATTCACGTTGAAGTAATGTATGTCACTTTGGGAATTTCCAAGATTTGTGAACTGTTTTTGTTTTTTCACAAGTCATAAAGGGATACTATCATTCAAATATCTTGATCTAATAAAGTTTTAATTCTTTTATTTGTAACACTTTTTCCAATTTAGTACCTGATCTTTGGTTCTCTTGCAATTCAACAAAAACATCAAGTAGTAACTATCAGTTTTGATGAAAAGCAACAGAACTAGACAAGACAGGGAAGTGATACTAAAATTAGAAATAGAGAAAAGTCAACTGGTAAATAATATACTTAGATGACAATATCCTTTAAATGCATATTTAACAAACAATATCATTAAGATATTATCAGATTTCAAACAAGACATCCAAGAGTTGATACACTGCCTAAAAGACCAATAACAATTCAAATATTTTCATGGAAGAGCTGTGTAGCCAGAACATCACCAGTAGTAATTGTCTGACAACAAGCATCTACCATCTTCTTCTCATATTTATTACTAGATTTTGGAGATTCTGAAGTACCATTTGTCATAGTGGCTTTCCTATCATCACCTTCAGTCTTAATGGTGATTTCTTGTTGATTATCACCAAGAACAGAGCGGTTCATGAAATATCGTTCAGCCACCATACTGAGTTGTGGTTTGCTCTCTTCTTCATCACTGAAATCATCAACATCTTTCAATCCTTCTAATTCTACATGTTTAAAATTCCATACAGGAACAACACCTGCTGCACTAGGCGCAGCATCAGAAAAGGCATATTTAACACCACTTACATCAAGTGGTGTACCAGCTGCATCATTTAGCTCTGGCATAATTTTTTGCATTTCTTCATCAATATTAGCCACTGGAGATAATGGTTGTTTGACACCATCTACAGGCAGATCAAGTCTAGCAGCAATTTTATCTAAAAGGTCCTCAATAGACTCATTTTCCTTCCAAACTTTTGTTGCTCTCCATTTGGCACGACTGCCTTTTGGAGCTGGGATGGCATCAAAACAAACCATCTCGCCAATTTTCAAAATCTTACTCAAATCATCAATATTTTTGCCAAATATGGTTCTATCAATAAACACATGTTCATGTTTTCCCAGATCAATAATCCCCCATAATTTTGCAATGTGATAAATTTTACCCTTACGACCTTGAACTGAAGGTTTGTTTGATGCTTGTGGTCGACTTCCTGTAATGATAACATTTAATCGTGTATTCTGATTGGCTGAAACATTATCTTCACCACTAATAGTAAATATATTTGGGTGATTTGCAATAAATGTAGTAATATCATTTTTATTCCAGCCGATAGTATTACGAAGACTTTCTGGTGCTTGATTTATGTGGGTTGAAAGATTTCCTATCTTCATTTCTCCCTTTTTTTCTAGAATACTTTTTACAAACATGACAGCCTTATATTCATTAGCAGTCATTGTGATAGGACCAGATTTAGCACCAGCAGTGGCAGGTTTGGCAGCAGTAGCTTGTCGATTGTATTCAGCTACTTCTAAAGATTTTGGTCTACGTTTAACTTTAGGAGTATTATGAGAGTAGAGTAGAACATCTGGTTTGTTTGACGGCATCTTTAAATTTTCAATAGGTTCAGCATTAGGGTTGACAGCACTGTAAGTTATATTGTCTTTTAAACATACCAAATCTTCCTTTACATCAAAAATTAAAGGATGTCTGAGCAACCAATCACGAAATTCATTTTGAGGTCCGACACATTCTCGGATTTCTGGTTGAGCTTGAGAAAGATGCCCTGCTAGACTTTTTATGGGCACCCATGTCTCTTCTTTCTTAACTATCCGACTTCGAAAAAACTGGACAGCTTCTGTTTCCACAGATACTTCTGATGTACTGAAGCCCGAAGATGATGCTGGGCTGCTTTCACGAAAATTTCCCCCAAGAGAGGCAGTTCCATCGTTCAGACTGACGAGGTTGCCATTGACTGTAAACAGCGATGGATATTTCAATAAGAACTTCTTGAGTCCAGCTTCATTTCCACCAGCTGCTTGTCGCATTTCTGGTGTGAAGCTTCGTCCTCCAAAACGTCCTGCAAGTTGGCTTATTGTCAATGGTACATTGCTGTACATCAAAACTTCTAAAAAGTACAACATGACCTTATGACCCGGATCATCAGCCATTTTGACGAAAAAGCAGGAAAATTCTTCTGAACTCTGAAGTTAACCTCTTGAAAGTGGAACTGTTGCTGTATCTGAAAAAGAAAATTTTGATTTTAAAAGTTTGAAACAATTTGTGAATAAATTAGAGAACAAAACTTTCGATATTCTTGTTGAATATACAAGGTAAAATCAATGGTGAATGAAAAAGGGGAGTAACTCTTGAATAGTACTTCTTTTAAAGGCATTGTAGAGAAGTTTTTTAACTTTTTAATGTGTATCGAGGAAACTGATAGCATCAATTTGCACCTATCAATTTTCAATCAGATGTCTGAAGTTCCTTCAATTTCACTTGTGTCCCCAATACACATACAATTCTTAGAGAATCCCTTTAACTATTTTGCCAGTATCAAATTAAGTGATAATTTCATTTATAGATCATTGAATGAATGTGATTGCCCATTCACAAAATGGGAGTTCCTTTATTCCCAATGAAATCGGTTGAAAAAATCAAAAGCCCATCAAAGAAACAAGGCAATAAACCAAGTTTTTTTTTATTCAAGTGGGCGACAAATAACAAATATCATTTGCTTTCATCAGTAAATGTTAAACTAGTGTCTTCCAATTTTTTCTGTAAGGGTTTATCCATTAGTTTCATGTAATGCCTAATAAACAGTGTTTACATTCTAAAAATTGACAGAATAAGAGATTAAGGGCAATAACTCATATCACATAATTATTGGAACAAATTGATGGATGTAGATAGCAATTTCAAAATGTTTATTTATAATATCACAAATCTGGTATTACAAGAGATTAGTTATAATAGCCCATTATCATAATATGTCAAATTATGTAAGGTTATTGTAATATAATAATAATGTGTAATACATAAGCTACACTAATGTTGCCCTGGGGGTAAATATGTTACAATATTTATTCATATTAAACAAAAATTGGCTAGTTAATGTGTGTATCTAATTAATCACTGAGGAGAAAATTTTCATTGGCAACATTGACTTTTAACACAATGGAACAAACTTTGGTCTGTGAATGGTAAAATGATTAAAATTTCATAATAACATCCAACAAGTGGTTGCCTAGCAAGATGCACCCACTTTCCTGATACATTTTCAGAATATCAAGGGCAGTCACCTATCTGGGTCAAACCATACCAAAAATTTAATTTGTGCAAGATATTGTTGATTTAAACAAACACAAATTATTTAATAAAATTCTGACATAAACTGTCATCTCTAACGCTAAGAAATTTTGATGCGTTTTTATGAAGTCATGGGCAATAACTCAAATTCCATTGATCGAAAAATTGTCGAATTTAATCTTGACTAAGATCTCATCATTATAAATATTCACACCAAATTTCATTGAAATTGGATGAAAACTGTCAGTCTTTATTGTGTTCACAACCAAATTTTGACGCGTTTTTTTTTAAGTCAAGGGCAATAACTCAAAAACCGCTCATCGAAAAATCGTAAATATTGAACTTGTCCAAGATCTTATAAATATAAATGAACACACCAAATTTCATTCTAATCAAATGAAAACTGTAGTCTCTATCGCGTTCACAAGCCAATTGTGGACAGATGGATCGACGGACATGGGTGCAGAAATATACGTCCACATTATAATGTGGGCATATAAAAACAACTCTTTCAAATAACTTTTTTTTTTAAAGTTTACCTGAAAAATTCAAAAGAATAAAGAATTCACACTTGTGTTATTATCATTGAAACATTATAGATATAGTATCAAACATGACTGGCACCGTCAATTGCCCTGACCTTAAAGTTGGAACTCAAAAAAATAGGTTTTGAAATATCACTAATGGAATTCGAATGATTCGATCAATAATATATTTGTGTGTATGCTGTGAACTAGGTATTGATAATAACTACCGGTATTTAATGCAATATGTTACTGACATGCAATAATTGACCTTGAGATTTATTTTCAAGCTCATTATAAATAGACCTATTCAGTTGACATATTTTTTGTTTAGACAGATTGCCTTCACTGCTGATCATAGATTTTGAGATTTCTGGTTCCGCTAGCATGAAATAAAGTTTTAACTGTCGAAATAGTTGCTTCAGCTATCCATCATAATTTTCAAAAATTTTTTTAACAATTTCTAACAACTGAAGTCTGCAAAATGATCATTATATTAAGGGATGAGTATAATATGATGCCCATCGAACAGTGCTTATGGGTTATACTATTGCTGAAATATCTTTACCAAAGCCCCCAACGGCAACCCCCACTTTCAAAATCAATTGTCTGATGCTACAGGCCCCCCTTGTCAATTCTCTGGTCCCAACTTGATCCTTCTGATAAATGATTCATAGAAATTTTACTGAGTAACAAATATATATTATGCATTCATTCAGAACTGCACAAGTTCAATAGTAAGGCGTAGTCTTGATTATCAAGATGTCTGTTTTAGAAATAACAAAAAAATACAGTAGCATCTACATTCCAGTAACAATGCTCCACTCATGCGATATGCATGCATGGATAATTTCATAACGGAACCTTCAACTACGTACCATACTTAAAAAGAAGTAAATACATTGAAAACTTACAGCAATTTTGTTCGAAATGTACACAAGCTAAACGAAAGATGCCATCTTGGGAGAAGTGCCCGAAATAATAACTAACTTCCGGTGTTTTGTTTCTCGTTTGTCCAGACACATTTCACATTCCTTTCAAGGTCCGTTGCCGATCAATTATTTACTATATTTATATATTTTACAAGCGAACTAGATCATGATTGAAATATTACATGAATGACAATATAAATAATAGTCCTAAGGAATCTGTAAGTAGGTTAATTTCCAAAAAGCATTTTTCGCCTGGAATTCTATTTAATAAAACGAAATATTATAAGGCTCTAGGCTCACCTAGTAGATTTAGTTTTTGGAAATATGTTGATGGTTTTGTTGGAAGGAACTGTTTGTATATCTCAGTAGCTGAGGCTTTACCTCCCATATCCAATAGATTTTTACAATTTTTACAAAATATATCACGAATAGGTCTAATTATAAGAGAAATTGTATGTCACGTTCAATGGCGGAATTTGGACTAGGGAATATGAATATCGAACGGTATTCTATGATAAAAAGTCGACTAGTAAACAAGAAAAAAATAAATCACACGATATTAACGTTGGTTGGTAAAAAATCGATACAATAAGAGTAAGGGTAGCTATGTTTCGGGACTAATCCCTTAATCAAGCGAAACAAAACAAAAATAGGTGAGAAAGGTTCTTTCTCTACGAAGAACAGCACTAATCTGCAAAGAAATGACACATTTAGCCAGGTTAGATGAACAAATAATTATTTTTTCAAGGGAGATTATAAACTAAAAAATTATACAGGTCACAGAAACATTAAAAAATGACAAAGAAATGTATGAAAGAGTAAGAGTAGACCAATTTAATCATAAACTGTTCATCCCTGCAGGTGCTAAGGTTGCGAGACCTTTATAAGGAATTATCATGTATTCTTAATCATAATATCAATATATTCTTATTATGTTCTCATATAATTGAGATTTTTAACCTATCATAGATGTTCATGTATATACAGCCTGGATAAAAAAAAGAAGACTTTTTGACCTTTCTTCATCGGTCACTCATTGAAATTCTGATGGTAATTATCTTCTAATTTAGCTAATTATGAATTAATTATGGACATGTGAGACAAACTAGTATTTTTCCCAGTCATTAGAACACCTATGCTTTCTATTCAAGACAGATTCAGCTTTATGGAAATTACCGAGGATTGCCTAATGGTGAATACATTGACACGACATGACAAAACTACTATCCTATATTACAAAATATATGGTCACGGATAGCTGACGAAATATTCATCGAGTGTCTGCAAACTCTTTCAGAAAATTAAGAAATTGCGAATCTCAAAAATTTAGACAAAGATTTAAAAATTTGAATTGAACTGTCGGCAATACAGACATCGAAATTTATAGCTTAATTAACAAGGAGAAAAGTTCACTGTGCAGTAAAACTGAGATGATAAAACAAAAATCGTTCTCGTGTTGTATCGACTTTATTTCAGTATAACCCACTTCTTGATTGTCAAACTTATATAATATATAATATTTGAAATCTTATATCAAAGTAATCATCTCACGAAACAACTACCTTTTGCAGACTTTACTACATAGCACATCACATTTAGCATTTAGCACAAATCGATCCACATTGTTTTAAAATTTAGTGGTTGCCAAATATTTTCGTCTGTTGTAGTTGCTGTTTTGGAACATTGGATAAATCAAGAGAACAATGGCGACGGCATTGGGGGTACAGGGGTTTGCCCCTTAAAAAAATGGCTTGTACCCCCAAATGAGTTATTTCTAACAAATTTAGAATTATGATTTTTATACGTTTTTGCCATATATAGGTGTCAAAATGCATTAAATCAGTTCCATTTTTCTCGTACAAGAACCCTGTCAGATGCTTCAACGAGGCTTGCGGCCATTGCGCTTCTTTAAAGCTGCCTTATTGGTCACCCTAAATACGACCCTTCAATTTTAGTGAATATATTCAGTTGAATCCATTTTCTATACATCTACAAGATGCACTGTTTCGCTTATTATTGGCAAAAAATTCATACATATCGGGACCAGCCCTTTACAATTTTATTGAATATGAATAAGATTAATTACATTGGAATTCATAACGTTTAAAAACATTCAAAAATCTTTCAATATGAGAGGGATTTCAGCAAATCATCCACTGGGTATAAGTAAAAAAAATTTCCAATACTTCCATTTTTCATTCCAGTCATTGACATCAGTCAACTTTTGTTAAAACGTAAAAGTTACCCCAACCAAGGAGTGTATCAGCAGTTATTCACGGTATTTTCCGAAATTGAATATTAGTTGTATAGCCGAGTAGTGATGTTGTATTATGACCGGATGTAATTCTTCTTCTGGCTCCAACTAGGTCAAATCATATTTACTCCACATCCTTTGCTAATGAATAACCAGAGTCTGATTCTAATTCAATATATTCTGGACGCTTTGCGTTATATATTACACAGTTGGAAATTTCAGGCTCTGTATAACCTCTTGAATCTTCACGTGAAAATCCAGGTGTTGTTTTGGGTATTGCTACTTTGGGGTTAAATTCAGTTGCTCCAATATAATATGGGGCTGCTCCTAATTGTTCGTATTGTTTTAATTGTTCATATTTATTATCCTCTTGCTCTGTAGGAATCACATGCTCATACACATGATAATCTGTAGTGGACGTGGTTGGAGAATTTGGTTCATGGTGAATAATTGAAGATGTTTGGTTTGGTGTTCCAGTTTGCTTTGATACATTTAGGAGAATGGGTTTTGGTGCTGTTGGTGGTTTTTTATTTATATACGTTGGTGGAAGAATAGCTATAGTAGGTGACCGAGGAGAGATATATGGCGCTGTGGGAACTATCTGTGCTTGGGATGAAACTGGGGAATTTGACATAGCTAGATTAACATAGGATGGATCCAACATACTATCAGATCTAACTATTGGTTCATTATCTCTGATAGTTCTATTATCATTTACCATACAAGAAGGATCTTGGTACACCTAAAATCAAAACAAAAATATTACAATAACTTAAAGGGTACAAGAGTAACAATGTTACTTAAAACTTTTGAAAGGTCAATATGAGGCAGGTGACAATTAGAACTTACGAAATGATGTAAAAGACTATGTTTCAACAGGTGCTGTACAGAAATGAATCTTGAACTATATGCTTCAGAACTTACTACTAAGACGATGCTTCATGCTCAAAACATTATGTCATGAAGGTTTAAGTAGAGCATTGAAATGATTCACACAGTATAGTACTAAAAAAAAACCCCGACAAACGATCATAGTGAATATGGAACAATACTTACTGGTTCCTCCATGACAGAATAAATATTGTCACTCAATGTTTCCTGTATTACAGAATGTTTTCTGTCTATTGGTTCTGATGTACTACGGCTCAATGTTCTGGAAATAAAAAGATAAAGATGACTTGGGTGTGAAGTGCAAGATTTACTTCGTACAAAATAAAGCCCGAAAATATTTTTCGTATATGCCCAACCTTTGCACGCATTAATAAAATTCCATCATGAATCGACAATTCAAAAGCAAAATAAATGGTAAAGCCCAACGCAGACGAGGAACATTTTAAGCGAGCAATCGTAAAAACTTTGTTTCGATCATTTTTTCACCGTCTGCGGATTACAGAAACACGAACAAAAATGTTCGTGAGAATTGTTCGTGAAATCAAACATGTTTGATTTTTTGAAATTGTTCGCCTGCCGAACAATTCTTTGTTCGCCGTCTGCGTTAACGACAAACATTAGCGTCGAACATTTATCGACGAAAGACCAATCAGCGATCGAAATCAGACCATATGACACTCAAAATGGCGACGTCCAGTGAATCCACCAACACAAAATTTTGGACTGTGGAGAAGGAGCAGATTTTAGTAGATATGTGGTCGCAATCTGCCTTTTTGTTTATGATTTCTTCGCCCGACTATTCAGATAGGGACAAGAAGTACGCTGCGATGCAAGAAATAGCACAAGCCCTGGAAACAACCGGTAAATTTACAAGGTTGCCGAACACACCCTGCTCTTTACGACGTTGAATCCAGGTACGGACCTAAATGCTCCTATTTCGCCGTCTACGTTGGCGTCTTTTTTTAAATTCATAAAATAGCTTTACGTAATTTTACATAATCTTCTGGACGTCGCCATTTCGAGGTCATGTGATTTTCCGTGACACTGGCGTATTGTTCGAGCTAAATGTTCGTCGTCTGCGGAATTATGTTTGTCGTCTGCGGATAACGGAAAACAAATATATTTGTTCGAAGTTCTTGTTCGTCGACAGAAATGTTCCTCGTCTGCGTTGGGCTTTAAAGAACAAAAAAAAACGAATAAAAAACGCACCTTTTGCCTTTAAATCTAAAGATATAAAATATAATAGCTATAATAATCAAAATAGCCACCAATAAACCACCCACAATACCACCAACTAAACCACTTATATCAGGAACATCAGATCTATCTTTACCACCTTTTATTTTACCACTACCACTCCCATCTGAAATGGATAAAACAAATTGTTTCAATATCGAGTGTTTTGATTCTAACTCGGTTTATATGATTTGGAGCGACTTATAGATTGATTGTTTATTTATAATTCTAAAAAAAAAAACAAATCATTTTTGTCTCGTTCCTTTGTTCAAGAACATCATTCAACTTTGGTAGGGTGATGTTTATGTACATAATTATGTGCCATCAAGTAATCTGAAACTCTGAAACAGTGGTTCATTGAAATTATCTTTGAGTTTTATTCAAAAATAAATAGAATCATGTAAAGTGTATTAATGGCTTGGTCTCTTCCTACTATTACCAATCGTTTTAATCATAAAGAAAACAATTCGAACCAATCAACTTTGCTAAAACCACCAATAAATATTGGGAAGAATTTGCCGAAATGGTTATGAAACTGGAAAATCATCAGCAATTATTAATTTGTTTGCCATGGTAATCAGAATATAACCAACCATTTGTGACTGGGGTGGTAGTTTGTAAACCTGGTAATACAGACTGTTTGGTAGTTGAGGTCTGGTCAACTGGTATGTCAGATGTGGTTGAAATAGGTGCATTTGTTGTTGACATAACTAAGGGTGGATCCATGCCTACAAAAAATGACAAATTTTAATCACTGATGAAGCCCGAAGACGCATACTACCATAAACTCATAAGTAAATTCTGATGCGTAAATGTTCGCACATGAAACAATGAATGTGAACATTGAAGGTTTATATATGTTTTTAAATTACATGGATTGTTGCCAAAATGCAACGCTCATCGCAAAATTTTGATTTCTAACAGATATCCCAAAGCACTTACAAATATCAAAATGATGTTGCATATTGTCGTTGTAGAAGTCAAAGTCGGATTGTTCATCAGCTTCATAAGCACACGATATAGTATCACATACAGTTCTATAACGAAACAGAATAACATACAATTAATAAAACAACAATTTGATAGTATAATACCATACAATATCTGCAAAAGTATATGACAATTGAACAATATAATTCTCAAGTATGTCTTGTACCTTTGTTTTCAATAGAAAAAACACCGAAAATATTACATTAAAAAGATGACGAAAACGAAAAATCCTTAACGTATCAAACTTGTTCAAATTTAATAATTATGTGGCATTATTTTGGTACAGTGGTTAAACTTTTTAGATTTTGACCAACTTCAAAATGCAATCAAAAAATCAATGAAACAAATTCTATGAAATTGATATCTAACCTGCATTCACTCTTTTCCACCGTATGATAGGTCACCAGCAACTCCACATCATCTCGCAGTTTACTAGAAATAGTTGTCTTCTTATAGAACTGACATTCTATAGTACGATCTTGTTGAATTCGACATTTAAATTCTGTAATATTAGTAATGGTTTACAATGATAAACACACCGAAAAGGGAAGAGTTTAAGACAAAATCCCCTAAGAAAACACATAACAAAACTCTCACCAACATATAACATGACAAACCTTTAAGACATTAACTCACAAGAGGAGAGCGCTCTCACAAAAACAGCATATAAACTCTCAAAAATAAAGAGCCTGACTAAAGAAGAACTGCCATAAGAACCAGGCGTAAAAGTAATATTTAAATTAATTTGTATCAAGACTACTATACATGTATAACCACAATGCTTTTCAATTGTATAGGTCTTGTACCTACCCTTAAACTCTTCGTGCCAATGGAAGACAACTCTGTAAGACTTTTTAGAGTCAATTCGTTTCTTGCTTTTATTTACTTTAAACTCTAGCTGACATTTCTGTGACTGTTTTCTGGCTTTGCATAAACAATTCTCAAATCTGTTAAAGTAACACAAATCTAAATGGTGCAATGAATATTCAGACACACAGTTTGATGTCATAAGAAGTTATATTGCAATGTTTTAATCTATGAATGATATGAATTTGTTTTTATTCTATTTCATCTTCACAATGTCACAATGTTTACTTACTTTCGTCTTATAGCAGCGATTGGATTGGATTGTACAATAGCGAATACATCCAATCAGAGCCCTGGACAGAAACATTATGAAGGCTTCAAATTGTGGAGATCATTCTATATTTGATCGGTGTGTTTGAAATTTGTACAGTGATTCAACTCATTTCCTATAATAACAGTGACTTTCTGATGTTTTATACAATCCCTACCTGTCGATTCTATCATCATCACCATCATCGTCTGTCGGGTAAACACTATATGGATTGGTTCGTCTTTTTTTTCTTGAAACTTGATCCATACATTCATTAGGTTGATAAGAACAACAGGACTTCTTTAAAATATCGTAAAACTTTCTTACTGCAAAACATTATAAATACATTCTTTGTGGTTATAAACATCTGAAAGTTGAAGTATATCTTTAGCATAAATGGGTCGATTAAGGATGAACAGCCTATAGGTGGAAAATAACTTTTAATAATATGCAGAACTACCAGTTCTTTTTGTTTATATTTTACGCGTATACATGTGTATATGGACGTAAAAGCTACCTAATCAGAAAGGTGTGTGTCTGATTTCAATGGTCAAACGCTTTTTAAAAAACGATGTTAAGCTTCAAAGATAATAAACGAGCTGTTTAATGAATGGAAATAGCAGTACTTGTGAAAGTAAGGTTGAAGTGGGCTCTTATATTGTAAGGCAAAGGGATATGAAATGTAAATATGAAGCATTGATGTCACGTTAATTCTCTGATATCCTGTCCATAGCACTATTTACTAATCAAATTTAGGTATACAGCACATTTAGCCTTAGTACTTACACTACGACTAACGACATTTCCAAAAAATACAGCATCAGGTGACATAACATAAATATTAAAGTTCAACTTTGGTATAAAGGATGCAGGCTGAAAATATGTCAGTTGTCTGAAGGTAGCATAGCGTGTAATAACATGATTCAAGTTCTGTTTTAATATTCAAATATCGACCTACAATTGTATTGAGTATTATTTTAACAGTGAAAATATTTTATTATTCAAACTTCAATGATATATGTTATTTATTTAAGAGAAACAATCTATACATGTACTGTATAACATTGACATGTTAATATAAAATTGATGTATGGTAATGTGTCTCATTGATCACTGACTTCTATATAAATTTTCATTCTTAAAAATATCTGTTAAAATATTGGTGTTAAAACGTGACTAAATTTTCCAAACATAGCTTGTTTTCCAAAATGAATGTGTGAAAGACTGCCTACAATAAGTTTTATATTAATTAAGACATTTGAAAGCGCAACATGAAATAGTTTGGTTCTTTAAAAAAAAGAACCCAAAAAGAAGCAAGGGCCATAACTCACCATAAATGGATTCCGATTTTAAAAAGTTTACATTTAAAATGAAATCTTACCTTTGTTCATGTCTACTAGTCCATTGACCATATCTATCTGACCGTTAATAAACATTACTTCTAAAAAAAAAATAACATATTCTTATCACATCCATAAACAGCAACGGAATTTTAATGTTGATGAAACGTTTCTGAACAAAACAATCCCTTCCATCCAGCTCAATCAATATCAAGTTAAATTCACTGTCATTTGACTTTTAAGCAAATCAACCAATGTAAAAAATTTAGATAATATAATGAACTTTGTAATTTTCATTCCGATATTATATTATTAATGGTCTCTTGGAGACAATTACTTTCAGATCTGGAACTGAGAAGATCTGGTGGGAGGTAGGAAAGCGTACCTGTTAGTAAAACAACTAAAAATATTGCCTGTTTCATCTTGATTCCCTTTGTTAGAAAATCATATCACGATTGTTCCTGAAATAAAGTGATCAAGTTACATTAATAAAACTGGGCTGAAGTTTTATCCCACAATGGAAATATTGTCATGACAGCATAATCTATGTCAATTTGGTACCATTCGAAAAATGACCTTCAATTATATGACACTTTAAAAGGACAGGAAGGCCATTTTTTTACCAACATACTTTAGTCTCACCGGCATTTTTAGCTAAGCCAATCAGTAATAGCCTTCAGAGCTCACAGTGGAAATTTGAGCCTTCAAATCCATGTGTGTTCGGAATTATTCGCTATTGATGTTAAAATGACAACTCGTCATTTTGAGATACTTTGTGATATATAGAAAATACATATATAGAAATAGCGAGTAAAATTCCTAGTTTGAAGTATTTTAAAGAAATCATACTATATTCGTAAATTTATTGTACTTGGATATTTGTTTATAAATAAAATAATGTTTGCTTTTTCATAAAGATCATAGCAACAGTAAATCTTGTGTGATGTACAAACTTAAAGTTCCTTATAGTTATGCTATAGCCTACAATCATTTTTTTTCTAATTCTATTCCATGCTTATACCTGCAGTTGAATCTGGAACTGTTTTCATGAAAGAAACATTTCAACTAAACAAATATCCAACTCACTATTCTCTGTATTAGCATTTTATTACCTTTCGTTATCGATATTAGGTCGTTTTCTAATGAAAAGAGGCAGGTAAATTCCAGTCCAGTGATAGAGATACCATAGCATTACTGTGATATTTTATGTCGTACAGTGTGGCATGGCAGGAAGCAAATTTGTTATATAGACGGAAAATAACTTTTCTCATACAACTTTTTTTTTTAACTTCAAATTCACGTCAAAGTGTTAAAAAGTATCACCAAACAGTGTGTAAACTTGGACCTATTGTTCAATATATCTATTTTCACATCCTCTGTGACCAGCTCGAACTTTGCATAAAATTTGCAAACAACACGACGTTTCTTATATTTATTAACGATCAAAGCAATTGTTATAAAAGTGATTAAAACTCAAGTTAGTCTAATTACCAAAATCTTTTTTCACAAATTGTGCAGTTGATTTACCAAGGCGCTTACTGTTAAAATGAAGCCAGAACATTCCCCGAGTGTGTGTTCTATAGTCTATCTTGTTAATCATTTTCAGCGAAAACATAGACGCCACCTTTTAATTGTCCAGGGTTTGTCTTCAACCTAAATGACATGAATTGTTCTAAAGTCTTAATAGCAGTATCAATTGACACCCACTACCCATTGTCTAATCATTAAGAACAACACTGACTATAAGCTGAATTTACAAACTAATTGGTACTTTGTCATATCTTTGATGCTGTGAAACCCCTAAAGCGATTATAAAATGATAGGATTTTATGGTAGGGAGACAATGAGATATGTGATCAATACAGTTCAAACTTATCACGTTGTGACCGCAGGTAGAAACATCAAGATTTCAGTAAGATTAGATATCATAACGTCTGTCTACAATGGATGAAATCAGAAAAGAGTTTGTGGCAACCAGGGCAATGTCAATCTTTGTGATGATAATCTTGGAAAAGTTGACCAACAAAATCTGCATTGCAAACCAATGCTGATCTGCCTGACTTGAAACACCAGTAACAACCTTTCATCAATGATGTTATAATGGTAACAAACCATAAAATGGAATTTGTTTTTGCATCATAAAGTGGTGAGAGGAAGAAGGTATTGACGGTTAATGGTCTCAGAAGAGTAGAGCTTTCAAATGCCGTGTAACTAGCTACATCTCAAACAATAACTGTTTCGTGCGTTGCATGGCAATTTGAAGGTGATATTTAATTTATAGAAATCACTTAGATGCTGTTGAGTGTTATAATCATATGAAGAGGTACATAAGTTCTGTTCTTCCAAATAATATGCTCATGAAACATAACTTTTATATTGATTAGGTTAATTTTTTAAAATTGACATTGACTTTTTCAGAAGATAATTTTATGCGGAAGCAATGGCTCCTGGGTATGATATTGTTTGATAATATGTCCACAAACCCTAACCAAAAAAACCTCGTGGTAACTTTACACGATGTCTTTTAAATTGCCAGAGGGTAAATGGTTAAATTAGCAAACAAACTAGTTCCTACCTCTACTTATAGCCAACGATAAATATACACAGATATTATTAGAGACGCTGTCTGTCAGTCCAATATGATTTATTATAATGTATAACATAGACAAAAGTCTAGTTAAGATAGTATGTTTTTTTTAGTATTTTATAGTATTTAATAGTACCTTAACAACATAAAATTATGTCGGATACGATAAGTAAAAAAATTGGGAGACTTTTCTGATATTGTAGTTTAAGGGATATGCAGTCTCGGTGACTATTTTGCACTATAAAGATGTCTTATTATTCGACCTGTATTAAATTTGTCATGTTCAGTAAAGCCAATTTAAAAAATGTCTCTACAAGCAATGCCCTATTTTATTTTTAGTCAATGTTCAGTATCATGATGAGACAGAAAAAAAAACATCACTTACCTTAAACAATTTTTTTTCTTGAAACTGAATTATTTCTACGTGTTTTGTTACACAATGATATTATATCCTACAAAACGCTGATGACTTCCATCTCACGGAAAACTATATCAGAATAGAAAATTGTTGACCCAGAACGAAAACAATAAATACCTCTCTACGTCACGACATGAATGGGCCAACCAAGCTACCTCCTTCGTATAGCGGTCGACCAAGGAAATGTCCAAGTCACGATACGGCGGAGCTTGAGCAAGGGGTGGATAAATTAAGGGTTGGGCATATTCTGTTTTCTGAAGACTGTCTAACTAAAGTATATTGTTCATTTTTATTATTATTTAAAAAAAAAACAATTTGCAGTTGGTTTAGATAGGTATACCGACAAATCATCTGGTACATATTTACGATATTAACAATTTGACGAGCTTTAACTAAATTTCACGTCATTTTACGCAGACGGTTTTTTCCTTGTTTAAATTAACCTTGGCATTTATTAGAGTCACTAACCGCATATTAACCCTACCATAGAAAAACACCCTTTCTAGACCAGTCAGTTTTATTTGTGTTCATATGAAGACAAATGATCTAGTATTATTATAATTTGAGTTTTATCTATCTATGAATGTTATACTATATATAGAATATGAATACTAAGGGATAGTCCTGACCACAGGATTCAAGTGATGACTAATTTCCTTTCACTTATAAAACTTATTGAACCCTAAATTGACCTTAGTCAATGATTTTACGTTGGTGTAATGAGATTCACCCCTTACTACCGTTAACAAATAAAGACTACCACAGTTCTGTGCTGTTGGGTGATTGATTCGCAGTTGATTATTCAAAATAATCCATAGTTTTAAGGCACTAGAATTCATATCAATCTATCATAACATCGAACGATTTGGCGTTTTTATACATTTTACTGCATGGGCTACACACCACATATGTATATGAGCTGCTGTCTATAACTGGGAATTGAGTTAACGTAACATATAAAAGATTAGAAAGCTTTTACTCGAATCACGGACATCGTTGTCTTTCTTTTTCTTGGATGTCCACATTTAAATCGATTGTAATAACAATTTGATCAATTTCATTCCTACATTATTTTCATTATGTTGACTCTTGGTCTATTCGATTGCAGTTAATGTATATATTTGCGTTGTGCTATTAAATGAGATATTTTTCAACCATTCAGTACGTTTTCCTTTCGGATGACTTTCACATGATCAACTCGATCAAGGATATTATGGTCAAGGATATGGACGTTATCATATGTTAAGATGTTTATCAACTTATTCATCATCAAAACTGTTCCGTTAATGTGGGAAAATCATGTCAATCAAGAAAAAAAACTTCTCCTTGAAGAGTAAAAAAAAAATATTTCGACTAGTAAACAAAATGCCAAAAATGATCTGTTTATGACAATTTTTGTTAGCTACAAGTAACTTTTAAGATACTTGATCAATATTATACCTCTATAAGTATAATTCGGTTCACAAAATATAATGACTGATTATGGGTGTGTTTCAGTGGACAAATTTTTGAATATAAAGGGCTTAATCTTGCATTCAATTAATCGAAATTTTTCACTTTTTTGTGGTTGTTTTTTTGATGTTGCCTTTTTGGTGCCCCTTGTCCATTCCCTCGCCTTTGAAGTCACCATTGCTTCCATCCGTGTTAAGTGTCCTACAATGAACATGTTATACATAAAAGTAGTGCATCATGTCTCAAGTAATAATGGATTCCGTTTGGATATATATCAATATCGAGAGAGAAAATTGGGTCAGGTAAATCTATTCTGTTCAGCAAATGGAGAATGGCAGAGAAGGGAGGGGAGGTAGACATATCTGGCAAAATTAAAACAATGATATTGTATGTAAATGTTTATAAAAAATATTTGGCACTGAAGAGAAGAAACTTTAACTGATATGAAAATTTACAAACTTGTGAAAAATAGAAAATATGATGAAAAGGCAACAATCAATGAAGTGATGTTTTTGAAAAATGTAATTTTCTTTTACTGAATATTGAGATTGAAAAGATATAGATAAATAAATCAACCGGGATTTTGCAAAACTAAACGACAATACAGCAGAAAATAGCTTGTCAAGCAGGGTTATACGTCCACTAAACAATGTTTAATTAGGGCGTTCGAAAAAACCACATTCAGGGACAAAGTGTTCAAAAGTCATACATTTCTACCCTACTTTTGTCCTTACAGGTTCTTAAACGTACATAAATATTGAGTCTTGAATAATACTTAACTGTTTCTAGGAGTTTCTTAATCAACATTTTAGGCCTATGTCTTTAAAAAGTTATTGAATAAATTTGAATGTATCTCAATATACTGAATTCTTTTAGGTTTTTCAATGAGTAAATAACTTTACCATCACTAATCATCCAAAGAGTGTTCCCTTTTGCACATTAAATTAACTAGGCCGTTTAAATACACAGATGTTACATAATAAAATAAGATTAACAAACGATTGAATAAATATAAATCTTTAAAATAATATATGCATTTGACAGGAAAGAGATTACTTTGACTATTAGAGAAGAACTATTCAGAGCTAAAGTGTGTTTCTACAGGTGCTTCACCAAGTTCAGTTAATTCGCTTATTCATTTGTAAGGAAATTCGTTTCTGTCTCTCTGAAAAATACAGCAAATTAATTAGCATGTCGTCCTAATGAAATTTTATCTTTGTAGACGCCAATGTATATCTCATCGTCATTAGTCCAATGAAGTAAGAAGCGTTTCATTTCAATACATTTCTACCAAGACGAGACGATTAGGGAACATGTCAGCATGCATTCCATTTAATCTGCTATTACAATTTGTTATTCCAAAGTATGATGAATTATGAATGATGATACTACTCTACGAACAGTTTAGGTAAAATGATCCTTACCTTTAAGGATATCATAAAACTCATTGCCGCTGTTTTCTTTTTTACCACCGTTTTGCTCGGAAATAACTGGTTTATTATCACCGGAGTCATTATCAATACCATTTCTAGAACTGTTTGTGTCAGTGTCCTTCGGTAATATAGATAATAACTCTATCCTGGATTTCTTGCGTACATTCTCATCAGTTATAATAATTTGTGATGTTGATCGTGGTGTATTGCTACCTATTGGTGTGGTGGGTTTTGATGGTGAAACACTGTTACTTCCTAAAAAAGTAAACTGGTTTGCTAGACATACATTAATAGTAAATGATTTTTGAAGAGCGTAACCAGCTGCTCGGCCAATGAGTTGAATGAGAAAAACGCTTTTACATTTGGTAGGTTTATACAGAAATGTAGCTAAAGTTGGGCAAGATGTATTTATTATCTGAGCACTTGAAACTTCGGTTGTCTCAAGCATACTGTAGCTATGGGCATCCATGACAGAATTAAGGACACACTGTGCAATGTGCGAAATAAATCACAATATCGAATTCCATGGTGATAAGATACTTGCCTGGAGCTGCAGGTTTGGATTTTTCTGATGATTTAGTGACCCTACAAATAAACATTACAGTTGTGTATGTTGCGAAATGGCGATAAGTCATGTAAACGTTTGTTGTGATTTTTATATTACATAACTTATCTCCCTTGAACATTAAACTTTGAGCAGTTTGCTTTAAATTTGTGGTACGTGGTGACTAGAACACTTTCTCACAAGACCACTAGCCTCTGTCATTTGATACCCAAAACCGCAACTGCGGGCTTATCATCCTTGCGCATCCCTCAGAGAGTTCATCTTGATAATGTTAGGGACTCACCTTAATAAAATGACAACAATAATGACGATAATGATGAACAGAAGGAGTAAACATGCGGCAACAATCGTTAATATTCCATACTTGGAAGCTATAAAACTTTCCTCGGGTTCTTTTACAACTGAGATTTCCTCAGAATAAGGATTGACAGCGGTTACTGGATAGTTGTTTGACATCAGAGTACTTTCAGGTGTGTTTTGATCAGGATCAGCTCGAAGTATCTGATATAAAATAAGTTGTATACTATAAAGTGTAAGGAGCTGAGTAGTGCGTAGACAATGTGGTTGATGTTTATGCAGATTAGTAAGTATGAATGGGGTAAAGATTGAACATATCCTTTTTTATGTTTTATTATATGCAATTTGATGTGATAGGTAATCTTGGTCTTTAAATAATCAATTTGAATAATATAAAAATGATAGGCATGGAATACGCCAATACACACGCCAATCTAGTTGTAGAGAAATTACTTTTAAAATTGAGGTAAGGTGAAAATATAACTTATTATTACCAATGCTAATCATCAAACACTGATACAAGTGAGCTGGCAAAACAAGCCAATTTATTTCCCTCGTGTGGTTGGACAAGGCTACTGAAGCATTCTTTTTTCTCGAAATTGTATTATATTAGTATATACTTACATCTAGAAGCAAGCGAACATCCTTAAATTTCGTGGTAGAATCAACAAATGTGTTGTCATCTGTAGGTTGGCCCTCAACCACATAAACTAGAGTTTCAGAACTGAAAATGAATTAGGTTTCCAAAATGGTGTTTTTGATTTTGAATTGTTTACTAGCACGCAAGAACAGATAACATATTTAACGTGAGTTAATGCCTTTTGTTCTTGAACAAGAAATTTTCCTTACCACTCAATGCTATTGAAAAATATTAAACCCGTGTTTTTGTTTTTTTTTTGTAAAATGAACTAACTGTTATACTGTAGACTAGATTTAACATAGCCTCATCCTCTGTGCGTTATTCGAAAACTCTCGTAATCAAGCCCTTTCACATCCTCATATTATATCTAACGTTTTTAAAATTCTATTATCAATAAGACAATTTCCCCCGTCATGAAATAGGTAACACATATAATGACTTAAGAAAACTACTAAATTCAAGATGTCGATCAGATTGAAATAATCAAATAAGGCACTTAAAATATTTTCTTTAACACTTATTGAAAATGTTTTTCATAGCAACCAATTTTCGAAGACATGGACAAATAGTAATAGCAAATGACAAAAATGATCTAATTGTTTTTAACGCACCTTGCCGCCAATAATTTCCTTCTTGATAGTCCTCCCTGTTCCTGAACTTTCCATATCTTTGGTTGATCATTGGGAAACAAAACGTCAAGTTTCTGTTTCAATTCATTTCTAAAAGAAAAGCCTTTTCTATTATCATTGTAATATTGGATAAACAAGGCAGTACAAATTCTAAGAAGCATTTTTCATCGCATATAAATCTAATAAATTTCAAAAGGTATTTTTTCATCTTTCCGAAGCACAGAACAAAGTGGATTGTTTGAAAGCTTGCTGCAGCATCTAAATGATAATGCTAAGAAACTTGCCTGTTTGCTTCTAAAAAGTTGACATCTGATGAAGATTCTAGAGAAACTACGTGTTTATTTGGGTGAAATGTGTCAACTCGAAGTAAACCAAGAACACTTTTCTCATCACCACCATTTTCAGCTGTGACAACAATCCATACAAAATATTTCGTATCTGGTTCTAACAGTCCTCTCTTTCGCACTGTAACCACACCATCTTCTGCTACAGAAAATATACCCTCTCTGTTTAATGATTTAAATGAAAACGGACCAATGTTGGCATCCATACTGTACTCTGCCGATGTCACAGTCGTCACATATTCACCTTCAGCTGCATAAAATGATGTTTCACGAGACATATATGCCGAAGGAGCTTCACTGCTATCCAAATATACAACACCATCATCAACATCAATCACATTCACTTTAACTTCTATAGTACCAGTACGTTGTGGATTACCTCGATCCACGGCCAGAATCTGGAAAGTTATAGATGTTGTTGATTCATAATCTAAAGCTTGTTTTATCTTCAGTAAATTACCGTCGGTTTGGAAATACGTACTAGCGGCTAAGGGTACAGTTGATATTTTTAGATCCACCAAACCATTATCACCATCATCAAGATCATTTACAGTAAAACCTGCAACAATCTGTCCAGCAGGTGTATTTTCCACTACGTTAATATTAGTATCACTAGTCGTTATAACAGGATCGTTATCGTTGATATCTAGAACCTCCACTGTGACTGTGTGTGTATAGTCAACAGATCCAGAATCAGTCACATGAACAGTTAAAATATAGGTCTCATATTCTTCACGATCCAGTTTTCTAGCTGTGGTAATCTCGCCAGTTGACGGATTCATATTGAAACTGTTCTTAAAGTTGCCACTTATGATTTGGTAGTTTACGGCTGATGTAGCACTATGAGTTGGGGAAACCGAACCAACCGATACTCCCAATTTCAACTCTTCCTCAATTTGCATTGTCTGACTACTGGGGGATAGGGACAGTAGTGGTATGATCTGTATTTTGACTGTTAGTGTTCCTGATCGGGGTGGAATGCCTTTATCTTTAGCAGTTATAACGAGGGTGTATTCGTTTTTTGCACCCGAAAGGTCAGCATCGGTTTTGATGAGACCATTTGAGACGTCAATCAGGAATAACCCATCATCATTACCACTGGTTATTTCATAAACTATGACAGCATTATCTCCCAGATCACCATCAGTAGCTGTCTTGGCAAGAACTGACGTGCCAGGTGCAGCGGATCGACCAACAGTAACATCTTCAATAGATGAGGTAAACGTTGGATTTAAATCATTTACATCTGCAACATTCACAGTAAGTGACAATGTACCAGAAAGAGCTGATGGTACACCTTTATCTTCAGCTCGAATTACCAAATCAAACCTGTCATGAACCTCTCTGTCGAGGTTCGAGGAAACTGTTAAAGCTCCAGAATCGGGATCGAGCGAAAGTTTGTTACTAGAGTTACCTGAGACGAAAGTATACTTTATTTCTCCGTTGGTACCAGTATCTAAATCCCGGGCATTAACAGTATAAAACGTGTTCCCAATACCCATAGATTCCACAACATCCACTCTGAAAGAACCTGCAAAATATATATCACCAATAACCGTAATGAACATATGCTTTGTTCAAGGCCAAGGTTCAAGTATTGAACATGTTATTTTCTTGAACCAAATCTCAGATTTAAGACTAAAAATTAGAATTTTTTATTCTTGATCACGGGTCCTGGTCAATACATATGTTTGTTTTCAACTTGAAATTTGAGACTAGCATATCTATTTCTCTCTTTCTGAAAATCGACACCTTTGTACTTGACTAAAGCAATACTTACTGGGTGTAAACATAGGAGAATTGTCATTGATATCATTAATCCTGATGATTATCAAGGAGTCTGTTTGATGAACTCCATCGTCAGCTATTACTGGTATACTGTAGAATCGCTGAGTGATAAACGATAAGGGTTTGTCCACTTTAATGTTACCACCATTGTCAATAATAAAATCTGTTGAACCAGTCGCACTACCAAGACTGTATGTAAATAAATTGAAGGGTGATACATCTGCATCTGTTGCAATTACTGTCCCAACGATTACTCCAGCAACGGCATTCTCATCTATATTGAAATCATAAAATGGCTCATTGAAAATAGGACGGTTATCATTTAGATTCTGTATAGATAGTGATAGTGTTGATGAGGAACTCAAAAGAGGATCTTCTTTGCTTTTTGCCAGAATTATTAGTTCGAACGACATTTTACGTTCAAAGTCGATTTCGGAGGCTATTGATATGATGCCAGTTGTTTCTGAGATGACGAAATCGTTGTCTGGATCGCCACTCTGTATAACATAAGTGATTGTTCCTGTAACACCTTCAGTAGCACCTTCTGACGTGGCATCCATATCAAAGATCGTATCCGATGGGACGACATCTTCTAACACGTCCTTGTTGTAACTATTAGATATGAATTTTGGTGGATTGTATTTAGGAAGAACATTGATATTAACTCTAGTGTAGCCTGACCTTGGTATCGCTCCACCATCAGTTGCCTTTAGAGTAAGGATATATAACTTATCAGTGTAGTAGTCTATCTGCACATTCGTTAATAATTTCGTATCTTCAATTTTAAAATGATTTTTAGGATCTCCATCAGTAATAGTAACACTGGCAATATCAGCACTAGTTCCGCTATCGGCATCATCGATGATAAACGTTTTCAAAATTTTATTTACCAGATCTCCATGTGTCACATCAAGTTGGTATACATCCTGATCAAATTTTGGATCATTGTCGTTTACATCAAGTATGTTTATTACAACAAGCGCCGATACCGTTTCACTAGTTTGTGTGTTTATTTCGACAGTTATATTATACTGAGGGGTAGTTTCTCTGTCCAGAATAGTCGTCAGAAAGATATCTCCAGTTGAGTCATCAATAACAAAAGCATTATTTATATTTCCAGCAGTTATTGAGTAGGTCAGAATAGTGTTAATGTCTTCATCTACTGCTTCAATTTTAAAGATAGGAGATCCTAATGCCGAATCTTCAGAAACATTAGCAACAACCACACCATCAACCATGTTTATAATTTGAGGAGAAAATTCATTATAGTTCTTTACGTTTATGACAACTGTTGTTTTACTGCTTTTTGGATCAGCTCCCTTGTCGGTGGCAGTTATTACAAGTGTATATTGATAAACTGTTTCAGCATCAAGTGGCGATATTACAGACAAGTTCCCCGACGAGTCTATCCCAAAGTCACTAACCCCAGTACCACTGATACTGTACACTATCTCACCGTTTGTACCACCATCGAGATCTGTGGCTTTTACTTTCAAGATAGACGTAGATGGTGAAATATTTTCAATCACTGATGTCTCATGGAATGATGACGTAAATTTAGGAGCGTTGTCATTGGAGTCTTCAATATTAACGTTTAAGATTTCCTCAATTGCTGTGTTTGATGATACAATGATGGCACGAATTCGGTAACTAAAACTTTGTTTAGTCTCATAATCAAACATTATTCTCAAGATTAATTTACCAGATGAAGGGTCTAGGATAACATGACCATCTTCGTTACCATTCACAATTTCATACTTTACGTTTCTAGGAGTACAGCAGGCATCAATATCTATCAGTTCTTCATTGGGTAATGTATCTTCTGGAACATTCATTGTTGTAGGTAACTGAGTAAAATTAAATTGAACTTCAGCAATAATATTAAAGGCGATAACAACACTGAGTTGTGGGTTACCTTTATCCTTGATTTCAATAGATAGCGTATAAGTAGTTTCTGTGGGTTTTTTCAAAAGAGTTATATCTCCTGAAGAGGTATCCACGTCAAACGCTCCTTTGAAATCCCCGGAAAGCTTGGTAAAAGTAAACTCTCCGTTGCTTCCGGTATCAGCGTCTCTACATTGGACAGTGGATAAAATGGTGTTAATTTGGTGTCCTAGTGGTACTGTGGTAGAGGATAATGGATTACAAATAGGACTGTTATCATTTATGTCTAGAAGGTTAATAGTTACGACGGTTGTTGTGCTTTTTGGGTTTGTGGCAGAATTATCTGTTGCAACGACAATAATATCCCATGATGGCTGGTGCTCTCTATCTAAGGGACTTGCAACACGAAATGCACCCAGGTTAGGGTCTATGGTAAATGGAGATAAATCTGTCTGTAATGAAAACGTCACAAAACCATCCATACCATCATCCATGTCATTGGCATCAAAATCAAATAGTTCAGTTCCTAAAATATAAACAATCATTGAATATGTCAGTTTTGTTAAAGGGAACTGTACACTGAAGATTGTAAACAGAACCTCAAAAACATGTTGTTACTCAAGAGTTTCACGCTATGCGATCTTCAGGACAACTGACCTAATTCTATTTAAGTAGAACTTATTCTCGTGTCTAAACTTCGATAACATCGAGTTCTAATGAGTTAATGATGGAAAGCTTCTCAGTTAAAAATTACATCGTTGGTTTTATTTGTGTAGGTTTCAGCTCTGCTATCAACGGACCAGGATATTTTGTAATTATTATTTTTCTGTATGAGTTGCCAAATGTGTTTTAAGAGTTCCGTGCTATTTCATATTTCTGGTGTTTAAACGACTGCATACGATTATAAAATCTTTGTTTTGTCCTTCCAAGATATGTTTTATGTTCATTTGTGTCAGTGTTTGTGACTTCAGCCTTGTAGTTAAACATTCTTATTAGTTTGACATTCACCATTTAGTGGACATAACTCTTTGTTCTTACAGTTAAATGGTTTAGATGTATGTTTGTCTTTAGCTTAAAAGAAATTCTTTTTTTGGCATTTTATAATAGTTCCTAAGTTGGAAATACAACTGTTAGTAACCATTACTGTGTTTTTTGATAAAAAGCCAAATAATTTATGACCAATATCTGTTAATGACTGTAAACTGGTCTATCATTTGGTTTGCTGTAAGGATAATATTTGCCAGTTTTCATATTCAAAGTTATATCCAAAAAATTAACTCTTTTCGATATTGCTTCAATGGTGATTTTTAATTTTTCAAGAAAAGTTTTTGTGATTCTTTTTTAAGCTTGTTGACATCGGAGATGTTTTAAAGGCTGCTAAATCATCAAAAGGTCCCACAAGTTCACATACGTCAGCACCATTATAACTGTCCATCATAACATCAAATAAACCATTGCCTTCACTGCATTTGATGTACTGAGCACTATTTTAACAGTGAGATAATTTATTTTTTTTTTTTTTTTTTAGTAAAAAATAGATTTCTCTTTTCGAGTCATTTCGATATTTAGAAATAAGAAGTACATCACAAACACATGACAATATTATGGAATAAGCATACTTGTTAAATCAAATTTAAGAATTCAATTTAATTAAAGAAGTGTGCTTATTCCATTATATTGTCTTGTTTTTGTGAAAATATATCTTGTTTTATTAAGTCTATTTATATTGTATATAATATAGCAGATGTTCTCGTTTTGAGTCCCATGACTTAAAACATAAAATATGTCTTATTTAGTTAAAAGGTAATTCCAATTCACAATCGTAATGGCTAGTTGTGAAAATGATCTTGTGAGCTCAAAGATTTTAAGATAAAGAAAACTTGAATAGAATAGACAAAACTTGAATAGAATAGACACCAATTTCGTAACTTTCTCATTAGTAGAAAGTTGCAACCTTTACTCCCAATACCAAATAATACGGTAAAAGACTCTATAATAGCTTATAAACATACCTGGCTCTGCATCCTCTGAAATATCAATAGGAGATGATGGTCCGATTATAACTGGATCAAATTCATTGACTGGATTAACGTTGATTAAAAGAAAAGCAAATCCAGATTGTGGTGGTGTTCCCAAATCTCTTGCTTCGATTTTTAAAGAATGGACAGTATCCGTTTCATAATCAACTGATGTTTTAAGAGAAACATCTCCAGAGTTTAAATCAACCTGGAATATTGGTGCTGAAATTAAAGGGTTCATGGTGTACTCAAACAAGTTATTGTTAAAATGAATACAACTACTTGTATTATCTTATTCAATCTGTTACAATGATAATAGTTAAAGACTAAAAGAGTGTGCAAAAGTAAAATAAATGTCTATTTAAGTGTTTATATACTATAATAAATGTTCTTACAGTTAAGATAATATCTTATTTGACCATTTACACCATATTCAGGATCTACTGCACTAACAGTTAAAATATAGGTTCCTACCCCATCATTCTCTGATATATTTCCTTGATAAAACACCTAAATATAAACGATTTTTAATTTTCACCTAATTAGCGACTATGGGAGATTTATTCCTATGAAGTATTGGCAGTCATTTTATGATAAGACCAGTCTCCTGTTTCTCAAAAATTCGCACGATGAAAAATTGTCGTAATGAGTAAATACCACTCTTACAAAAAAAAATGAACGTACGATTTTCGAGAAATGGAGGCCAGATGCGTAAAGTGAAGAACTGAATACAGTAGGTACGGGCATTTGCTTGAAATTAGCATATATCCTTATTTCGTGCCAGTCAATTAATAAAATCTATGCATCATTATCATTTCTCATGGAGAGCACAATCTGAATTGATACAAAAATTTATCCACGAATATGAAACAAATTTATATATACCTCTTCAAATGTAGGAGAAATATTATTTTCATCGACAATAGTAACATTGACGGTAACCTGCTGGGAACCTTTAGATTTATCTGAATAGGCTATGACATCCATAGTAACCCATGATGCTGTTAATCTATTCATAATAGACTTTACAGATACAGCACCTATAATAATAGTCAATAACCAGAAATTAACCAAACATCACCTAACCTTGCTAAATAGTGTATATTACGTCGAAATAGTATATACTGTCAAAAATTTGTTTAAAAATATTTCCAGTTTGGAACGCCCTATGTGGAAGCAAGATTTAAAAAATCCCACTCATAGGCCTACTAATCGGAAATTTGTCTGATGTAGTTCAGTGAGCCAACTTCGTGGTCTGAAATCAGACTGAGACAATTGCTGTATTCTGAAATCCATAATCTCTATAGGCCAATGCTCTTAAAGAAGAGTATCTCTTATAACACCTAATACTGAGTCATATTTTGCATGTAAATAAATTTTCTAACCAGTGTTTTGGTCAATTTGGAACCAATCTGGATTTGGTGGTGTCAACATTTCGTATTTAATTTTTGATGCATCAGTATTAGCTTGGTCGGCGTCATTAGCTGAGAGAGTAAATACAATGCTTCCTAGAGGTGCTACCTCACTTACATCTGGAATAGAAACAGATTTATTTAATTAGGTTTCACTCGTGGAAAATGGTTCTGTACGGACTGATGACCCGTCCTACATTACCTGTTCCAATTTGAATTGCTCTGTGCTTTGTAATGTAAGCCTTGAATCCAGATACACTTAAATAATATAAAAATTAATGAATAGACATTCCCGTTTCGAAAACTAATTAATATTGTGCCTAATTAACAACTTACCTATTAAAATGGGATTAGAAGGCCATGTTGGTGGGTTATCATCAACATCTGTAACAACTATACCATATACAACAGTTGATGTAAGACGTGTCGTCGTTGACGAATCAGACACGTCTACTTTTACTTCATAAGTCTTCTGAACTTCATAATCAACTTTAGATTTTAAACTGATGTCTCCCGTAGTGGAGTCGACTTGGAACTTGGTCATTGTGCTCGCATCATTACTTGCTGAAATAGAATCACCGTAGTCCCCATCTGAAGTACCCTCAATTGATAGTCTCACTGTTTCATCATAAAAATATATATGTTAAAAATACATTGTCGTGGTTTGAAAAATCAAGATTGTTTGAGATTACTCAATTAGCTTTGAGTCCGAAAAACATTAAATTCGAGCTCTGATATCACTGCGTTTTCGGAAAATATACAATGTTCGGTACTTGATGATGAAAAAATAGTGTTATAACCAAACATACCCGATAAAGTATATGCGACTGCACCATTTATACCAGAATCCTCATCAGTACAAGTAATACCGTCTATTTTATTTTCAATACCATAATCTTCTGGTACATTAACCACTTTATAATACTTAGGACAGACCTGAGATAAAAGAAGACAAAACAATACTTTTCTCTCTTTTATTCCTACAAGTTATATTCGATTTTGAATTAACTTAATCTATTTTTTGATGTAGGCTACTTTATAGTATCTCTATAAGGATGAACCTACCGGATGATTGTCATTTACATCAACAACTTTAATCACTAGAGTTTCAGTATTAGCAGTTTTAGGTGGGACACCAGAATCAACAGCTTGGATGGTTAGAGAGTACGACGTCTTTGTTTCATAATCAAGTTTACCATTTAAATAGAGATCACAACTTCCTCTATCTAAATACCAAACATCATCTTCCGGTGATGCTGAAGGAACAAAATATACCATTTTGAACTGAAATTTTCCTTTTTAAATATTTTTTCTAGATAATAATGTTTTCCTTGATTGCGATTTTAGTTTTTTTTATATATTTGTCGGACAGTAGGTTCAACCAGACCATCATTAAACAATATTACAGGCAGTAATAACCGATGACGTAGATGTATGCAATGTTTGCAAGTAGTCAAGATTAATAATGTCCTGGAAATGGCGAGAGTCTAGACTGTCAAGTAACATGGTGGTGAATTGTAGATGAACTGTTCGATGTAAGTTGAGCTCTATGTATTGTTGAAATGAAAATCCACCAAACCAACAACAACAGATGAGAAGTAGATGTTGATTAGCAAGCACATCCATCAACCTACATCATTTTATGTGGCGTTGCTTACAACTAGTGTAGAGGGATTGTATACTTACTAGGGTTTAAAATAGTAAAATGCGATACATCTGTCTTATCGTTATCCTTTGTAAAACAAGTAGCGACTTTATATCCAACAGCAACATCTTCATTTATATTTACTGATGATGGTAAATCCTTGATTATTGGATAGTTATCATTAGTATTTAAAGCTTTCACTCCAAGGTTAATAAGATCACTTTCTCCAGTAGAACTTTTTACTTCTATATTAAGCTATAAAATTTTAATTAATGGCTTTGATTATTCGACTGCTGCTTGGCTGGGTTTATGTCTTGTTTCTGTGTTTTATGAAATATTGCCATGAAAACTGACGTGATGTTCAGATGACAGCAACACACAATTTCAGCTGACGCAGACTTCATTTTGTGCAAGTTCTCAAAGGCGATAGTCATCGAGTGTGGGTAAACTCGTTTGGTCATTCGTTGCAAAAAGATTAAAAAATCTCCACATATCATGTGATAAGTTTAGTCACATATGGACACATGTTTATGTGTGCGGATAACAAAAGCTATCTACTTATAGGAAAAATGACATAAATTCGGACACATGATCCATCAGCTTAGGTACTTTTCCTTAAGGCGATAGCTTTTGTGTTTTGGTAAAAAAAAATTGTATTTTATATAATTGTTTGATAAATTCTGTCAAGAATGAAATTGAAAAAATGCTTGTGCTATCTTAGAGACCAGGCCTAATTTAAAATTTCTTACTGAGGAGACAGGAGAGAAATTACCCATACAGAGGAGAAACTTACGTAGAATTTGCTAACGAAATCTGCATTCAATTTAGCTTTGATTTGCACAATTCCATTCATACCCATCTTAAGTTTTTCTTTTTTTTGTTTTGGAAAAGCACTTTGTATAGAATAAGTTAAAGTTGCACCAGCAGCGTCGTCGCTACATGGTGGTGTAAATAATACAGTATTAACTGGTGCACTTTCTAGAATCGTAACTACGAAGGCATAGTTTGTGCACGTAATTTTACCATGTCCTGAATTATAAACATATTATTTAGATTAAGAATTACTGTGGTGATATGAAGCATCAATGTAATCAAATAAATTATGATTTCAAAAGTGTTTTAAAGTCAAGATAAAAGGTAAAATTCCGATTCACGAATGGTAACATGGTAATGAATTTTATTATAATTCTTTCTTCCTTGGGTGATAAGCAATTAAATGGCACTTATTATAGATACACTATGCTTCTAGGGTTCTGTTTAGTGTGCTAGTGTCACCTGAGGTTACTAAGAAGACATCTCTGTTGTTGAATAAATTTTACCTTTTGAAGTAAATACAATCAAAATAACAGAAAACAGAAACAAAATTTTACACGCCATCCAAAACGTTCCAGTGAATCTGTAATTCACTACTGTAATTTATTTCAATACCAGAACTGTTCTCTTGGTTTACTAATTTTACTCTCGCCCTGGAAAAGCGAAAATGCAGATTAGTTGTATTACTTTGTGAATCGAGGTTTTTGTTTTATGCGATATACGGTGAATAGACGTTTTCCGATCAATTACGAATAAGACCTGCACTGCTATAATTGTAAATTATGTAGTTATTATATAGCAAATAATAATAAACGTAAATTTTTAATACAGCAAGTAATGATCCGAGCGAATGGAAAAGTTTCAAGACTACTCCACTACGGGCGACATCAGTTTAAAATGCCAAGTCGATTATGAAATCCAAAAAGCATAAATATAGCAAATAATAACAGAAGTTAATTTTTTTCACAGTAACATTGCTTTAAGCAAACTACGACTTCCTGACCACAGTAAATTACATATAGCTTATTGTATCGTTATCATAATATTTGAACGACATTTATAAGCGCGAGGCACATATATAACACAAGACAATAATTATGGGATGAAACACGCTTCTTTAATACATGGTTATAACGTTTCAACACGTGTCGTCATCAGATGAAATGATGAAAGAATAAAACATAACAAGATATATACTAACTAGGGATAATAGGGGGATTAAGGAAAGAAATAAAACATAAATAGATATATACTAAGGATAATAGATAATAAAAAGTCATCTCCCTCATAATTTCTTCCCAAATCTTAATCTTGAATTGTTCTTGTATAACTAAAAACCCATACAACAAATTGTTTCTATTTGACATAACAAAATTTTCGGTCAAAATTTATTTTGATCCAAAATGATGGTAAAATACATACCTTGAGACTTTCGTTGTTCCTGATTTCACACTTAAAGTTATTTTTAAAATATCCGTGATAAAACATTACATAAATGAAATTGTATTAAAGAAGTATTGCTATATTACGATCTATGTCAATCCCATTAGATAATAATATTATCGATTTGAAAAGAGGGCGTTCAGCAAGGATATGTAATAAAAAATAAAGTAATCTCTATTTCGCTTTGACTAAGTCAACAATAGGCTATTAATACAGAACTAGTCTGCGAGACGGAATAACATACACCCACTGAAAAGATATGAGTTCAGAATGGTATAAAATATGAAGCAAAACTAAGTAATGCTTATATTATGTATTCTAAAATTGTATATTACGGGACGATACAATTGAAAAGTTATGAAATCATTTTTCTTTTGTTACAAATATTCGAAAAAGTTTCTTTCTTGTGTTACAAAAATTCGAAAAAGTTTTTTTCTTTTGTTACAACAATGCTCCTATAATATATTTATGCAAGGCGAATATTCCTCCAATGCGTTCTGTACGTTTTATGAAACAATAGAAAATAGGCATTAGTGCTCATTTTGGCGCCTTACTTTACTTTCCATTAGACAGTTGATATAGGTTTTATACCAACCCTTTTTTGGACAGGATGACCCAACCTAAATTGCTATTATTGTGAGAGTAGTAAGCTATGTATGGTCGATTTTGGGTGAGAACAGCCATACACTTTATGACAGAGGTGTAAAATTGTAAGAAGATCGGATTGACGTAAATGGGTTTGGGATAATATATATACACACATGTCGTAAGTCTTTACAAACCAACAATCACTACACATAATAAAGAGATATTTACATTTTTATTTCTTCATTTGGACAATATAAGCTGTGACAAGAAGTGAAAAGAAAGTCATAAAATTACAATGATTGTTAGTTGTTGATATTTTCTAAAGAGGTTGTTAAGTTACATATACAAAAAGTCTAGGAAATATAAAGAAAGTGGAACACGGCCAGGTGCACGATCGAGCTTAATGTGACCACCTAAATAGCAGATAATGACACGATAGCACAGACCCACCATTATATCTACAAAGGAGTAACGGTAACTTAATACACATTATAGGAAACACAAGAAAGATGCCACCAACATCACAGTCACCGGTGCAGATATGTTATCGCAACTGCTTTTAGCCAGATCAGAAACTGAAAGTTTGGTTCCATTTACATCTAAAAATAAATGTTCATGGAATTAATCTTATGTAATACCTAATTATGGTCACACTATTTACACATTGACTTATCTGATTTATTACATCAAGGGATGGTCTGGAGAAGTTGTAAACTATATACAGGGGTTGACTTATATCAGAAATATGTCTTTGTCGAGTGGAAGTCTGATGACCACGCTGATGACAGCAGTCAAACCGCTCTGTTCGACAAGATCCATTATTTTTGCCAGAAACTAGAACATGAGCAATTGTGACAAACGATGCTTTAACATTCTGCAAGATGCAGACAGATGCGAACAATCCACTTGTTGTCATATTCTGCTTGCAATGTACATGAGCTCATATTTTATTCATGTACATATTTTATCCAATCAGAAAATGATAGTAGAATTGTTCTTGTTATTTCGGTTTATATAAACGTCTACTCACCTCGCTTTCTTGGGAACTTTGAAGTACCTGAATATCAAACAAAGTAGTTGATGTTACTTGTCTTACTTAGGTTTTATAGATTACAATTAATTAATTACAAGTATTAATTTTCTATTAACCAAATTACAATAACACATAGAAACTAGAACCACACGTGGCACAGAGTGGGACTTTGCAAATGTAGCAAATTGCAAAAGACCCTGAAAAAATCAACCTTCCACGATAATTAAATCAAGCGCAAGAACAGTCTAAAGTTGAGAAATTTTCATTTTTTAGAAGATTTTAATACCGGATGTGGACGTCAGACCTCACAAATGAAAGTATCAGCAGATAGCCAAGGTCAATGACCTTTGATCTTGTAAAGGAGGTCTAAAAAGGTCAAGATCAAGAGATATACGCCATTAAAATTTCAAATTGCTAACGACTATAAAACCGGAAGTTGACATAGGACAGCAAATATAAAAGTATAAATAGATAGCCAATGCCAATGACGTTTGATCCTACAAAGGTCAAGGTCAACAAAGGTCAAGGTCAAAAATTGAAAATTTTAAATTTCCAAAACCTGTTCCTTTTTTGAACTACGTTATGTCCCAAATGTCAAGTTCCTACATAATAGAGGTCAAAAGATATAGGTCCACAAAAGTCAACAAAGGTCAAAATTGAAAAATGAAAATATCCAAATGTTAAAACCCGTTCCTTTTTTGAAACTATAAAGCTGAAACAACTGAGCTGTTAACACAAAGTGGTCAAAAGGATGAGGTAATTGTGTGCAAAGTCTCTTTTTGAACAAACGCATCCTATGCGAGTTATGCCCCAGCCCCAAAATGTAAACAGTTAGTAATTCAACCCGGATGTGCCACGCCCACCCCAATTTTTTTGTCATAGGTGAATTCATATTCAAAGTGTCTAGTTGTATTCCAAATATCAAGGTTCTCCATAAAATAGGTCATAAGATATACATACACCAAGATCAAAAAGACACAAATATGGTAAAACAAAACTCAAATTTGAAAAAGTCACGAATTTCAATTTTGCTTTAAAAAAGCAATTGTTCTATATCTATGTAAAGTGCATGAGAAGCACATTAGGAAACCGAAAAAATTAACCCTCTAGGTTAACTAGGTCATGTGCTAGAGCAGTCAAAAATTGCGAATTTGCCTTTTTACGGATAGCAATAAAACCGGAAGTACATATCGGGGGTCAAAGGTCAAAGTATCAAAAGATAGCCATATTCAATGACCTTTGACCCTATAAAGTTCAAGGTCATCAAAGGTCAAGGTCACGAGATATACGCCATCAAATATTGAAAAAATTCAATCGCAATTTGCAAAAAAGCAAAATCGAAATTCAAAAATCGGCTTCCTGCGATCTCTCTTAATTTTTATGTTCTTTCATTTGACACCAAAACTTTGAAATTTGGTTCAGCCAAATTGGCTGAATAAAAATCGAAGAGTTTCAGGAAAATCAAAATGGCGGCCAAAGTATCACTTCCGGTCGGAATTTTATTTTAAAATCGGCCATAGATTTTTATTTTATATCGATCAACGAAATTCCGTTCATTTTGATAAATTTCACCGGAAGTTATTCGACAAATTCGATTTTGGACTTCAAGTGACTCAAACTTCGAAACCGGAAATGACTGTATCATATCACTTACTTAAGTGATGTCTATTTGCATTTTAAATTTCAGATCAATCGATGCAAAAACAAAAAAGTGGCCAAAAAATTGAAAAATTTGATCGAAAAGTTTGCGACAAAGTTTCGAATTTCGAAATTTTTCAAGTGCTATCTAGTCGACATTAGCCACCGGATGTTAAAATTGAAAACCCCGGGAAAATCGACGCATAAATGCGCCTTCTAGAGCCAATTTTCGAGTTTTGCACATGTTGAACTGTAGCACTTCCGATTTTGCAAAAAAGATCCAAAATATATTTATGCACATCGTCGCCTATATCTAAGGTTCGTGAATATTGAATGGTTGCTGCAACTATTGTAGACTAAGCTCAGGAAGGTGTGTAAAAATCGAAAAAAAAAAAAAAAAAAAAAAAAAAGAATTGACATTTCGATAACAAACTGGGACCTCAATTATTTAACTTAACTTTAAATAATAATGATATACCAAAAGGGCCAGTTGAATATTTAAATAATAAAATGTAAATTATATGGAAATGTTTGTAGTGCTATTTACAAATCAACCATTGCGTATTAATATATAAACAGTACATGTACTTACAAATATCTATCATTGACAATTCAATATTAATTTCATCATAGGTGAACGTCTCTTCTTTTACATCCAATTTCTGTAGAATCTCCTTTGTGTGGTTTGATAGGACTACATTTATAGCATCTTTCAAATCTTTGGATAAAGGATGGGTAGGATCAACTGACATGTGGCCTCTTTGCAGTGCGTTTTTTATAGCAAGTTTTCCTGGCTGACGCTTTGTGCCTAACCGACCTCTTCCTTTAAGAATGGTATCTAAAAATAGAACATGCAAATAATGATAAGTGCGAGTAGTATTATACTATTGCGTGATATTAACCTATGAAAAAAGATATTAGATGAAACAAAAGATATTAGCATATGGAACATGAAATTGTTTGCTGTGATGAAACATGACTAATATGTGCAGATCTTTCTAGATTATCATTTTTTCTCAAAGCACTTTCTTATTATTTGCTGAAGATTATCACTCACTAGGACAAAGACGCAAATTACATTACCCATCAATGTTGGATTTGACGTAGGCGACTTTTTGACAATATCATGAAATTCTGGCAAGGCTGGTGCTAAATGGCCACATACAGTAACATTTTTTATGTAATAAGACCAGAGTTTTAGAGCTGTTTGTTGACCTTCAAATGATGCAATACTCCCCATGACGTCATGGAATCTGGTAACAAGTTCTCTTGGAGGGTCATGTTGATATCCAAATAACCCTTTGTAGGTTATTCTAGAACACTTGCTTACTACCAAGCATCTGAATGAAAGCAGAAAAAGAGTCAATTTTAAGCCTTAGGTAAATATCTCATTTGAAAACACGTTTCTTTTCAATTTTTATACTGGCTCGAATATTGGTTGTAAGAAGATTGCATGAATGATTAATGGTCGTATCTTTATAATATCTCCCAGTGATTAAGTCAGTTATTCCCATGGTTTCTACATAAACCTGGAGTGGAACAATCGTCTACCACACAATACAAATTCCAAACTTTAAATTATAAACCAACACAGCGGATTTTGTATTACATTTCCGAATTTCAAGAAAGAAATTATCAATACCATAAGCCTGTTCAGTTGTTATATCAATTTGATAAATTACAGATCAAGATTAGTACGTCAGCGTTTTCTGACAAATATACTTACTTGTCGGTAGATTTTGAAGCAGATGGGGAAGATGGGGTGATTTTGTGAGCTATCGCGGTGTAGATAGAGATTATCACCAATAATGCGACACAAACTGAAAAAAAAAACACCAGATTTTCATTTAATGTACTAATGTAGTAAAAAACAAAAAAAGTTAATACCTTGATGTCCATTAATTTCAGTAAACACAGATGAGTGTCAGTAAATCCGTCAAGAAGTGTCACTGTATTGCAAACTTCAATTATGACTAAATAACTATTTCTACAATATGCTTAATCTTCATCCAACATTACGTTTTCCTTTATTCTAACTCTAGTTGATGAATTGTAACTTACGCGTTCTGAGATACATTTTTAGTATTACTTCAATCGAAAAAATATGTCTTCTTCTTGTGAATCTTGAGATACTTTATGTGAAAAATGCTATTTTATTGACTGAGGTTATATATATATATATGGTACCTTGTACATCATATGACTTCAAATTATAATGTAGCCATTGTGAAATATTGAATTTCTTAAAAAATGTTTGGATCTCGGTATTGTTTTCGATATGGTGAGATATGGATTACGTGTTAATGATAAGGTTGAGAAATTCAATCAAAACGCGATAATCTCCCTTGGTATATTTGATATGAAAATTGCACTGTTAATGATACATAATAAATCATTGATAGCTGTTTTAGGCTCAGGTATTACAACTCGTGATTATTTGAAGTTATAGGTTAAAATCTAAATCACTATAGCATTTTTAAAGGGATACATTTATCTATCTTCAAACGTTTCATACAACGTTAACTATTCAGAGGTTCTGAAAACATGACCCTGCCTTGCGTACACGACTAATAATGTTCAGTCTTGGAAATAAGAGGACCAGATGCGTCGGAAGAAAATGAAATTGAGAAGTCATATAGTTATTGTTGTAATTCAATACAATTTTATGACATTCACGCTAGATGCTTAGAGAGAGTCAGTAGTTTTCTGGTTTTCAGTGGTGATGCATGTCGCAGAGTCTGACGCTGACAAGGGTGAAGCAAGTAATTCAGGTGGGACAACAGACCGAGATCCCGTGTGTTACACCTTAATGATCACTGTCTTACAGGAAGAAAAATCCTATCACAATGTTTCTCAGAGCACACTGCAGAGAGTAGCTGTATAGCCACTAGTCCAACATGCGTCAACAGCAGATAATAATTACTGTATTAGAAAAAACAACGGCGATATGTGTGCCGGTTGTCCTATCTCCCACGGAACAAATTATGTACTGTTAATAGCTCAATTAAAGATGGGTTTCCTTATTTTTTAGTGTCAAATTAAGAAAACTATTTGACATATTGGTGTTTTTAATGAATTATCATGTATTCTTAATCATATCTTTATGTTCTTATTGTATATAATTAAGAGTTTTAACCAATCATAAATGCTCATGTATGTACAGTATGGATAAACAAAAAAAGACTTTTTGACCTTTCTTGATCGTCACTCATTGGAATTTTGCTGGTAATTATCTTCTAATTTAGCTAATTATGAATTAATTATGGACATGTGAGACTGATATTTTTCAAAGTCATTAGAATACCTCTACTTTCTATTCATAAAAGTATTAGCATTTTCACTTTTAAAAATGAAATTAAGAGAACCCATCTTTAAGATATCGAGAAAGTATTGTCAGATTTTCAACCTATCACAGCCCTTTCTTTTTACATCTTTCAATGGGGGTGGGAAAATCTGACATTGTACATAATTCTATTCGAATGGTGAAATAAACAGAGGTCTGATGTGCTACAGTCTGTGCTAGTTAGAGTACCAGTGAACCAAGTATGCTAATGACGCTGTCTATGACGTATTAATGACCGATTTATTTAATAAAATAATCTTACATTTCTATTTTTGATGCATTAAATTAAAAAATCAACATTATAACAATATTATAGAAATATATTCAAGCGAAGAACAATAATAAATGTAATTCTTAATAACTTATAGTAATAATGTACAAATACAACGGTTTAACCTTTTATGTATTGTAACTCAATAGATTTACCCGATTAATCGTGTATAAAAACACCACAAATACCTTGACACTAATTCAAACGATTCTTTATTCTGTTGTATTTTACCCTGAACTCCACTTAAGTGCCAATTGATCTATTTTAATAGCCTTTGTTTTCAATTGGACAAACGCCAAGACCAATCCTTTGCGTTTTGAAATGATTTGTTCAAATGCAATTTTATTACATTGGTGTCAGGTGCTTTTAGTTAAATGACACCCTTTAATGTAATTTTGAACTAAACAACTGAGATTCAAAGCGAAGATTTAACACATTTCTTTTAGAAATGACAATTATGTTATTAAATACCAATATCTAAAGCTTTAAATACTAATATCAATATGATGTATTGTACGTTGATATATATATATATATATATAGAGTGGTTAATATATAGAGTGGTTAATAGAATATCGCCGTGTCTACGACCAATACAGTCACTCGGTGCAAAAAGGGAGAGAAATAAAGAATGTTGCAACCTATGTACATAATTTACATATATATATATATACATAATTTTCAAAAAAGTTGAATTAATTCTGTTGTTTCTTGGGGTTTTTTTTTCTTGGGGGGAGGGGGGGGGGATTGTATTTTTAACTTCTGGCACATGTAATCAACTTTTTTCCAAAAACAAAATCTACACCACGTAAAGCATTCCTCTTGTAAACATATCTTAGGGACGTTTTTATAAAGGAAACCTGAATTTTAATCTGATAAAAACCAACTTGTAGTATATATATAGCATTATGAGTTTCTGAATTACAAAAAAAAAATAAAAATAATATTTGATTTGTTTAAAAAGTAATTGGAAGAATTAATAAATATCGTGTATAAAAATAACATATATAATGTACTGAGTATGTTTATGGAACGAATTTTTCCGAATCTCTAATAACAAGCAAAGAATACAATGGCTAACATATGTTTAATTTTTGTTTAAGTCTTTTTTATCTTGCCTCGATTGAATTATCAGTCCAAGATGGTTTCACTTCTTAAAACAAAGGACAAACTCACAGCTGAACCTTCATTTTAACTCACAAATGAAAATAGTTTCAAATATTGCTTATATATCTGGAGAACGCACGCTGATAGAGCGTTGCATATTTAGGTTCGGCGTATAGTCTTGCTTTGCTTCACTAACTACAGTTAAGTTTGGCGTCGGCTTCTTTTTAGTCTTCCCCAACCTTCCTTGTCCAAAATTATGATCTTTATCTTCCCATAATGTACTACCACTTCTAGTATTATATGCATACCGCTGTTGTTTTTCTGAAAATATAGAACAAGCAATTTATTTAGAAGGTAAGACTGTCAATATGCGGTATGATAAACATACATTGTAACTGTAGATATGGTAATGAATTAAGGAAGATTCTAAGCGTCTGAATAAGTAATAATTTGTCAGAAACATATATAAGTATCTCTACACACATACACAACACATCGTCAGAAATTTTATAAAAAAAACAAAAATGATCCAAAGAATGCCTGCAACCGACAATAATAATATAGCCATGTTTTATACCAAGTAAACTTATGAAACTAGAATGTTTTCCAATAATTATCACACAATATATTATCTAACATAGTGTTTTCAAATTGGAGCGTTAAGAATTGAACGTGCATATACTATACAATACCAAAATACTTAATGCATTCTACATCTCAATTCAATTTGAAAAGAAAAGTCAATATTTTCAGATTTTCAGACTCACAAGATGGAATTCTATTAGAAATTGGTAAAACAGAGTTCAGAAACTGTTCAACTGTGGCAAAAAAGGGTGAATAGTGTGTTCATAAAAATATATGAGAGAATGTTGTTCTCGTAATGTTATAGTATATGATACAAATTATCATTGTTTTTAAAGAGAACAATGTTTTTGTAGAGGTTAAAAAAAGATGAGAACGTGTTATTTTTTAAAGTACCCAAAGAATCTCTGAACAAGAAGAAAAATTAGTGGATACGCTTAATTAAATGGCTACATAGTAGTCCCCTTTTCCATGTCGTGCAGATATCACGGTGATCGGCTAGTGTGCAGGTGAAGGAGAAAGAGCAGAGACAGCACACCGTAGACTCACCACCAAGTGTTTAACAATTACTATCATCCATATCAGCTAAGGATGGTAGTTTGGGTGATTCAGGATTTTGTGAATTCACAAAAGCTGGATGACGTCGAAGATGGGGTGGATATTGGGATGATATGTGGGCTGTGTACTCTGATATTGTTATCGGATTTTTCTTGTGTAGTACCAATGGAAGATTGATTATACTGATATTTTCGTTCTCAATGGAAGTGGTATCCGTGATTGCATCTGATAAATGATCAGATTCATCTTCAGAGATTATGTCATTTTCATACTTTCCAAGTTTAGTGTCGGTGATATTGTTGGCCATCCTTTCTTCGTCGACAAAAGAGAAATCCATAAGTTTTTCGAAGTTGCTAGTATCTTTGGGTTTACGAGTGACACTAGAAACCCAATTCGAATAAAATGGGTCAACGGAAATTGGGTCTCTCCAGGCCGGGTATCGCTTAATATCTCTGTTATAGTTAGGAATAGCATAGTTAGGAATTGGCTTAAATACTCTTTCGGATGCTTGTCTGGGCACTTTGTTATCAACCTCAACTCCTGTTACTGCAGATTGTGCGCCTTTCATGTTATTTTCTGTTCCTTTTTTGGGATAGTTAATTTTAAACCTGTCAACCGAAGACTCGTTGGTTTTCTTGTTGAAGTTATGGGTAACTTTAGACGATGAACGAACGTCAGATTTTTGTCCAGTAATTGGTTGTAACTTATGTGGCAATACCTTCCTTTTTGGGAAAATCTTATTAGATTTCTTCTTGGGTATGCTGTGGTTATTGTTGAGCAAGTTATTTTCTGGGTCATTTAATACTGGGATAGATGCTTCAATTGGTTCAGACGAGGTGGAAATTTCGTCTAAATTATTGCTTTGGGAAGACCGAGATAAATTATCACCCTTCGAATCGCTTGGTTCTGGGATGGTTGAATCATTGAAGATAGCAGAGCCACTCGTTTCAGGTAGATTTGACTGATTGTTGGTCTCCTCTTTTGAGCAGATTGAGGATTCTGGAGATTGACAAGATATAAAGGTACCCTGAGAGTATATGGATTCTTGAAAAGCTTGACAACTTTCGGCCGTCTGCCTGTTTTCTTTCACTGGAAAAGTTTTACTACCAGGAACAGCCGAAATGGCAACAGTATCATTTGAAGATGATGGTACTGACAATTGTTTGGCTTCTCCACCTGTGTCAGAATAATCATCATATTTAGATAGGTCAAATGCTTATAAGGAATAAATGCGTAATGATCGTAAATAAATACTAGATTTGTTAGAACAAAATATGGTAAATTTCATTAAATAAATACAGTGTAGTGTTTAAAAATTACCTCAAAAAATTAGGTATGAATAATCAAATAAATAAATAAATAAATTCTTACCCGTATCAAAACCAACACCATCATATTCTTTTCCTCTATGTACTACAGGAGCATTAGTCCTAACGATACCTTCAGGGTGACTTGTAGGTCCAGTTTTATTTGGATCTATTATATCAGCCTTCTTCTCTTCAAATTTGGTAAGAGGAGTTAATTTTCCACCACGTAGTGGCGAATCATCTTGTGGAAATGCTGCCGAGGGTTTACCTGCTTGAATTTCTACTGGAGTTAATATTGGGTTGATATCACTCAAAGCACCAACTGAAATTAGATAGAAAGTTTTACAGAATCAAAGCTAGTATATAACAGATATAGTTTTAGTTTCTCGTAGATATCATTCTCAACCAAACACAAAAGTACAGACGATTGTATATAATTATGTACTTAGATGTTCATCCTGAAAATTATTGATTTCAAGTCGACAATCAATATATTGTTCCCGAATGAATATTTTAAATATCTTACTATGTCTGTCATTTCTGTCTCTTGATGGAACAGCTACACCTTGAACTCCTAGAGCTTGTGATGCTCTTGTATTCTTGTTCGTTGATTGATTACCAAATGAAGCCAGTGTTGGAGCCAGATTGCTCTGAAACAGAAATAAAACATGTTTTTTTTATAATCTTTCTATACTCAGTATAGTAATAAAACTGTAAATGAATGACAAGTAATATTTACCCTTTTTCTGAAGTCATGACTTCTTTGGGATCCAACCGGTTCTGTAAGAAAAAGAGAAGACATATAGTTAAAGCAGAACGTTTTGCCACTAGGTTTTCAACATTTGGTGAGGAAAAGGGAATGGAATTATTTACCAATTAGTTGTTGAAGGAGGTAGGAGGAGGGGTTGAATTTCTCATATATATATATAAGCAAATAAACAATATTAGCGACGTGGACTCACTGAAGGGAACGCATAGTGTTGACAAACACAGTCTCAAATCAAACCATCAAACTTATACTAATCTTTTATACATACCCGTAACTAAACTTTCTGCAGATTCATTGTGTCTGAAATAAAAACATTATATTTAAAGGACTTCATATTGTTTACTTTTTATTTTGCAAAATGGGTTTAATTTGTCTGTAGTAATTCCTGTTTGAATACGAATCGAGTATGGTAATATGTTTTTAACTGTGCCTTCAGTTCCTTCTTTAAAGTTACAGTATCAATTTTTAGGAGTTTATAGTTGCAAAGAAATTGTCCTTTCAAGCGAATGCAAATTAAAAATAAATTCATAGTTAAATGTAAAACCATCAACTAGGGAAGAAAACAACAATATCAGCATACCTTCTTTGTTCGCGCTTCTTCTTTTTATAACAACAGAAGATAAAAATGATGAGTAAAATAAGTAATAATAACAGAGCCAACATGGCAAAAGTTATGTAACCATCTAATGAACTTGCAAATGCGGGATCCTTGTCTTCTTCTGCTACTGGTGGATCAGGTATATAATATCCATTTACTGCCGTAACTAGATAATTAGAAGTGGGTAGTGATGGATGGGGTGTATCCTGTTCGGCAACCATTCTTAATGTCTAAAATAACATTTATCACAATCTTTTAAAAAATAAACATTACAGTTCTGATTATGTCGTTTACACAAACATGATATCAAATATCTAATTGAAATATCTTACATAATACACAATCCAAAACTTTATGCAATACGTTTATATGTTAAAGCCAAGAAAGGTTTAGTTTACAATCCCAATTTTTATATGGTTTAACCCAACTGTGGGTAAATAGTCAAACCATGTTTACTATTAACACAATATGCTACAGTGCCATCATTGACGGCTTCAGAGGACGGAAACATCAACGACCCAAAATTAAATTTTTTTGTGTGGAAATATGCTTTTCGTCTTTGTAGGATTTAAGCTTATTTATTCCTAAAGACCCACTGACTCCCTCTAGAATAATTTTGATAAAAGATTGGCGGAGCCCCGTCCAATTCAAAATTCTGCAGCCGCCACATAGTGTCATTGCTTTCATATTAGTTATGAAATCTTTATATCGTGAATTCATGGCAAGTTGAGTCACCACCAGAAAAACCCACAACTGATTGAAGTTACCTCTAACATGGTGTTCATGGGCATAAAAGTTCTCTTTTCATCAACATCGGCAATGTCATTAGATACTGGTCCTTTCATAACATAAACTAATCCTTCAGAGCTAAAACATTACAAAAAACTATTAACGCAAGCTTTAACAAACTAAAGAACATGTACTTGAAACTGTCAAGCCCGGTCCAAGCAACTCGTGGTGGTTTAGGGTCGTTATAACATATTAGAACCGCGCGACATATCTGTTCACAAGATTTGTTAACCCCCTCCGAGCATCCACTTGTTGTATATTATAATTGTGTTCTAGTAATTCTAGTTAATAAGTTGTGTTTCTATCATAAACTCATTTACCTTGTTGCTAACAATTTACGACGAGATTGTGATGTTGTGGATCCATATGGTATTATTTTCCACATTTTAGGAACATCTTCTTGTTGGAAATAGGTTTCTAAGCTCTGTGTCATTTCGTCTCTAAAATGAAGTTATCTGAGTTGAGTTAACTTGTTAAAAAAGGATTTGTTGAACGTCGACAGAAAAAATAAACATAATTACAACATCCCAAATAAAATAACTCTTACCTATATTGTTGCAAATACTCAGCATCCATATCTGATTCCAATGAAACAAGATGCTGATTTGGGTTAAACGTATCAATTCTTAACAATCCAAGTACACTACTTTTATTGACTGATGTTTCTTGAGTAACAACTATCCACACGAAATATTTTAATTCTGGTTCTAACAGATTCGACTTCGCGACTGTAACCTGTCCATTTATATCAACAGCGAAAATTCCTTCTCTATTCAATGTAGTAAACTTGACTGAAGCTGTATCAAATCCAAAATCTTTCCCGGTTAGTCTGATAACCGACTCTCCATTTGCTGCTCTTGAAGATGTTTCTGTTGAAATGTACACTGAAGGCGATTCTCCTGGCCCATTCACAATAACTTCATTGTCAAAAACATCAATTACGTTCACAGTGACATCTACGCTTCCAGTACGCTTTGTCGTACCTTGATCAACAGCAAAGACTTTGAATGACATTGTTTTAATAGTTTCATAGTCTATGGGCTTTTTCACCTTCAAGAAACGCCCATCTATTTCAAAATACGTTTTCGCCAATACTGGAGTGTCCGAAATACTTATGTCTGTTTTTCCCCCAACACCACTATCTGCATCCGATACGGTAAAACCAGTTATTATCTGACCCTGTGGTGTATTCTCTACAACATTGACAGAAACAGAACTTATCGAAAAAACAGGGTCATTATCATTGACGTCCAACACCGTGATGTTCAAAGATTTAGTGTAGTTTACTCCATTATTATCACTGATGTCAACAGTGAGGAGAAATGCAGGATATTCTTCACGATCAAGCACTCGTAATGTTCGAATCATTCCACTGTTTTCATCAATGCCAAAACTATTTTTGATGTTGCCATTACTTATGCTATATTTGATAATAGCTGTTGGATCATGTCCAGACTTCGGTGTAACTGCAGAAAGTTCAGCGCCAGCCAGCTCTCCTTCAAGGATTTCCATAGATTGATCGCTTGGTCCAAAAACTTTAAAAGGGAGAATTTGCACTTTAACCGTCATAGTAGCAGATCTTGTCGGAAATCCTTGATCTGAAGCCGTTATTACGAGGGTATATTCGTTATCAGATGTTCCAACACTCGAAGAGGTTTTGATTTCCCCGGAAACAGTACCAATGAGAAAGATACCATCACTGTTACCACTACTTATTGTATACTCAATGGCAGCATTCTCCCCAATATCGTTGTCCGTAGCTAGCACTGTAATAATCAAGGTACCTGGTGGATCTGATCTACTGATTATTGCATCTTCAGTTGTACTTTGGAATGCAGGGTCCTGGTCGTTTACATCAGATACCACGATAGTAGCATATAAAATTCCACTTTTAATACCAGTCGTCGCCTTATCTTCAGCCCTTATAACCAGACTAAAAACATCCAAAGTTTCTCGATCGAGATCCGAAGCAACTGACAAAGCACCACTGTCTGAATTAAGAGATAATCTGTTATCTGTATTACCAGATACAAGGGTGTATCTAATATCCCCATTGATTCCAGTATCAATATCCGTTGCTTTCACTGTATAGAATGTTTGTCCAGTTCCCATAGACTCGATGACAATTATCGTTATGTTATCTGAAATGGAAAATAAGTTATCTAATTCTGTAAACTAAAAAAATGCCAATATAATCTACAACGTATCCCTATAATTTAAAATCACTCTATGTAGTAAATAAAAGAGCAGATGCTCAATTTTTTTTATGAGGGGGAGTGGGGGTCGGAGGATTTAGTCTTTAATATATGTACCTAGTCTTCAGAAGTACTGAAATGTAGGTAAATGGCATAATTTCCTCAAAAATATCTCAAACTAGGAATTTATGACAGTGTCCCAAGAAAAGACGACTTTTTAAACTTTCAAACTCGGATAATTCTGGACACACATGGATTTGAAGGCTCAAAATTCGACAGTGAGTTATGCACACTATTACTGATTGGCTTTGCTAAAGAAATTCACGTTTCTGAGAATAAGGTACGATTGGTCACAAAATGGCGCATCTGTCCCTCATACTTGAATCGTTTAAGTCAAATGCACAATAAATGATAATTGGAAATTTAATGTAAATCAATTTCTTTTTTGTTTCTGGACATTTTCAGAAGCTCTCATAAAGCAAAACCTCTTAATTGGTAAACTTACCTGGTGTAAATGTCGGTGCATTATCATTAACATCATTAATTTTAATAACAACTAAAGCTTCCCCTTGTCTCACTCCATCACCATTATCTACTGTAACTGGTATATTATAAACATTCTGTCTTCTATAATCTAAACTTTTATCAACTTTAATTATACCAGTAGCAGTCTCTATACTGAAATCATTTGATCCACTACTGCTACCCAGACTATAGAAACGTTTATTAAAAGGTGGTTTATCTAAATCTGTAGCTAACACTGTTCCTACAGTGTCACCTATTCCAGCATCTTCATCCATATTCAAGGTATATACACTTTGATTAAATATCGGAGTATTGTCATTAACATTCTGTATGTTTATATTAAGTGTGGTTGTTGACGAAAGTGATGGATCTTCCCTACTTCGAGCATCTATGATAAAAGTGTACGATTCTATACCTTCAAAGTCCAAATTTGACGCTATCCTTACGATACCATCGTTGTCCGAGATGTAAAAGTCATTAGCGTCATTGCCATTTCTTATACTATACTGTATTGTTCCAGAGGGACCCTCTTTTCCTCCTTCGGCAGTAGCATCCAAATCAAAAACAGTTTCTCCTGATGGTATATCTTCCCGTATCAGATTTTGATAGAAATCTTCCAGGAACTTAGGTGCTTTGAATTTCGGTAAAACATTTATAACAACACGAGTGAACCCTGATCGTGGTGACATACCGCCATCAGTTGCTTTAAGGGTTAGAGAATATAATTTCTGATTGTAATAATTAACTTGTGTACTAGTTCGGAGTTGTTTGCCCACAATCTTAAAATATTGATTTGGATCTCCATCGGTGATGACCAAACTAGTAATATTTTGATTATCACCAATATCGTTATCGGTAATGATAAATGTCGTGAGCACTGTTTCAGCAGGATCTTCATGAGTTACCTGTAATTGGTACACATCTTGAAAAAACTTAGGATCATTGTCATTGATATCCAGAATATTTACTTCGACTACAGCTGACGCGGTTTCATTAATTTGTGTATCAACCCCAACTGTAAGATTGTATTGATCTTTTGTTTCTCTGTCTAATATTTTAGCTAAGAATATATCTCCTGTAGATCCATCCAACACAAAAGCTTGCTCCGAATTTCCAGATTTTATCGAATATTTGAACTGAGTGTTAATGTCTTTGTCTTCGACTTTTAAAGAGAACAATTTAGCACCTAAAGCTTCTCCTTCGGAAATATTTGTCTTGATAACCCCATCCTGAACATTGACAAATTCGGGATTGAATTCATTTACGTTTTTGACATCAACAACTATGGTGCTGCTGCCAACTAATGGAACATCACCTTTATCAGTAGCAGTTATGATCAATGAATATTGATTAAAAGTCTCAGCGTCTAAAGCTTTGTCCAATGAAATACCCCCTGCTTGATTAATACCAAAAGCACCGCCAACATTTCCCAGAGAGATGTCGTAGATTAGTTCCTGGTTTTTTCCAGCATCTTTATCTGTAGCAACGACATCAATTACATTTTGTCCTGGAGCAACATTCTCAAATATAGATATATATCTAAAACCAGTCTCAAATTTAGGTACATTATCATTGGAATCTTCAATAATGACTTGGAGATAATTTTCAGTAGTTGAGTTTGTATCTAAAGATGTAGATTTAATTCTATAATTGTACTCTGCCTTTCTTTCTCGATCATAACTCTGCATTAATATGATCTTTCCGGAGGCTGGATCAATTACCACGTGGTTGTCTTGATTTCCATCCACCAGCTCATATTGAGATAAACTAAAAGCACAACAGGCATTCACATCATAAATCAACTGTGCTAGTTCTGTATTTTCCGGTATATAAGTAATGTTAGGAAGGTTGGTAAAATTAAATCTTAATTCAGCAATAATGTTATACGCAATGGCCACTTTCAGTTTAGGATCTCCTCTATCTTCAACCATAATTCGGAGTGTGTAAGACTGTTTCGTGGGATCTTTGACTAGTTTTATCTCGCCTGTTGAAGCATCGATCTCGAAGGAATCTGATTCATCACCACCGGTCTTTATGTATGTGAATTCACCGTTTGACCCTATATCATTATCTGTACATCTAATAGTGTCTAGAACACTGCCAATCTGGTGAGGAATTTTCACCACAGTGTTTGAAAGGGGTTCGCATATCGGATTGTTATCATTTACATCCTCAAGGTTTATATTAACATTTGCCGTGGAACTCTTTGGATTTGATTCTGAATCGTCTGATGCGATGACAATGAGCTCGTAAGTAGGACGGTCTTCTCTGTCAAGAGGGCTACCGACTCGTAAAATGCCTGTCTTCGGCTCAATCGTGAACGGTAGAAGTGGATCTTGAAGTGAAAATGTAATAGAACCATCAAATCCGTCATCACCATCGGTTACATTGAAATAATAGAGAGGTGTTCCTGAAATATATATATATAAAATCTTTCATCCGAAATCACTTGCATTATCATCTGTGGATTTTTTTCTTTCTTTCCATGTGAGTATATAGGAATTTAACAGTGACCATCTCTTTACGAGTTCTGTAGCTAAGCTAAGCTAAGGCGGGGTGAAGGGAAAGGGAAAGCAGTTTGCACAGTAGCAAACTGTACAATATGTAATAGTTGGATTCGGCGAAAAAGAACTTCGAATATAGCATTCTATTACTGATTTTAACATACATCGGTGCCTTTATCTTTATTTCACGAATGTTGATGCTATTCAACACTGTGGGACAATAATTTAGCGCCATATGCTGCTCCGATAACAAACTTAAACATTTTGTCAACATTTTCTATACAAATTACCATGAATTATTACTATAATACTAGGAACTTAAGAGACTGAATAATAGCAGCTGACCTGGTTCTGTATCTTCTTTTATTACAATAGGAGTGGTTGGCGCTGTTAACTGTGGTGTAAATTCATTAACTGGTATTACATTAATCAAAAGGAACGTATAGCCCCGTTGTTGTGGAACACCATTATCATGAGCTTCAATATTTAACGAAAATACCGTACGTTGCTCAAAATCTACTGGCGCTTTCAAAGACACCACCCCAGTTATGGAGTCTACTTTGAAATACGTTGCTGAAATGTATAGAATCGATTTTAAAATGGTGATGGACTAATGGCATGTTAAAACAACAAATTTGTTGTTTTCTTTTTTTAAAGAAATGCACTTAAATATGAGACCATAATACCATAATTATATTTCCAAATTATAAATAATAGAGATCTCAATTATATTGTATTATAGGATGATATTCATATACATTGTAACTTACAATCCATTTTATAATTAACTTGTCCATTAGAACCAAACTCGGCATCTGTAGCCTTTACAGTAAACAGGACCGTATCCACTGGATCAGCTTCCGAAATGTTACCTTGGTAGAAGACCTGCAATAGTCAAGTAATAACAATAGTATCTCAGAGTTAGAAGTTTCATGTTGTAATATAACAATGTATCGAAAACAAATAATTGAAAGGTAATGAATTGAATTATTTTTTGCAAGGGCCTTAAGTGATTAAAACCGAATTGTTATAGAAAAAAAATCGGTACTTTTCGTTTTCCCTTCTATCAGCTGAAAACATGAAATCATTTGAGCAAACTGTCACTATTACAACTCTTATTAATACATACCTTATCAAATACAGGTGCTATGTTATTTTCATCAGTTAAAGATATATTGACTGTTACTGTATTATAATCATCTTTTTTATCTGATGAATACGCAAATACTTCCATCTGTACTGATGATGCTGTCAACCAATTCATAATACCAGTCACATACACCCCGCCTTAATACACGAAAAATTATATAATGATTATATACAGTGAAATGAATGGAGTTTTACGTTCTATTTTTCTACATCGAGTGAAATGACTACATTTATAATAATAAACATAATTGTATATTATAACGTAGATAATAACGTATATATATTTAAAGATTAGGACAAACCTGTGTCGGGATCTATTTCGAACCAGTCCGGATCAGGTCTTGCTTTTATACCATATTTTACAATAGAAGCAGCAGTACCTATTTCATCGGCGTCTGAAGCAGTCAACACAAATACCACCGTACCCAGTGGTGTTGTCTCTATAACAGCTGCAATAATCAAATTGGAATTTATTTTTCCACATATACATTATGTCACAATAATGCTTAAAGCAATATGACTATTTGATGAAACTACCTGCTGATCTGCTTTAACTATGAAATATAACTACATTTTGACATAAAACTGCCATTTATCACGAATTAATATGAACGTATTCAATGGTTGTGCATGCATTGATCACTAACAATTTTTCATAACATTACAAGATTAAATAATATTTCGGAAAATATTTTGTGGATCATTTTGCAATTGTTATCGGTATGTAATGATCTATACAACATACAATAAAACATGAACCAACCACCAAAAGTGAAATATAGATATAATAAAATAAAGCCATCACCAGTATGATAAAATATACAAATCATGGTTATTAAACTTATCCACTTCACCAATATCAAAACTTATTTGTAGAACTTCACATAAAGTTTCACATTAATCGTTCAAACCGATTATAGAAATTTAACACTGATCACAGCAAAGCGATATGAACCTGCTGTTTATAAAATCTAAATTTGTAAAGTAAAACAAACCGGTCCATGGATCAATTTCGAGGAATGCAAAAGTTTCCGACGTTAATTGGCACTGGGAAATAAAATCAATGTAATTAACATTTCACTGGATTAAGTGATATGTATCAAATGAATTTTTAGCATGGACTCGATAACCAATTTAGATTGAATATAATAAGTATCTATTGCTGTTATATTGAATGTTGAAGTTGCAGAAATATGTCTTTACCTAATTATAACCTTCACCATTACTCAGTATGATAAGCGATTATGATAAGCAATGATATGAATAATAATACGAAACAATAACAATGATAGGTAGCAACTAATGATTGATATTCAAGGGTATATTGGACATGCGATAAGCATAATTTGAAAAAAATAAACGCGTATTTTGCAAAAAAATGTGCAGATGGAGGTGCATGCCAAGTTGCTGTTACATATGAAGCTACATATTTGACCAACAAAAGGACGTAGGAAGCACTTAATTTTTTATTTTACTGGTAATCCAAGTTTCCAATCTAAGTAGATATCATACATATAATATATTTATATTCAAACTACCACCACTATAATGCTGTAAGCATACTTACAAAAATACATTGCTATGGGTAAAAACATATACAATAAAATACGCTGTAAGGTTCTCCGAAATTGCATGTTCACTCTTAAATATCTGACTAAAAAGCCCTTGGTAAACAATTTGGAAATCGATAAAGCCTTCGTAAAGCAAGTAGAAAATAGGGGATAAAGCGAAACGTAAAACTACTGTGTGCTACAAATGGCTTCTATAAAGCAGAATCTTCGGATTGACAGTAGTCAAAATGGTTACATAATTTATCATCTTCAATGTCATTCATATTCAGTATGATTATTAAAAATTAGATCGTAAAACTTTAGAAATGGTGAAATCTAGTATTGATCTTATTCATCCTTGATCTTTTAGCTTTTAGCTTTGTCAATCGTCAGCGTACAGAGTCAAGCGAGTTTATATCAGATTAGAACACTGAGAAAAAAACACAGTCTAGATAGATCTGGTACAATGAACTTACTTTGAGAAATTGGTTTCTCCTGCCACGTAGGTATATTATCATCAACATCTGATAAAACAACACCTACTATAACAGTCGTGGTTAGTGACGGTTCTCCTCCATCATAGGCATAAATATCTATATCATAGAATGGTGACAGTTCATAATCTACAGCTTTTATCAGTTTTATTTCTCCATTCGGTGTAATGGTAAAACTATCTTGGATAACTTGTGTGTTGTTATCTGTTAACATATGAAAAGTTAGTGTTGGCAAGGCTAATTAAGTATTGCAACAAGACCCGTAGCTACAGAGGCGGAGGGAGATGTCAACCGACAAATTCCATTAATGCACCATGTATAAGTAAAACAATACACCATGTGTCCCAATGTTATGTTACAACAATTGAGAATACAAATGTTCGAAATGTTTGGGATTAATTGCCATATTAAGTCTATCAATAATTTCAAAATTCTAATGGTATCTTATGCATTTGAGACAAATTGAAAATGAATTAGACTGACCTCCAATCTTGTAATACACCTTTCCATTCTCTAATGCATCCTTATCTGTACAATTGATCATAGTAACAATGGATCCCACTGGTTGATCTTCAGGTATATTTATTATTTTATAATGTTCATTACATATCTACAACATTATATAAATTGATTTAAAAAAGGGTGTAGAAATGTACTGTCAATTCGATCAACATGCTAGCACTAGAAACTTTCCAACATAAGAGGGCTGGATTGCGAATTACCTTCAAATACCATTCATAACACATTATGAACACATATTATGATCGGTTACAAACTTTCTATCGAGAATTGAATTTGACTGTCCTTCAGTTTCTTGTCAAGCATGAGGTATCTTGGTGATCGAACTCTCTAGAAAACTCTGACTAGGATACACGGCGCTAACGCATGCAATTTGTTTAAGGATTTTAATTGTAAAGCATGTTATAGTATAGTGGAAAACCATTATAACTTACGGGATAGTTATCATTGATATCTAGAACGTATATAGAAACACTGGCCGTGACGGTTCTTGGTTTGTCTGGATCTAAATCATATGCTACCAGACCAACTACGTAACCCTTTTTATTCTCATAATCCAACAGCGTATTGAGGTAGAAATCACAAGTTTCTTGATCTACTACCCATCGTCTAGCTCCTTGGGAAACTATAAAACAGACAGTATATACATGTGTGTGTGTGTGTGTGTACGAGGGTGGGTGTGTGTGTGTGTAACAGAAAAATAAACAGGAAGTTACAAATTACAAGAAAACATGCAACTTTTTTTAAGTTTATAAGGTTCCAACAAACAAGAAACATTAATAACAAGCATAGGTATTTATATATAAACATATGCATGATTACAGGAGACTCCTCTCGTATCAGTAGGTCGTTTGGTTAAAATTCACAGCATCATACAAAGTTATACGGATAAAGTGAACTACTATTTATTATTGATAAGAGGCGTGATTTAAACGATGATCTATGTATACTTACATGGTTTGACAAGACCAACACGAGTTTTGCCAGCCAATGCCCCCTGTTTAGAATCTTTATCATTAACTGAGCATGAAAATAGTTTGGTTCCAATTGTGGTGTTTTCACGAATATTCAGTTTATTTGGTAAGTCTTTGAATACAGGATCATTGTCATTTATATTAATGACTAATATACCAATTAACACTGATGTACTGAATTGACTGAAACTGTCATCACTGACTACAATGTGTAGCTTAAAGAAGAATAAAAAAAACATATTAATGCAGATCTATCATATTTTACAGTAGCCCTCACACAACACCGAGCTATTACTGTTGTGTATGGTTGCTTATAAGAATAGCGGTCATAAGTTTCGAACGCAACTCGAATGCAGCAGTAGTAATGGGTTCGGAATGGGTTCGGAACTCAATGCTACTTTCATTATTCATCGGGTAATCTCTAAGGTGTCAGGACACATTGAAAGGGAAACTCTGCCTTTTTGTTGGTCGAAAATTTGTGAAAAATATACACCAAAATCTAGAGATATGTGTCGTTTAACGTATCTAAAAGTTTTAACTAAACAAAACCGGCAGTTAATTTTTTAACTCAAAAACTTTTTAAAAACATTACGTAATGTTACATAAACTTTGAAAGATCCTTAAATGCTTTTTGGAAGCTGTAAGAAAACTATTGTACGGATTTAAGTAAAGGAAACACCTAACTATAGAGAAATATGTCTCCTACATTATTCTAAATGTTTCACTTAATAATATCGAATTATTATTAAGCTAAACACCAAAACTAGGTCAAACTGCTTAATTAACAATTAGTACTCTCAGCTTGATCAAGTAGATACATAGATATAAATAGCATACTTTAGAAATATTCTCAAGTATAATTTTATACGTTTTTGACAATAAAAACTGCTCTAAAAAAATGTGTTTCAAAGGGTTTTATCAAGCCTTTTTCATTTTATTATATTTTGAATCCCAAAATTAAAAGTTGGCCCTTTCTCAGTTCCATTTTAATCGGCCAGCATTTTTGTGTACTATAGCTTGTGTTTATATCTATTCTAGAATGTCTGCATTAATAAGCTAAAGAGACCAGTAATATATTAACATGATGACATCTCTTTTCAAACCAAGATCCACATTTAAGAACAATTTCATATATTTTGTAAAAACTTTATTTAGAATTCCTTATTTTCGTCATCTGTAGAAATTTATACTTACATTGTATTTAAATACAAAATCAGCATTAAGAAATTTATTGAGTTTCAGCTCGCCTTGATCATTAATTCTAAATTTATTAAATGTGTTTCCTCTGGCCTCCAGAAAGTATGAAAGTAAGTCGCCATCGGGATCAGTACAATTTAATTTATAAACTGTGCTGGAAACTGGTTGGTCTTCAGTAATATTCAATGTGAGTCCATTTGGAAAGCATTGTGGAATCTGACCTGAAAACAGCAGCAAAATTTACCCCTCACTGGTAGAATTATTATAGATTTACATACAAATTAAAGTACAGCAAGAACCAAAATAGAAAAGATTGTTAACTAAATGAATTCCTAATTTTGAACAAAAACTATTAAAAATCCATAGTAGTCATTAATGAAAGTAAAGCAAACCTAATGGTTGGCGTATATTGACCGAAAAACATTGTGTACTTTCTGCACCATGCTTACATGTACTGACTTTCAGACAATGGATTATTCTGTATAAATGCTGATATAAATTGTATTTATTAGAATGAGTGATTTCTGATTGAAAATCGATAATAGATTTCATTAAGTTAATATTGATTCCTGATCTATTGTATTATTCTTCTCTTATATCACACATTTGATGTTTAAATGAGAAAATGAATTGAAAAATGGCTTGAGATATTAAACCCAGACTGATGAAATTATGACAATTAACAACTAATGAAATAATTCAATTTTCAACTGCATTTCTCAAGGACTTTTCAAAAGAAAGCTAGATTTCAAATTGGCATTATAAGAATAAGTGTGATTTTAATGAATGCAAAATATGTAAACTCAACCATTATTCAATTAATCTTATTTAATCAACATATCAAATATTCAGATAAAGGCACCAAAATTGCAATTTCTTATTATTTTATATAAGTTTTAAGTCTTACCTTGAACTGAGAAAAGAGTAAAAGATAGCGCAATAAATATAAAAATTTCTATACAAATGCTTTTCATTTCTGATGTTGTCTTTCAAAATAACACAGTATTACATGCTATTATAAACAATAAAACACTTTGTCGTAAAAACGTGGTTCTGTTTAGGAATCAGGTTGCCTCTTTTATAATCTTAATCCTTTGCGATTTGTTATTAATTGTTATCAAATATATTCTGGACGATGAAATACGGTACAGCTAATTTACACCAAATTACACACAAATTCAGATATCAAACTAACGTATTTCTGTAAAACATAAGTTTTCGTAAGTTAAAAAGCACCGCAATAAAAAACATGATATAACATTATAAGATTTGGTGTAATGTCTGAAAGAACACAATCACAAAGGACACTGTACCATGGTGACTATATACGCGTCTATAAATCATTGAATACCTTTTAGAAATGATTAACAATGTTAACTATTCACAGAATAATAATGGCTTTCTACTTTCTTTTTTTATGATACCAACTACACCCAAATACTAGAACATTAAAGATATTCATTTATAGAAGGTCTGAAAGGTCGACTCGAATTGTGCATATTGTGTCACAATCGACTTATTCAATTACGAAATTAAACTGCATTAAACGTGTCATTTGTTAATCACAGATTTAATGAAATAACTGTATTAAACTGGGGATTGGGTGAGGATTGGGCTAGGAAAGAGGTTGATTAAGGGTTGAATAAAGGTTGGGTGAAGGATTTTTGGAGGTGGGAGTTATCCAGAACAAATCCTTGACACTGGTGATACTTTTCAACTAAAAACTAAAAGGGGTTGAAAACGAAACTTTCTGATTGAAATGACATGCTTTATGTATGGTTATTCACAACTTCTCCAATAATCCAAATCACACATGTTAAATCTGGTATCACAGACAAGGTAGTTGTTGGTAGTCGTTGCTGGACCCAAATCAAATTGATACTGAGATAGGAAGGCATTAATTTGCTACCAATCAAAAATTAACGGGTATTCAAGAACATTTAAGGTTAAAGAAGGGCACAATTATTTTCTGCCCGAATAAATTAACTTTCAATCTAATTTCATAGTTTGTATGCACCACGTGGAATTATCTTTAATCTATTCAACAATTGACTAATTGAATGGTAAATTTACTGACAACCAACTTTAACTTTTAATTCTATTTGCATATCAGAAGAAGTTCCTTTGGTCGCCATCAAGGGTTTCAAAATGGACCAATCTTAGACTATTTACATGATTTTTGTGACATCACCCTATTGAAAAACGTTTCACAGATACTAATAATACTCTTTACATGTTGTTTTTAGAGGAAATTTAAATCCATGCACCTGCATGGTACAATAATTTTTCAAAAATGAAAACAAGGAATGATTCCGGCATTTATTTGATTAGAATGATAGAATGAAATTTTGCTCTTGCTGATAACGTTCACAAAAGTTCTTAGACGCGAGTCCATATAGTTTCAAACTAGACAAATCCACACTGAATACAACAGTGACGAAAACACTAAAAATAAAATCTATCATGGTGACCGAGCTTTTAGACTTTTTTTTCATATATAGATTTGGTATAGCGTGGTCCGATTGGAAAATTGGGTTTCAATTATAGTACAGATATATATAATTAGTTAATTGTAAGTTGGTGCATACCATAAATAGAATTATCCCTATTTACATTTAAATAAATGTGTTTAATGTTTAAGGTTTAAATTAAGTCTATTCTTCTTAATGTGACTTTATTTGGTGCATACAGGCCAATAAACGCTTTTAACTTTCCCAAACCCTTTCATACACCCAACCCAACTATTGAATGGCTCTTCAAATTTGACTGATATGTCACTCCCTCAAACTGAAAGGGAACACATAGGTCGACATGTATAAGGGTTATGATATATCATAAAAAGAAACATTTTAAGAATATTGTTCACAATTTTGAAAGAAAACCATTATACCAAATGATCTATGATTGGTGTCAATTGCTGTGTATAACATAAGCAAAACAATGATTTGAGTATTATTTTGTGTTATTTATATAAGCTTATGTGCGATATCAAAGAAAGTAGAACTGCCTTTATATTATCAATATAACATTTAATAAAAGCTACTGTGTACAATAATAAGAAATGGCCAGTAGTGGTCTCCTCCTCTCTCTGGAAGATTTATTAAAATTATTTTCCAGAACTATGTCTACTGTCTATGTACTGTTCCAAATATGTAAAATTTTTAGAATAATATATTGTTTCGTTTTTAGAACTAATTCATTGAAGATCTTACACGTCACTCTACATTGTTGACTTGATCTATTTGTAACACTGACAGTACTCAAGTTAAGAATCCGCAATATTTGCAATAGAACATTACGAAAAGAAAAAAATAGAAAATATATAGGCCACGGTCAAGGCAAGTCCTGGGCAGGCATTTCGACCGGTTTTCGTACTTAGTAAAAGAGGGGGTTTAGGTGGAAAGCATTTGAAAATAATGGGCTCAAGTGGTACGTGAAGTATTCAAAGAAAACTGCATAATTCTTCCAAAATATGTAATTTTGTGCCTAGTGGGTGGGGAGAGTAAAATACTCATGTTAACCAGTTTATAGTTCTACAGGCTGCCTTCCGAAAGAATACAGACAAGTGTTTAAAATTGGAGTTTCTGGACTATCGTCTATATGAAAAACGACCCGTGATTTTAGGTTTGGTGTGTTGATTCAATATCGAGACGAGCTTTGTTCTTGCTATTCAATACAGAAACAAGAACTACAAAGTAAATTGTCAATATTCTTTCGCATTGTGACTTCAATAAAACATATCATTCTGATTATGAGGTTATTTTCATTTCCAAAATGGCTGAATACAATAGTCAACTCCGTCCAATTCTATGTTGCATAAGAACAGAAAAATAAACACGGTGAATTGTGGGTAATTATACGCTGAATGGTGGATTTAAAATTTCTTGTTTTCGAGTTTCGTTTCTATTAGGATTCTGTTATTTTTAATAATCTATAGAACCAGTGGAATCTCTTGGATGGAGAGAAATAGTCTGTTTTTGTTTTCTGTGATTTTGATAGTATTAACTTCAAAAGGTAATCTTTAACGTTTTGGATTTATACATCGTATATTCATATTTTTTTTCTCAGAGTGAACCATTGAGAAAGTTTTTTTTTTGATATCATATATAAAATTTGTACATAATACATTTATTTCAGGGCGGGGAGTAATAATATGTAAACAGCATTCCGTTGTGGTCACTGTGAACGAAAATGAACCAATTGATACTGAAGTATTTACACCATCATGTTCCGACACGGCTGGTGGCGATTTGTCTTACAGCATGAAAGCGGGTACCCCAAAGAAACCCTACAAGAAAAAATTTAAAATCGATGCACTAGGAGTTATCAGAATAAAGGGCAAATTGAATGCAGATTATTTACACAAATTCACGGTAATTTCTTCCTAGTGTATGTTATGTAGTTCAATATTTTTATGTCTTCAATTTGTTAAATGTTAATTGTAAAAATTCTCTTTTGTTTTTTTATTGTCTTAAGTACCTGTAGAGATGAAAGTATATAAACCATAAAACTAAGAAACAATGTACTATAAAACAAAACCCATCGGTCATTGGTACCATAAAATGCCCGAACTACAAAACTAAGAAACAATGTACAAAAAAAACTAAGACCCAGAATTAGAAAGACCCGTATTCTCAATTAATTAAAGATTTCTTTCGTCTAAAATGAGTATCATTCTTGCCACAGAAAACTAAGTCAAGTAACGTAGACCATGTTAGAAGGGTATTGTCTTATTTTTTGCTTTTCATATGACTCTGACGGTACAGAAAGCATTTGTATCTTTTCAGAAATATAACAAAAACAAAACAGCCTGTCCAACCAGAAACCCAATCAAAAGCATGATGAAGTCCAAATTTCTGTAGTTTTCATTATAGACACAATGAGAAAATAATTCAAAAGCATAATAATTATAAGCCATTGGTCTTGTAGTACAATAGACCTTAATTTTTAATAAATTTAATTTTCATTTTGACGTTTTATTTAAACTTGTAGATTGATATAGGAGTTGACAGTAATTCCGGAGCAAGTGATGTAATTTATCTAGGTATCAAAGTTTTAGACTATAATGATAATAAACCAGTCATCAAAGATGTATCACCTTCTATGACGCTGTCAGAAGATGCAACCGTTGGTTTTAAAGTTACTACTTGTAGTGCTAATGATAAAGATGATGATCCAACTCATTTTGAAATATTAAACCCCAGTAAGTATTACATACCTATATGAATACTACGGGTTACAGACAGTTGCTCACCGTACGGTTGTTCACCGGAAAATTTCTCACCAAAGAAAATGAGAAATAAGACAATTGCTCACCACAAAATATACAATGTTTCTTTATTTTGGTGATCATTTGTAACAAAAAATCATCATGAAGAGCCATTCTTCAGAGAAACCCCTGTACACATTAGTTACAGTTGCTCCTGTACCTTACACCAGATGCTCTTAGTCAGGTGATAAATACAGCCTAGCCCCCCAAAAGATCAGTGACAGCAACAATTTGTGCCTTCTCCAATTTGTGATGGTATTTGGATCTGGATATAGTCATAGAAGTCATAGTCTTCACACTTGGTAAGCACTGCCAGCAGCATCTCCCCATGCACAGACTAATACTCAATAATCAAACATTGAATATGAAGAGAAAAGAATTATGTTATAAACTCTCATTTCTTTTGTGGAAATTGTTCGGTTAGCAATTGTCCAGTGAGCAACTGTCCGATGAGATGAGAAATTGTCTGGTGAGCAACTGTCCTACACTCGATCACTACAGTCAAAATTAGTTTACATATACCGGTATCCAATATTTTCTAGACCGTCATTTTACTTGAAATTTTACAAATCGTTGCAGTTTACGATTATACTACAAATTATATGATATTTATAGCATCGCCAGAAGCCAGTATTTGGTATTTAGATAGAGGAAGTTGTGATCTGTATTTAAATGGTAAACTTGATTATGAAACAAAGACGTCGTACACTCTGATCCTCCAAGCTGTTGATTCTGGTGCCCCACCACTAACTTCTGATCCCGAAAGCATGGTGATAAATGTTGCAGATGTCAATGATAATTATCCGGTTGGTAGATTTTTTTCTTTCTGTGACCTCTTAAGATCCATCGTGACTATGGGTGTGTTGGAACCTTTCCTGAGATCACATTATGTTTGCTTGTCAAATAGCTTTCCTTTACTATCCACGAGCTTTAAAATGCAGTTCTTCCAAAACTGTAAGGTAGTGATCTACAAGAAAGCTTAGAATTTATTTAATTTTCTTTTATCTCAGGTTTGTCCTAAGTATTATAAAGTGGTAAGCTTACAAGAAGATTATGGTACTGGAATTAAAATAGACGGTATTACTTGTACTGATGAAGATTCTGATATTAATGGTGCAGTCACATATACTTTATCAGGTATGCTTGACTATAATTGTTGTTTAACTTGTTTCAGTGACAAGAAAGAACAAAATTCAACACATGTTTATTTTGAGTATTTAAAAACAAAGTTGCCGTAGACCTTATAAAACTCCAATAAAACTTTTTATACGGCCGGTGCTCAATTAGATGAGTGGCCCATGGCAATTTTGGGGAAATTTTGTTTAACATATGCTCTCCAGCGTTCTGAGATCCTTACTATAAGTCGATTTAATGCCTATGATATTTTTTCTGAGACTGGGACGTGGACTTGATTCAACTAGTCCATATTTTAGTTGACCCACTGTTGTTGAGGCAAAGAAGGACTCTCTCGCTATCACGACAGTTCGTAGTAATTAATGAAACGTCAAATACCTATGCATAGACGTTTTTGTTCAACTATAGCATTCTATTTCAGTAAGTAATGATGCGAGCACAATGGCCACGTTCCAAGTCAACTCCACTACGGGAGACATCAGTTTAAAATCTGAAGTTGATTATGAAGGTCAGAAGGCTTATGAAGTAAAAGTAGATGTGTCTGATTTGGCTGCGACGACACGTCTTACATCTCACATACTGTTGTATATGGTATAGTTGTTACAGATGTTGATGATAACCCACCAACATGGCCTGTTAATCCCATTTTCGAAGGTAAGTAGTTTTCATGTAAGGCCATCTACTGATTTTGGACTTTTTCCGAATATTTTTCAACGAATTGAAAACTTAGTTTTAAGACAATGTTGATAGCTAGAATGACTTTGGAAAAAATTATTTACATGGACATTGTGGACAATCAAATTACATAATATACTTCTCACAGCTCAATGTAAACCTTAACGAATCAAACTCACTAACCTATTTCTTATTGTAGGCTAAGCCCTTTAACGAGTGAAACAACATCCAATAAATCTGTTTCTATTCCAGATGTAAGTGAGGTAGCACCTCTAGGAAACATTGTATTTACTCTCTCGGCTAATGATGCCGACCAAGCTAATACTAATGCATCAAGGATTAAGTACGAAATGTTGACACCACCAAATCCAGATTGGTTCCAGATCGACCTAGAAACTGGTGAGTGCATTTTATATATTCAATAATAATTTTTTATATGCTTTGTGTTCTTGAAAAAACAGTGTATACAACATCTTTTTCTATGCTTGAGTTTCATTCAGAACAAATTTTAAATCTGGTGACAAATTCAAATCGTTATCACTGTAAGTAAAACTAGAACTCGACTTGTCAAAGGTTAGGTAGGTGATGTTTGGTTAATTTCTGGTTATTGACTATTATTATAGGTGCTGTATCTGTAAAGTCTATTATGAATAGATTAACAGCATCATCGGTTACTATGGATGTCATAGCCTATTCAGATAAATCTAAAGGTTCCGGGCAGGTTACAGTCAATGTAACTATTGTCGATGAAAATAATATATCTCCTACATTCGAGGAGGTATGTTAGGATTTTGTCTGATTTCTGTATAATTGCCTTTTTTACGCCCACTTGAAAATAGGGGTGTGTATTGGAGTCATCCGTATCCGATCGTCCGCACACAATTGCTTGTAAACACACTAGACGGCACAATTCTGGGCAGAATTCAATGAAACTTTGGAATTTGTCAAATGAAGGTTTATCCCAATAAAAAATTTTAAGAATCGGCAAATATTTAGTTCCCATGTTCTCAAGATATTTAGCTCGTTAACACTCCAGCAGGTACAATTCTTGATTGATTTGGACGAAACTTGCACATTTTAATTATCACTAAGGATTATTATGAAGTATTGTTCTTTGAAAAATGTTCGATTTTTACCTTGTATAGATATTAAATATTCAAGGTATGGTTCCCGTTCTGCAAAACAGTTATGTACACGGAAAAAAACTCTTTTTCATAGAGATATTAGTTAATTGTTTGCAATACAGTTTGCAACGTTAATGAAATACGGACATTTCGTGGAACAAAAATTTTCAACAACCTATAAATTTGAAAAAAAATTTCCCTTGCAAACAACACAAAGAGATTAGCCCTTGGCACCCTTTAATCCCCTTTGAAAATTAGTCTGTTTTTACTTTAAGTGCTACACTGTATAATGCATGAGATGTATACAAAATCTGTAAATTAGCACCATTTCTATCTGTGAAAAAAAAGCTAATTGTACGCCAAACTAGTAACAATATTTTATTTTAGGTGTTTTATCAAGGAAATATAACAGAGAATGATGGGGTAGGAACCTATATTTTTACTGTTAGTGCAGTAGATCCTGAATATGGTATAAATGGCCAAATAAGTTATTATCTTAACTGTAAGAACATTTATTGTAATATATAAACATGTTATTTAGATAGATTTATTTTTTTTTTACTTTTGAATACTCCTTTAACTATTGTAATTGTAACAGATTGGATTTGTTAATGTTAATATAGCTTTGTATTTAACAATAACCAGTTTGAGTGAACCATAGATCTTTGTAAGAAAAGTATAGAATATTTATTTCACTAATTGTTGGTCATGGCAGTGTTGGTGACTATTCTTTGAAAAATAAACATAATTTATGGTCGAGGTTCAATAGTACAGAGTTCTATATACTCTTACATTTCAGCACCAATATTCCAGGTTGATTTAAACTCTGGAGATGTTTCTCTTAAAACATCAGTTGATTATGAAACGGATACTGTCCATTCTTTAAAAATCGAAGCAAGAGATTTGGGAACACCACCACGATCTGAATTTGCTTTTCTTTTAATCAACGTTAATCCAGTCAATGAATTTGATCCAGTTATAATCGGACCATCATCTCCTATTGATATTTCAGAGGATGCAGAGCCAGGTATGTTTATAAACCATATAAGGGTATAAGAAAAAAACAGTTCAAGAAGTATTTGTTTCATTTTAAGACTGTATATTTAGGACAACCAAACCCTCCCTTCCTCAAAATATAATTATTGTAAATATGCCTACAATAGGAGACAGAAAGCCAAACTATGTTATCTACATGTAATCTGTTTAATGAAAGGGGTTATATAGGAAAGCCTTTTTTGTGGAAATTTATTTGATACTATTTTTTCATCCAACAAGCATGCAACATAAGACTTGAAACGAGAACATCATACATAAGACACATAATATACATAGACTGAGTACTGGATTGGCAGTAACTTTTTAAAAACTACTAACAATATTTTATATTTTAGGAACTGAACTATTTGATTTTGATGCTAATGACATGGATGATGGTATGGATGGTTTTGTGACGTTTTCAATACAGACAGCCTTATCGCCATTTACCATAGACCCTAACCTGGGTGTATTTCGTGTTGCAAGTTCCTTAGACAGAGAGCACCAGCCATCATGGGATATTATTGTCGTTGCAACAGATAATTCTGCCACAAACCCAAAAAGCACAACAACCGTCGTAACCATTAACCTGTTAGACATAAATGATAACAGTCCTATTTGTAATCCATTATCCTCTACCACAGTACCACTAGGACACCACATTAACACCATTTTATCCACTGTCCAATGTAGAGACGCTGATACCGGAAGCAACGGAGAGTTTACTTTTACCAAGCTTTCCGGGGATTTCAAAGGAGCGTTTGACGTGGATACCTCTTCAGGAGATATAACTCTTTTGAAAAAACCCACAGAAACTACTTATACGCTATCTATTGAAATCAAGGATAAAGGTAACCCACAACTCAGTGTTGTTATCGCCTTTAATATTATTGCTGAAGTTCAATTTAATTTTACTCAGTTACCTACAACAATGAATGTTCCAGAAGATACATTACCCAATGAAGAACTGATAGATATTGATGCCTGCTGTACTCCTAGAAACGTAAAGTATGAAATTGTGAATGGTAACGAAGATGGTCATGTTATCCTAGACCCTTCATCTGGTAAATTAATCTTGAGAATAATGTTTGATTATGAGACTAAACAAAGTTTTAGTTACCGAATTCGTGCCATCATTGTATCATCAAACACAGCAATTGAGGAAATCTTAAACGTTAATATTGAAGACTCCAATGACAACGCTCCTAAATTTACGTCATCATTCCATGAGACATCAGTGATTGAAAATATTTCACCATCTACGTCTATCTTGAAAGTAAAAGCCACAGATCTCGATGGTGGTACAAACGGTGAGATAGTGTACAGTATCAGTGGTACTGGGGTTAGTGACTTTGGGATAGATTCGTCGGGGAACTTGTCTGTAATATCGCCACTTGATGCTGAAACAGTTTATCAATATACACTTGTAATAACCGCCACCGACAAGGGAGCTGATCCAAAAAGCAGTAAAACAACAGTTGTCATAAACGTAAAGAACTATGATGAATTTTCTCCTCAAATTATAAACATGGTTGATGGTGTGGTTGTTGCTAATGTTTCTGAAGATTCGGCATTAGGATCTCCTATCTTTAAAATTGAAGCAGAAGATGAAGACATTAACACTATTCTGACCTACTCAATAACTGCTGGGAATATAAATAATGCTTTTGTTATTGATAACTCAACTGGAGATATCTTTCTGACGACTATTCTGGACAGAGAAACTACCCCTCAGTATAATATAACTGTCGAAATAAACACACAAACTAGTGAAACGGTATCGGCGCTTGTTGTAATAAACATACTTGATGTAAACGACAATGATCCAAAATTTGATCAGGATGTATACCAACTTGATGTGACACATGGAGATCTGGTAAATAAAATTTTGAAAACTTTTATCATCGATGATGCCGATAGCGGAACTAGTGCTGATATTGCCAGTGTTACTATTACTGATGGAGATCCTAAAAATCATTTTAAAATTGAAGATACGAAATTATTAACGAATGTGCAGATAGACTACTACACTGATAAGTTATATATCCTTACTCTAAAGGCAACTGATGGTGGAGCGATACCAAGGTCAGGCTACACTAGAGTTAATATCAATGTTCTTCCTAAATACAATCCACCAAAATTCATATCTAATACTTACAACAAGGGCGTGTTAGAAGATGTCGTCCCGTCGGATACAATCTTTGATATGGATGCCACGTCAGAAGGTGCTACTGAAGGTGTTACAGGAACAATCACTTATGTTATACAAAGTGGCGACTCACACAACGATTTTGTCATCTCAGAAACAACTGGCATCATATCAATAGCCTCCGAAATCGACTTTGAACGTAATAAGTCATACGAACTAGTAATTATAGCAAAGAGTAAAGAAGACCCTCTTTTGACTTCTTCATCAACATTATCGCTATCTATACAGAATGTAAATGATAACCGTCCTATTTTCAATAAGCAGTTATATGATTTCAATGTCGATGAGAATGCCGTTGCTGGAGTAATCGTTGGGACAGTAATTGCAACAGATGCAGATGTATCACCCTTCAATTTATTTACATACAGTCTTGGTAGTGCGACTGGTTCAACAGATTTTATTATTGACGATGGTGGTAACATTAAAGTGGACAAACCCTTATCGTTTATCACTCAGAGCATCTACAGTATACCAGTAATAGCTGACGACGGAGCTCACCAAACCTCCTCATTAATAATCATCAGGATTAATGATATAAACAACAATTCTCCTACGTTTTCACCCAGTAAGTATTGTTTTAAAAATTTACATCCTCCGTTCAACATATCATGATTGTACAAAGAATTCGCCCGAATTCCATTAGACATTAGTTGCCAAGTATGTTGGAAATGCTAGTCTACGGATTCGAAGTTGAAGAAGGAATCTCTATTGACCATAAATACACATAAAGTAACTATAACAAATCATATATTCAAAAATGTTATTGTTTGCAGGTTCTTTCAGTGTGGGTGTTGTGGAATCTATGGGTATTGGGAACACGTTTTATACTGTAAAAGCCCAGGATTTAGATACTGGTACCAACGGAGAAATCCAGTATGCTTTAGTCTCTGGTAACTTTGGAAACCATCTTTCGCTCGATCCAATTTCAGGATCTTTAACAGTTGCCTCAAACCTCGATAGAGAGGTTCATGACAGGTTTGATTTGGTAATTCGAGCTGAAGATAAAGGTGTACCATCAGCTCTTTCTGGTACATTGTCACTTACTGTGAATGTTGCAGATGTAAATGATTTAAATCCAACGTTTACCTCATCTATTGAAGATGTTACTGTTGACCGGTTCGCAGCACCTGGCACGTCAGTTCTTGCCAAGACAGCTACTGATGGTGATCTGGGAGATAATGCTGTCATAGTTTATGAAATAACCAGTGGAAATGATGATGAAGTTTTCCTTATTGACGTTTCAAGTGGATTTATTAAGACAGCTGCTGACCTTTCGGGTGCCAAAAACGAATACACCCTCGTTATAACTGCTAAAGATAAAGGCATTCCACCCCGATCAGGAACACTAACAGTCAAAATACAGATCATACCACTACTGTCTTTAGCACCCAGTGATCAAACAATGCAAATTGAGGAAGAGTTGAAATTGGGAGTATCGGTCGGTTTGGTTTCCCCAACTCATAGTGCTAGTGCCGTAAACTACCAAATCATCAGTGGCAACTTTAAGAACAGTTTCAATATGAATCCGTCAACTGGTGAGATTACCACAGCTAGAAAACTGGATCGTGAAGAATATGAGACCTATATATTAACTGTTCATGTGACTGATTCTGGATCTGTTGACTATACACACACAGTCACAGTGGAGGTTCTAGATATCAACGATAACGATCCTGTTATAACGACTAGTGATACTAATATTAACGTAGTGGAAAATACACCTGCTGGACAGATTGTTGCAGGTTTTACTGTAAATGATCTTGATGATGGTGATAATGGGTTGGTGGATCTGAAAATATCAACTGTACCCTTAGCCGCTAGTACGTATTTCGAAACCGACGGTAATTTACTGAAGATAAAACAAGCTTTAGATTATGAATCAACAACATCTATAACTTTCCAGATTCTGGCCGTGGATCGAGGTAATCCACAACGTACTGGTACTATAGAAGTTAAAGTGAATGTGATTGATGTTGATGATGGTGTGGTATATACCGAAGACGGTGAAGCTCCCTCAATATATATGTCTCGTGAAACATCATTTTATGCAGCTGATGGGGAATATGTGACGACTGTGACATCGGCAGAGTACAGTATGGATGCCAACATTGGTCCGTTTTCATTTAAATCATTAAACAGAGAGGGTATATTTTCTGTAGCAGAAGATGGTGTGGTTATAGTGCGAAAGAGAGGACTGTTAGAACCAGATACGAAATATTTTGTATGGATTGTTGTCACAGCTGAAAATGGTGGTGATGAGAAAAGTGTTCTTGGTTTACTTCGAGTTGACACATTTCACCCAAATAAACACGTAGTTTCTCTAGAATCTTCATCAGATGTCAACTTTTTAGAAGCAAACAGGCAAGTTTCTTCGCATTGATATTTAGATATTTGTTGCTTGCTGTGTATTTGAGAAGTTGCATGTAGGTTATCAGAATTATAAGCTATGGAAATACTTTTTAGAATTTGTGTTCATTCTTTTTCACTTTTATTTCACAATAATATAAATCATTAGTTCTCTTTTCAAGGATTGAATTAACACAGAAGCTTGACGTTTTGTTTCCCAATGATCAACCAAGGATTTGGAAAATTCAAGAACAGGGAGGACCATCAAGAAGAAAATTATTGGTGGCAAGGTACGTTTTAAATATTAGATAAAGCTAATATTATTAAAAATAATTTGAATTCAGCAGACTTGAAAATCCTTTGCACTACGTAGCTCCCATAATTAAAGAATTAAGTATTAAGATTAAGTAACACATTAACACAGTCAAGGTATGACCACTCACTATCAGAAATTTGAGAAAATATATAATTATTAGATTAATAAAAACATAAATTACTATATAGAAAACGCTTTCCGATGCTTCAAACAGATTTTGCGCAGATCGAAAATATCAAATAATATATAAGATCCATTCTATTTCAGCTCTGAAACTCTTATTTATGTGGTAGAAGGACAACCATTAGAAGATATAACCGATGTAAAAGCCACGAAGACATTTAAAGATGTGAACTCACTGTTAAACGTAAGTAAATGGTTTTGTAACTATGTTAGGAATATGTTATTCTGGTCTGACATGACACATAATTAACCGATGCCTCACGAGTTATTTGGAACCCATAACAGTCGGAAATCGAAAAAAAGTAAACTTATGTCACTGTTCTAGCAAAATTTACGATATTTTCTGTCTTCCAGATACTTCGAGCTGATCCTGATGAAGACACACCTAAAAGTTCTCTGGTATCAAACAATTATCCAGTAACAGCTGTCAATCCTTATTCTGAAGTAATCTCAGATGGTGAAGAACCCGAGGAGAGTTTTATAGCATCTACTAGTGGAATAATAACAATAGTTATGTTGTTTTTAGTCCTTCTGATCATCATTATTATTATTATTGTTGTCATTATCATTAAAAAGAAGAAGCGTCAGAGAGAAAAGTGAGTACTATTTATATCTCGTTCAACGTTCCTCGCCTTTCATGGGTGTTTGGTAGCCATCAAACTGTTTTCAAATCTTCACCTGCAATGGCAAATTGTGTTTCGTTATTCTTTCGTACTATTTTTCAAGATCGGCATTGCACTGTAAAAGTTACAGGTAAAGAAAATCGCTAAAGATACTTTTGAAAGTCTCCTCGAAAATTTACATATGTTGAAAAAATGTATATTTTACTTGCCTAATATATCATAATGTCAACTTTAAAATGTTTCTTTCAGTATGAATGAATCATCTGAAGAATTGATGCCACCAGGTATGTAGTATTTACCATCATTGTATTCATCTCTTCTAGAAATTGAAAGTCCTAATAGTTCATTTCTAGACAACGTTTGTTCTCCATGTGTAAGTAAAAGGGGCAGAAGTGCGATTTCCGAGTGTAAATCTTTGGTCTCAGAAACGTGAGTTGTTTCTTAATTTAATCAGTAATTTCAGCCTTCAAATCCAAATTATGTCTGTTTGAATGTGTTCTCATCGAGTTGTCCATTTAACAGACTTGAATGTTTGAATGTGTGAACAATGACGTCAAGTATATACAGTAGACTCAATAATCCTGCCCGACTTCTCTACGCATAGCTGCGACGGAAGATTTCGGATACCCCAAATTTTTAGAAAGAAGAGCTTGTGAGCGAAAAAATAAAAAGTTGGTAGTTCTGAAGACTATTTACATATACATGCACTCAAGACAAAAATCACTCCCCAAAATATCGCATCTGTACCTTTAAAGATCTGCAACCGTTCCCACATTGCACTGCACACTTCATTGTATTTTAATATGAAATTCCATTCTTTTCAGAACCTGCAAAAATTCCGAGGAAGAACGAAATCACCAAACCAGTAAGTTTTACTTCAAGTAATAAAAAGCTGTCGTAATTCTCTCAGAATATATACTTGTCAATTGTTTTAAAATAGACATCCTTGTTCTAATTTAAAATAAACCTGTCAGCGCTGTTGCTTGCATGTATGATTATATATGAAATGTGGTTTTGGTTTTCAGATTGGCCTTGGTTTAATGAAAGAGAAGAAAGAGAAACAAAAGAGCAACAAAACAACTACAAAAACATCTCTTGGTACATCAGACTCTTCTCTATTTTTACAAGGAAATAAACGTAAGTTGACACGTCTTGTGCCCGAATGCCAACATCTTTGAGTGCTAGTCTCGACATATAAACTTTGATGCATTAACCCAATAATCCAGTTACTTTTCTTTTTTGAGGGGGGGGGGGGGGGGGGCATTTTAGTTTTCGGTCAAATGGTACAATGGTACCTTTATTCAATATTTTCGAATGTGTCTGATGCAATGGCATAGCTGTTGCCTTCAGAGCAAGATTCAACACCATTCGCGTCAGATATTTATAGTGTTTCCAACCGAATCAGAACGTGTATTTTCATCAACTATTTTATCCTTCAGGAACTACCAGTATTTCACCATCAAGACTTACACCAGTAACACCAGTGGGTACACCTACACCACGAACACCATCCGAAATTGAAATAGCTGATGAAAAGTCTAGTAAATCTACAAAATCAGGAAGATTAATACAATCTCTACCACAAAGAAAAGCTAGTACAATAGATCCTGTAAGTGGTATCAATAATGACTCTGTTGATAAAACACCAGTGATTGCCAAACGACATGATGGTCCAATAGTAAATAGAGGCAAGGAATATGATGGAGTAGCATATGATCAAGGTAAGAAAGAATGATCTTTATGAAAATATTGTAAAGTTTCGATGGATGTCATTGTGCCATGCATCTTTTTGTTGGCAGCACCGTATAGAAAAATGTCAATTAAAGTCTAATGGACTAACTTGCTGTTATCTGGCAAATGACCAGTGGTAAATAGCAGTAAATGAAATGACAAACTCTAGAGTGCCTAGCTATATCTGGACTTATAGGTCATAAAATTATCATATTTTTACAGAAAAGGGACAGCGATATGCCTACAATACTAGGACTGGTAGTACATTGTGGGAAGAGAAAGACAAAGGTTTGGGAACAGGATCATTGGCTAGAAGACAAAAGAAGAGAGCTCAACCTAAATTAACAGTAGTTGGTGAAGCATCTGACAGTAATACATTAAATCTAAATCTAAATAGATCTATTCCAATGACCAATAAGTAATCTAGATTTTGTGTTGTATAATATTTGATTGTGCATCCATGCTAATATAATATTCTACAATTTTTATTTACATCTACATTTATATTGTGATATTTCTACATGTATATACTCTAATCTTTTTGCTCATTTTATTCATATTCATTTACCATTGTCCAGAGATTAACTCATTAAAATATATTGTATTATGAATAACATCTGAATTAATTTCAATATCATGTATGACAATGCCATTGTGCCAGAAGAGCCATAATACGCCAATTTATAGCCATCGTATCCCGAATCCGGATTCTGTCATTGTCTTATTAACCTCGAGGAATTGTTGGAGGTGTTGTTTGGACACGATGACTTGCAGCTGCCAATCTTTTTTTTTACAGATTTTAATAATCTTAATCTTAATCTTAATTAAATTCAAATACTAAGTTTCTTATACCTGAATTGCTCAATCTCATTCTTTCTCAATTAAAGTTTATATTCAATCAATAAATCTTATAAATCCTAGTTTCCCACTATCGTGCGATCAGTTTCCATCTAAAGGATTCATTAACGAATTGTGAATTTAAAATCGTAGAAGGATGTTGCCTTTCAACGATCGTCAAAGATAGAATGTTAATTCTGTACATCTATTACATGTTTGCCGCACTTCTGTCACCAAATACCGTTACACGACATTTCACAGGAATGAAAAAGGCTGAAAGACAACCTCGATTGTTAATTTATTGGCCATGACTCTTATATCAACATCATATAAGGTAATACATCTTTATTGAGCCTCATGGGGAGCTTACTCTACATTGGAAGAACATAGATACTTATCTCATCCAGTATGACTTCTATATATATCGTGTTATAAAGGGTCATTACAGTCCTTTAAATCTACAAATGTCAACAGAACTCATTATGGGGTCCTAAACCAATGCAAGGGGCGTAACTTGAATATAGAATACAAGGCCCTTTTCAGTACACTACACATGCAATACGAAAAAAAACATATAGAAGCCAAATGACAGAAAAAAAAATTGAAGTAGGACCCTCTATATTTCATGGAAACTTTATACAAAAATATGAAAGATAAAAGCGATATCTCGATGAATTTTACTTTTGTCATTTATTTAAACATGGCCGAAGATCTCACTTATAGGGGCCACGTACCTTATCTAATATGTTTCTGGATTTGGTAAGTGATAATCGCAAATACGTTTACAAACGGTTATACGACACGAAAGTTTCTGCCCGGTTTGGCGACCTGTATGCATAATGTCGAATAAACGGAGAAGAAAACAAATAAAAAGAAGTAGTGAAGTCTACAAATGGGTTATATTGTACTAAATGACAAGAATATAAGAGCAGAATTTACTCAAATACTTGTGATTTTGAAATATGTACCCGACTATGATTAAGAATACAACCTGCTAAATTTCATGTAAAATAGAAATATGACATATGACATACTATAATTCTCTTTTATCATTGTTATATTTCTTATACTTAGTATAAATATTGAGTTACTTTGACAACTTCTATTGAAAATATCAACACTTAATAAAGACTGTCTTTTTATGACTTTCTTACGTCTTTTATTCATATTCAGATTATGTGGCCATATCTAAAGTTATAAGGGCAATTCACCAATATAATACACCTTTCATTGTGTATAATGACTCTCCATTGTTCACCATATTGTTGATTTATTCAAAGCAATCAAGAGATTTATTCTATGTTTCATTATGCCCAAGGTAAACCGCCCATATATTGAATGAAAATCGATATTATTACTATCAAATCGCATTGACCTAGGATCGTATACTGTAACACCATTTAACTGTTACACTGCTTATATAGAATTCTTTTTATTCAATTCTTAATCACCTTGGTAAAAACTAAAATGATTCTTTTATAATACTTATAATTTTTATTGCACTAGAAAATGGCAATTGTATTATATTCCTAGGTTTTTAATTCGTCACTGACTGCACAGATAGGTGCAGGTATATTTTTAGAACGTAAAAAGAATTCTGGGATAGTCTTGTGACATTTTTTTAACCAACGAGTGGAAATGTGACATTTCGTAACGGATAATCTTTTTGAAGCTATGGCAAAACGGACTATAAAAAATGTGATGATACTTGTCTTATTTGTTCTTTTTTTTTCTCAAGGTAAGAAAATGTTGGTTAATCGACTGAAACACATACATTATATTCCTCAGAAATTGAGTTTTTCACTTATCTTTTATATTTGTGATGATTGTTCCGTCCCAACTATCTCTGATAAACAATGGTATAAAACCTCGAGTCTGAAACTATGTATCCTGCTAAAATCAGAATTTCACATGAATTCATTTGGGAAGTATCATCAGTTAAATAAGATTGAGTGGATCGTCATTAACTACCAATTTTTAATAGCCTCAACATATTTATAGAATGGTAGTTTAGTTTTAATATTCATATTTCAGTCCCGCTGTCCCGTTTTCTGCTTATCCCTTTGAAATAGAAGGTCGATAGAAATGACTAATGGTTTTCTGATACTGACTGCCTGGAACTATCAAATGAGGCTGTTTTTCCCTTTTATTAAAACAAAGTGAATTGTATCTTAATACTTCAAACCATACAAAGGAATTGGATGGACGATAAATTCTTCTTGTTGTTAACTTGAGGCATATCTAAAGACTATTATGATCAATTATCACTAAACAATTTCTTGTACCCATTGTTGTCAAAAAATATTCACATGATGTACTGCAATCCCTTTACATTAGACATTATGTAGGCTGTTTACTTTTTATCTTTTAAGGTGAAAATGTTGCGGACGGCGCTGCACCAGTATTTGATATTGCTGAATTCAGTATAACTGTACCAGAAAATGCAACATTCGGTGATATAGTATGGAGTTGCCATGCAACAGATGCTGATGACCCATCAACTCCACAAGGACAAATTGTATACGAATTCAACACAAAAGGTTGATATTTTGTACTTGAATAAAATGAGTGGGATTTCTGTGTTTTTTTGTCAGAATTAAATCAAATTTGATTCATAGTTTGCTTAACTCTGAGTCCAAGTCTGAATTCTTAATCGAATTTGAGCTCCCCAATATTAAATACTGCCTATGTCGTGAGACAGACATTTTCTTGCATAAAGTTGTTTCTTTTACATATTTATGATATCAATGTATGATCATTTCATTTTAAGATACATTCTTTTTCTTATATTCCAGTTAATCAGCCAAAATGGTTTCTGGATAAAAGATCTTGTGAATTGTATGTTTACACAGGATTGAATTATGAAGGACAACAAAGTTACCAGTTAAGAATACTAGCTAAAGATCTTCATCCTACTGCACCACAAACTTCAACGGTTACAGTGAATATTCACGTTACTGATATCAATGACAATGTTCCTGTAAGTTATTCATATTTTATTTGGCCTTGTTTGAAAGAACGGTAAAGTAGCCAAGACTAAACAAGTAAAGGTCTGAAATACTTTATATATATATAATTAGGCTTTGGTAACAATAATCAGCATCAGAACACCAAAATCCTCACACAAGTGAGAATAAGAAAAATGGCAATAATTTAATTTATGTAGCAATGTAGCTATCTGTATTACAATTGTCAAAATAAAATCTACGACCTCTTTTTTGTGTCCTTGGATCATTTAAACTATTCAGTAATAACATCTTCAAAATTTGTCCTGTAGTATAATATGAAGATTTTGTATGCAGACCATATTTAAAGATTGGTTTCCTTGTTTTTTAGTGTCAATTTAAGCAAACTATTTGGTTTATTGGTGTTTTATTGGTGAATTAAAATGTGTTCTTAGTCATATCAAACTCTTCTTATTGAATAAAATTAAGAGTGTAAACCAATCATAAATTTCTATGTATGCACATCTGGATAAAATTTTTCTTGATCGGTCATTGGAATTCTGCAGGCAATTCACTTCTAATTTCGTGAATTATGAATTAATTATGGACATATGGGACAAACTGGGAACCCACCTTTAAAGAATCATTCCAATACTATTTTGTTATCGTAATAAAACTGTTATTGTAGACATGTGACGGGTACTTCATAGTGTTAAATGTAAAAGAAGACGAAGCTATTGGTACAGAAATAGCCAGACCAGTTTGTTCAGATGAAGATAGAGATAAATCAACAAATGGGAAAGTTCTTTTTAAAGTTTCAGGTATGAATCCAGAACACCCCTGCCGTTAGATAGAAATTCTCCTTATTACCTGGGATGGTGCATGATGTTAATTATAAACAAAAACCTTAAGCTTTAATATGTATTATATGAATGGGTCAGACTGAAACTTTCCCACGAATATCACCTGTATTTGTCTGTTTCCGGGTTGTCCACAGATCATATTTAGGGTTGTAGGGGGAGGGGGGGGGGGGGGGGGGTGTTATAACGTTCTCTTTGTGAATAACCATAATTACCCTCTGATTTAGACTCCAATGACCCCGAAGTGAAGGACACATTTGAAATACTACCCAGTGGAGCTATACAACTCAAGAAGCAATTGGATTATGAAACCTCGCCATCATATGTATTACAAATAGATGTTTATGATAATGCTGGAGCAGCTTCTCATACAACAGGTGTTACATATAATATAGAAATAAAAGATATCGATGATAATAAACCAACCTGGCCAACAAATCAAGCTTATAAAAGTAAGTTGCCATTGTCGTTTTAAATTTAACCATAATACTTATAGAACCACAGATTTGGCCAGCACATTTAATAAATAGCACCCAATTCTAAGCCTAAAGTCCATCTAATCTGTACTGGAGTTACCACAAGCTCACTATCGAGATTATTCTCACATTTAAAGAATTTTGCCCACTGTGTTGCTTGGTAGTTCGGACTTCAAAGTCGATCGGAAGGAGTCTATAATGAAAACAAGACATGCTTTGCCAAATTCAATATTAGTGCCCGTGTTTAGTTTAGTAGTTACAAAATTATATTTAATTGATTAAGATTATGAAGTCTCATCTAATCTATGACAATAAATATCGGATGTTTTACAGCTGTATCTGAGTCAACCAATTTAAATGCAGCAGTTTTTACTCTGACTGCTGTTGATGCTGATAAACCATTTACTGACGCCTCATCAATAAAATATGGTATTCAAACACCAGCCGTTCCTGATTGGTTTGACATTGATAGCCAAACAGGTATAACCTTTTTCTTTTGTGATAAAATTTTCTTTCATATTAACCCTGAGATTTAAACTAAAAAGAAAGAAAAAGAATTCACGGTTCATTTTGCACCATTCGAAATTCCTGTAAACATGTTATTTCCAATTTTATAAGTATTACTTTTATATTCCTATTTTCCTATCTTCTATGCCACCAGTAAAGTTTATTTAATATTTTCACAGGTGCTGTTTCAGTGAAAGGAATTTTGAATTATAACATTGCACCATGGGTAACTCTGGAAGTATTTGCATATTCCTCTAATAAAGTTACTGATCTAAGTATATTACTAGTTAATATAAGTTTAACAGACAACAACACCATAGCACCAATATTTCAACAGGTGGGATATTAAACCTTAATTCAATGTTTGGAAAATGTAATACAAGTTTTCTTTTAAATGAGAATCTAAAAATTTCAATATCAGATAACTTAAAACTTAACTTAGTAATTTGTATAACAACGAATATTTTGCCTTTCAGATTTCGTATATAGGGAATGTAACTGAAAATGTACCAACTGGAACTTCCATTATAACAGTCAGTGCCACAGATCCAGAAGCTGGAGTGAATGGTCAGGTTGAATATTTTCTTACATGTAAGTCTCTTTAAAAGTTTTATTAGTATTGGATTGGTATTAGATTATATTTTAATTTTCCATTATCGATTATGAATTTTATGAGAAGTTTGGACAGAAACGGACATGACAAAGACTATCTATAAAAATGAATTTAAGTATTTTTATTCTTTTCCTCTATTATCTAATTTTCTTTCCAGCAACAGAATTTCAAGTAGACGCTACAACTGGCGTTGTGACAACAGCTTCAAATATGGATTTTGAAACTGAAAGCATCTATACATTACAAATTGAGGCCAGAGATAAAGGAACACCAACACAAAAAGGATATGGTTTTCTTATTGTTAACGTACTGGCAGAAAACGAATTTGATCCTGTAATAAGTGGACCATCATCACCTATTGATATACCCGAGGACACCGAACCAGGTTAGTTTTTCTATAATGCAATCGTATAATATGAGCAGACAGAACTCGAAATGTTTTATGGGATGGCATGGGATTGAGATACCGAGAAAGGGAGAAAATATCTGAAGTAAAACTTATAAGACTAGATATAATTTTACTGTAATAAAAATGTTTTATTCCAGGCTTTATAATAGTTAATATAACAGCTACAGATGAAGATGATGGATTCGATGGTATTGTAATCTTTTCAATTGCTGAGGAACTTGTCCCGTTTACAATCGAGCCCACAACTGGTATTCTTAGAGTTGGTAGTAATCTGGATAGAGAATTACAACCTTCGTGGGAAATCACTGTCATAGCAACTGATATGTCAGAAACCAATCCAAAAAGTGCATCAACCACTGTTATAGTTAATCTTGAAGATGTTAATGACAATACTCCAATCTGTGAACCACTTCCAAACGTTGTCGTCCGACTTCCTCATAATTTAAACAGCGTTCTCACTACAATTAGTTGTACTGATGTTGATGATGGACCCAATAAGGAATTAGTTTACACCAAAATGTCTGGCGATTCACTTAATGCTTTTAATGTTGATAGTGATACGGGTAGTATCACACTGGCAAGTTCTCCAACAGAAGTTGAATACTTTATTGATATAGAGATAAAAGACAAAGGCAATCCTTCAAGAAATGTAATGTTAGTCTTTTATGTTATTGCTGAACTTGAATTTACGTTGCAAAATCTCCCCACCGACATCATTGTTGAAGAGAATACCGACTTAGCACATGAAGTCTTTGATGTCGATGATTGCTGTGTCTTCAGTTTAACATCTTACGAGATCCTCAGCGGAAATGAAGATAATCATGTGGTTATAGATCCAGCTTCTGGTAAAATCATTCTCATGCGAAGTTTTGATAGAGAGACTAAAGACAACTTTCAATACGAGGTTCAAGCTCGGGCCATCCAAACAAACACAACTGCTAAAGGTATTATCACTGTCAGTATTAGTGATTCTAATGACAATACCCCAAAATTTGATACAAGCTTCCAGTACGTGAGTGTTTTTGAGGACCTTTCCCGTTCGTCAAGTATACTTCAAATTACAGCAACAGATGCGGACATCGGAATTAATGAAGATTTGAATTATACCATCATAGCTGGAAATGATGATAGTGTGTTTGACATAGATCAATCTGGTAATGTACAATTATTATCAACTCTAGATGCTGAAACTGTGGACAAATACTCTCTTACAATTACAGCTACGGATGGTGGTTCTCCAGCTATGACAGGCTCTACAAAGTTAGACATTGAAGTAAAGAATATCAACGACTTTGCTCCAAAGTTGGTAGACGTCAATGGAACTGTTTTTAAAAATGTAAAAGAAGATGAAGCACTTGGTGCTCCAATATTTACATTAACTGCTTCAGACGGAGATCTTAATACCGTATTTACATATCGTATATCACAAGGAAATGATGACGAGGTGTTTTTGATTGACAGCTCGTCGGGAGGGATCTATCTGTCTAAGTTGTTAGACAGAGAAAAAGTGGATCAATATAATCTCACCGTGGATGCTGAAACCCAGAATAATGAGGTCGTTTCAGCACAAGTATTGGTTAATGTTTTAGATATCAACGATAATGACCCGAAATTTTCTCAGGATGTCTATCAGCTGGAAGTTACACACGAGGAACCAGCAGGTACATCTCTACGTTCATTCGTTATAACTGACAAAGATATCGGATCGAATAAGGAGATATCAAGTTTAACAATAGTCGATGGTGACACCGGAAACCATTTTAAGATAGTTGGAAACGAGATACAAACTAACGTTCAGATGAATTACAATACCAGAAACCTCTACACTCTGATAGTACAAGCTCTAGATGATGGTTCTCCCAAACGCTGGGGATTTGCCAGGGTTATTATCACAGTTCTTCCTATTTTCAAGCCACCGCTGTTTTATGCCGGTGATTATTCTGAGACACTGAGTGAAGATGTTAACCCCGCTCGCGGTGTTATTGATTTGGACGCTACTGCCCAAGGAGGGGTCGAGGGTGATTCTGGAACAATAAAATACAGTATTAGAAGCGGAAACGACGATAAACAATTTTATATTACTGATTATACCGGAGAGGTGAAAGTTGCGTCACGTCTGGACTTTGAAATCATGGAGCAGTACATCCTGACCATAGAAGCTGTTAGTAGAGAAGATCCAAATTTATCAGCAAGTACAATAGTAACAATCGATATTGAAAATGTCAACGACAACTCTCCAGTCTTCAACCAGAGTGTTTATCATTTTACAATCAATGAGAATGCTGGAATAGGTGACACAGTAGGAACAGTGTTAGCTACAGATTTAGATAAACCTACTTATAATGAACTTTTCTATAGTCTGGGTAGCAGTAGTGGATCAAATGATTTCAGTATAGAGACTGCTACTGGTATAATTAAAGTTGATAAAAGTTTATATTATAGAAGACAGAATGTTTATAATATACCAGTTACAGTAGATAATGGTGATGGAGAGAGACAAGGGGAAGCTTTAGTTGTTATTAAAATTAATGATGTTAATGATAATACACCAACATTTACACCAGGTAAGTTAAATAAGACAATATTTCTACGAACAATTGTAAGATTAAAATTGGAACATGTTTTTAAAATAATATACCCGTTATCAGTTCACATACAGTTATTCTTTTATAAATCATCTTTTAAATACCGGTATTGACAATAATCATCTTTTAATTCTGAATCGATGTGGAAGAGCCACAGATGCAAGCCTTCTATAAAGGGTCTGTGGGGAGGGGTTCTCTCCCTTGAAATTTTTGAAAAATTGAATTGATTTGGAGCATTATGACAGTAGAGTTTTATCAGATTTGGTTATGATATGCACTAAGTGTAAGTGTTTTGATTAAAATGGACCTAATTGCACATTTAATATCAATCTTTCAAATAGAAAGACTATTTTCTGTTAATAATGATATATGTAGGCTAGTCTTTTCAGTTGTGGCATTGTATAAGCCATTAACAATCCTTAAGTACAATTCAAGGTACTAACTATAATGAAACGCTTTGACTACTTCTATTTGCTTTAATGTATTGTCAGTTATATACCTAAATGTAGACATACATTAATAGAGGACTTTAATCCAAACCTTTGTCAATTTACACCCGGAATCAGTAAGTTAATCCAGGACTGAGGTGCAATAAGCAATCATGTAAATATTCGTCTAATTTTGATGTTTGGTATCCGCGATGTCATAATAGTCTAGTTTCCCTCTACACAGCATTATTCTCAGACTTTTCCTCATTATATTTTTTGATTTTAGTTTTTGCTCAGTTATTTTATTGTCTGAGTAAAAACATAAGAATAATGTTGGCTACTATGCGAAATATGTCCATATTACAGTGATACTTTGAGGGAACTAAAAGGGAATCAATATTACAAATGCAAAAATAACTAATTTGACTTTCGTGCTTCATATTACAATATTATTGACGGATTGTGACCATTTTTGTAAGGCAAGGATTTTTTTGTAAGGCAAGGACTTTTTTTGTAAGGTAAAGATTTTTGTCATCCAACAGTTAATATCTTGTAAGATTTGTGATAGATTGCTGTTCCATTTAAAGGTAAAGTTGATGTCTTTTGATTCAGCATGAAATAAATTATAATGTGCTTACCTAGTAGATTTAGTTGTTGGTAATATGTTGATGGCTGTGTGATAAGGAACTGTCTGTACCTTCCATCTGGTGTTTATTCAATAGATTTGTCGAGACATTGATTTCGTAGATAAATGTTCTGCTATAATTTGAATAAATAATGATGCATAATCTAACTCACAGCTACTGTTGGAGTACTCCTTTCTAGCTCTGAAATTATGAAATGTAATACATGCTTCATTTTCTAGCTTCCTCTTATCTTTACAGTCATCTCTTTAACATAAAATTTTTTGAGATGTTCACTTTTATATCTTATATAATTGTCTTAAGTTAGATTGAAACTATCTTTTGTATTAGTTCTATATTTCTCATGCAGAATGAAACAATTAAAAATCTTTTACACCACACCTTTACAAAAAGACTCTGAATCTTTATAAATAACATAATCCTGTTGGTCTGGCTCTTGTTCACTTATCATCAACGTGATTACTTGTAGAGTGTTTAGATGGTATTTCTTTAATATTTGAGTTGTCAACCACAGCTTCATCTTGTGTTTATGTCACAACATCAAGAACTGTTTTAACATCTACAATGTTGTCATTTTATTGTCCTGAGGAACTCTTCACTCATAATTCCAGTCGCCCCAGTCGTAAATGGGTACGGATCATCCGGAAAAGGTCAATGTCGAGTGGTTTGGCCAAGGACCAACTGGTAGAAAGGATCCTTAACTGTGAAGTTGTTATCCTTGTGAAATATGCAGGTTGTTTCCTAGCCGTCTTTGTCGGAATGGAAGACCTCCATTATACTTCCTATTTATTCTAGTCAAGAATAAAAAAAAACTAGTGTAACAACTTTTCAGCAATTTTCATTTCTAAAACAATACAATGAAGGTACGAACGCATATCTTACATAATATACGAATAGTGGACAAAATGTTTATCTAGGGTCTGAAATCTTGTTAGTCCTTTAACAAAATAAAGTTAGCAAATTAATCATTTCGTAAAGCATGTTTCAGATAGGCTACTTCAACCAATATAGATATGTAATAAAAAGTTTCAATCAAAAACTTACTTCACTTTGAAAGTCTTGTATCAGTATTTTGATTAAAATTTGCAAATGTCTTAGAGATTCTTCTTACACGAGCCTGTTTAGACTTGGAAAGAACCTTAGCATGACATCTCTTGAATTTATGTCATTTATGTCTTTTTTTTTAACTCGAAAACAATCCAATAATGGGTTTGGACCCTCAATTGTACCCCCACTTTATTATTATTTTTATTTGTTTTTGTCAGAATGCACCATGTCAATTCAATATTCGAAAATATTCGTTGGAGAACCCTGTTAGACACTCCATGAGAGGGTTGCGACTATATGACGCCTCCACAGAGTTGCATCTGAATTTCCACCTTCACAGTTGTCCCCCTTTGAGTCAGTCTGCCCCTAGTCACGAGAGGCTGGCGCCGCTATTTAATATCTATTGCTGTTACTTAACATTTTTATTGATAATAACTTTTTTCAGATACTGTTAATATTGAGGTTGTGGAGTCGATAGGTACTGGGTTAACGTTTTATACTGTGAGAGCGGAGGATTTAGATACTGGTACTAACGGAGAAATAAAGTATACTCTCGTCTCTGGTAACTTTGATAATCAACTCACACTTGATTCTGTTTCTGGAGCTTTAACTGTTGCCTCAAACCTCGACAGAGAAGCTCATGACAGATTTGATTTGATAATTCGAGCTGAAGACAAAGGTACACCTTCAGCTCTTTCTGGTACATTGTTACTTACTGTGAATGTCGCAGATGTAAACGATCAAGGTCCAAGTTTTCCCGAAACCCTCGTAAACGCCCCCGTTTCCCGTACGGCCAATCCGGGTACAGTAGTGATAACTGTGGCAGCACTAGATAATGATATAGGTGAAAATGGTGTAGTGACCTATGAAATAACCAGTGGCAACACGGATGGCCTCTTCATAATTGGACTGAACAGTGGTGACATTAAAGTAGCCTCTAGCCTAACTTTGGCTGAAAATGAATACTCACTGGAAATAACCGGTAAGGATAAGGGGATTCCAGTCAGAACTGACACAATGACCGTTAAAGTACAGATTAATCCAGCTAAAGTATTCGGCCCCAGTGAACAGGAAATACAGTTATATGAAGAATTACCGGCAGGAAATGTAGGATTAGTAATGCCAAAACTGGGACATGCTACTGATGCTATTATGCAATTTGAAATAGTCGGGGGAAATTTTAAAACAAGTTTCGCTGTTGGAAACGATGGAAGTCTGTCTTCTCTGAGAAAATTGGATAGAGAAGAATACCCAACCTATATTCTTTCAATACGAATCAGCGATAACAACAGTGTATCATACGTCAAAACTGTGACTCTTTCGTTAATTGACATGAATGATAATACCCCTGTTATTACGGCTAGTAATACAAATATCAATGTAGTGGAAAATACACCTGCTGGCCAGATACTGACAGATTTTACTGTTAATGACGAAGATTCTGGTAGTAACAGTATAGTCGACATGACAGTTGGCTCAGATCCAGTAGACGCTTCTGAATATTTCGAGATAACCAATAATACAAGGACTTTCTTGCGATTGAAAAAACCCTTAGACTTTGAAACTAAACAATCTTTTACGGTGAATGTAATAGCAACAGATCGAGGGTCTACCCCCTTATCCAGTTCGATAGCTATTACAGTTAATGTTATTGACATTGATGATTCTGTTACCATCATAAATGGACCCCGAGAATTACCTTCCATTTATATTTCCCGTGAAACGTCATATAATACTCCAAATGAAGCCAAGGTCACCCAAATAACAGCGGAAGATTTTGAAAGGATCTCCGGAAAAACCACATTTACCTCCATCAACAGAGAGGGTATTTTTGCAATTGAGTTAGACGGTACTGTAACAGTGCAGAAAACAGAGCTCCTTGAAGCGGAAACGGCTTATTATTTGTGGATCATAGCAAAAACAGAAACCTCTACCAATATCAGCAGTGTACTAGGATTGTTAAGGATAGATACATTTGACCCTAATCTTCATGTTGTATCTATAGAATCATCTCTTGATGTAATTACTCTCCAGTCTAAAAGGTAAGAGATAATAATAATTAGTATTAAAACAAGAAATCGACTTATATGAATACCAATTGTTGTATGGTTTGTTCCATGTGAGCTGTGTGTATATATATATATTGGTGTCTTCTTTTTTATTTTGGTAGGTCTGAAATAATCAGTAATGTTAAAAATTTCTTTGCGCCTAATGATGAACCTAAAATCTGGAAGATTCGAAGTTTTGAAGTCAGTGCAAGAAGAAAATTGTTGGCAGCAGGGTAGGTATATACTCTCTTTCTGTATTATAGAAAATCGTGTAACGATCAAATATGAAATGAATTTAATGCTTAGATGAACCGTATAATCTATTATGGTAATAATAACACCTTAATTCGCTTGATTTATCATGTTTAACTTGTTTCTTCTCTACCCTTTTTCAGATCACAATTACTGGTATACGTGATACAAAATGCTTCATCAGTTGTTATTGGTAATTTCGAAAATAAAAAAACATTCATTCTCATGGAAGAAATACTGAACGTAAGTTTCCTATGTCTCTCGAACCTGTCAACACAGTAGCGTATTAATTGGGCCATGGCCCTCCCCTCAGGCCTGTGAAAGGTCTTATTTTGAGGTGAAAATTAAGCCCTTAAATGCTTAAAATTCATCTCAGGCAGCCCGAAATCCATTGGCTTCGGGGAGTTTCTGGCCTCGCCTCGGAGAGACACCCTTCATTTTTGGCTCTTCCTTCATCCTCCACGGATCGAAACAATAATCCTTGAAACCTATTACTGTCCCGGTTTGGTGATTAAGTTATAGACCTTGAGTTCCTCAAACCCGATCGTTTCTATTCCAGGCATTGCGAATGGTAACAAATCAAGATAAACCTCAACCATCCTTAGACACCACGTCACTTCCTGTCACAGCCGTCAATGGATATTCAGAACCAGTTATACCTAAAGCATCGAGTATTTCCCAATCTGAGGATTTTGTGACATCACTTGAAGGCTATATAACCTTTGCTGTAATAGGGTTTATTTTCCTGTTAGTATTGCTAATACTTGTTGTCCTTTACCTCAAGAAAAAGAAGGAACATAAGAACAATAGGTAATATGATATATATATATAATAATATATATGATATACAGTCAAGTAACCTAATTTCGTGGAAACCTATTATTCGTGGATTTCCGGAAAGGATTAATAATTTACATGAGCGAACTTGCGCGACCTCCGCATTAGTTTGTTTTGATAAACATGGGTTTTCTCTACAATATCATCTAGTAGAATGAATCCAGTATTTTCAAGCAAGGTAAAGTGTAATAATGTATACTTTGACAAATACAAAATGGCAGATTTCAGTTATTACCAAACGTCACCATTTTTTATCGGCCGAATTTCCTTATAATCCCAAGCGGTAATCGGAATTCCAAGTGTCGTCTGCTAGAATGCAGTCCAACGAATGAAGTCACGTGATCAACTAGCGGATTCTGTGTCAGCAGAAAATTTCTATGGAACACAAAGTGGACCATATTCTTATGTTGTTTCAGTGACTTTTAGCAATAAATCACGCTACGTATCATATTTTGTCAGTCACTATTTTTTTTTCTTTAAAGGAATTGTCACTTGTTATAATGAATTGATATTAAAGATAAATATTAAGAGAAGTTAATTATACCCCCCGGTATCCATACAACGTGTTTTTCTAGACTTATTTATAGATCAAAAAATGTACCGGTACACGAAAATAGGCTGCCGCCGTTGCCGAGTTGGTTGCTCATGAAATATGGGTCAAAGTGAAGGATTCATAAATAAAAATCGAAATAAACCAATTTTAATTATTTTGTAGAATATTTGAGGAAACATCTAAGACATAAAATGTTTTGTTCGTTTGTTTAACTTTGACGAAATTCGGTGTTGAATCCTTATAACCACGAAAATAGGTTACACCACTGTATATATAATAATATAGTAAAAAAATATATTTCACGTAGAAACCACCATCGTAGAAGTGGAATCCGAACATATCAACATTTATTGTATAAACAGTTTATACTTTAGTTTTCGAATTTGCAAAAGCTAGTGATAATGGCACGATAGACGTTTTACACTTATTTTCTCACTATTTTATATGATTTACAATTGTTTTAATATTTACATTTTGCTGGCAAATAGAATAATTCATTTTAGACAGATAACATCTAACACAACGTAAAATTGTTCTTTCAGGACGATATCTTCTGAAAATCTTGTCTATACTGGTAAGTAAATTTTGTCTCACTAGTTGTTTGAATGCTAATTTATAGAACTATTCGGGCTTCAAGTTTATTAGTATTGAAAAAAAGCATTGCATAAACCAAAACTTTCCAAATATTATAGTATTGGTTGTAAATGTGCATTTCAGATCCTAATACCAATTCCAAGAAGGTCGCTTTAGTAGTTCCGGTAAGCACATCTTTATTTTCATTTTGTGAAGGCGTATTCCTTGAATAATATATTGTCATCTAAAATGCCATCGAATTTTATTTTTCTTTTGGCATCCAACGTGGAATCGTCTACAATTGAAACTTGTTACAACGTGAGCAGTATTATTTGATGCTAACCCCTAAATGACTGTTACAAATATAATACATGTCTTTACTAAGTCCAAAATATTTTATAAAAGGAGCAAAATTAAAAATAATTTTTGAAGCAAGCTTGTAATAATTTTTCAAAATGTGGCATAAGTAAATTAAGAATTTCTTAGGCCTATTATTACACAAACTTTGACCAATACATGCATTTTCATTCATACCATGTTATATTATAGACGGGACTTGGTACGAAAACAAATAATACTACCAGAAGAATGTCATTAGGACCTGCCGCTACGTCACTTCCGCAGTCTAAATCTAGAAAAAGTAAGTTGTAGTAATATTAATATTGTTATATATATAGTGGAAATGATCAACTCAGAGAATGTCCAAAGAGACATGCATCACAAAACACATAAGGATTATGTTTTTGGTAATAGAGAAGGACAACTATTTGACACAATTTATACTTCTACTTACTGTTTTAGAGTCTACTGCAGTCCCACCTTCAACACAGTCTGTGACTGGTCTAACACCAGTTCAAACGGCGATAGAAGATAAAACTCCAGCCCCGCCAGTTCTTGAACCTCCCAAAGACTCAAAAGAAGGTAAATCACCTAAATCAGCAAAACGATCACTTCCTCCTCTTAGAAATTCCAGGGAACCCGAAAAAGATAACCAATAAGAAAACATGATTAAGCGATAAAAGATGGTAAGTTATATTATACATTGGATTAGAATTAATACACAAGAACCTGAAACATGTTGTCTTCGGGCCACTGGTCTAGTCTTAGTCTATGCTATTTAGAAGTTTATTCATGACAAAATGTGTAAAAGCGAATAAGATGGAAGTTTTACTGATGTGAGGTTAAACAATTTTATTACAGGGAATGGGGAGAAAGGCTTAGAAAACGAACCTCTACCATAAAAGTGTCGAAATCTACTTACAGAGGCTAGAACTAGAAAATTATAAACAAATAGATACTGGTCCATTCGTTGGTTCATCATTTTATTTTCCTATAGGCCCTATGTCATGCCAGCTATAAATGAATAAGATTCCCCGGTGGAATGATAACACTGTTTTCATATAAATACTTTCCATATAATATTTTCAAGTTGACATCAATGAACTAATTTTGTTTGAGATCAGCGTTATTAAAAAACTGTATTCTCTAATGAAAAGTCAAGGTCTGCCATTACTGGTTTAATGATCAAGGGTGTTAAAATTTATTTATTTTTTTATACTTTGGGAAAGCTATAGAAACAAGATGTGCACTGGGATCATACAACCAGGCATGACATTTAATTTCCCGTGCGTGTTATCAGAGTCTAATATTTAAAAGATAACTCTATTGTATATCCATATTTCTAACTCTATTTCTAACTTCTATTGATATCGATATTTGATTACAGTCTTTTTATCAAAACAAAATATCAAAATACTGTACTGTATATTAATGTAGACAAAAACTTTGTGAATATTGAGGTTCTAGCTTACAACGATTGCTATATTCCGTTTAGTCCAAAACTTCCTGACTCCTGTTTGACCTTAAATGATGAGTTTTTGACACAAGTTACCAGTTTGGATGGGTTGCAGATTTAAGTGCTCCGAACGTTAGGTCGTATGAATTGCTCGAAACCAAGTTTTAACTATCACACTATCCATTAACCACGACAACTAGCTTCTTTATATTCTCAGAGTCAGCAAGTTTTTGACAATTTTGGTTTCTGATAATGTGTGTATATGTATTTAATACTAATGATATTGTTATGATTTCGCTTGAAAATCTGCTCTGCACTGCTGCCTTACTGCTTCAAGTTGTTGTTATTTTGTTATTATTTATACAAGAGACGGGAGATGATATTACTTGTGATATAATTCATTTTTTTATAATTCTGTATTATTATTTTTATAATTGTCATATAATAAGTTACTTAATCCCGATAGGTAGAATACTATTACTTTGCTGGATTCGCTTACTTTTGTCTTTATGTACAGTTTGTATTAAAAATCCTGTTCTTGTTGAACTTTGCTTTTGTAATGAAATTATTTTGTTATGTAAAGATATTGTCAGTTATTTCAAACTTCTCAATTCCTTTCAGTTTGCTTGAGAAATGATTTAGCCTACCCCTTATTCGTATCAGCTTTTGATACTTTACTCAAAATATAAGCAGAATGAAAGATTTCTCTATTGAAATTCTTGGTATATTCCTTTATATTTGTAAAGACATTTTACAGCTTCCTGAAAATGAATTCAATGTATTTGGGTCCATTCTCCTGACCAGTTGCTCAATTTGTTGCTCATTCCCAGTTGGGAAATATAAAAGGGTTGGTTATATATAGGACAAATTCCATAATAGCATTCACAAAACATGATTGCATTCTAAGAAGAAACAGTGATAGTCATTGCATACTCGGTCGACATTCCGAGCTTTAGCATTATACACATTCTATAATTTTACATAACACTAGGTTTTGTCCGCCGAATAAATAAATATATGGACCCACCCCGGGAAGTCATTTGCTATCTGTTTACATGTTATATCTCGAAATTCAACCTTCTGTAACTTTTTCCAGAAATCTCCAATATGTCACACGAAAGCCTGGCCAATGCTTAGTGTCTGGACAAAAAAATCAACATATCTATCATGACCATGAAAATCTTGAGCTTTCCAAACAGTGGCGACGCCAGTGGTGGTACAGGTGGAGCATTTGCCCCATAGAAAAGTGGTTTGCACCCCCAATTGTACCCCACTTTAATTTCAACAAAATTAACATGTCTACCTTTTTCCTTCAAAATATGTGTCAGAATGCACGAAATAAATTCATATTTACTGCCCCCTATTTGTAGCCCCAGTCTCGGAAGGCTGGCGCCACTATTGCAATGTAGCCAATCTGAAAGTACATCACTACATTTTATCAACATCCGCTTGACCGTCACTGCACACAAAAAGACTATTTTTATAATTATCCTTCCGCATGTAAATCCCTCCTCATGTCCCAAGATCTGAGAGAAAATACTATTTCAGACATCAAATTCCAAATCTAGACCAAAAATTGGTCCAGCAAAAATCCCATAAGGGAGGGAGAAAGAGGATTTCTAAAAATACCACACGGACTAATACAATCATTAACATTAAATTAACTCCTAGAGTCGGTCCTATATATATTTTTTTATGAGTTACGTCCCTTGAATTTGTCAGCTATGTCGCGATATTTTAATTTTCATGTTCCAATATTAGTTATATTATGTTGAGCAGATATGACGGCCTGTGCACGTACTCTTCTAGACACCTGATACCACTTTTCATTATGAAATTCTTATTCACTTTTGACTGATATACTTCCTCCGCTGCTGCTACTAATGTTTCGCCAATATGTTGTATTCAGTCAAACAGCATTCTGAACTTTCCATGTGTAGGTCTACGCCAGGATCCCTGTTTACATTACTTTCTGAACTTCTACGCCAGGATCCCTTTTTACATTACTTTCTGAACTTAACGAAAAGATGCTTTTCCTATATCAGCAGCACAGCATAGGGAAAACCCCAAAATCCCCACAAACCGTCTGATATATAACAAATGATATTTTAAAGTGTAAAATTTATTTCAATAACATAATTTGTTAACAATAGAATATATGGCAGAAATAATTGGTGGAATTATTATCAAACATCAAATATACAAAATGTCAAATAAAGAGTTCATATCATTGAAGTAATAAAAAATAAATTCTATTTATAAAGGTATTTACTGATTTTTAAATTCTTATGCCTGGAAAATGATATATAAATTCCTCAGAACTAAACTTGAAATAGTTAGAAATAAAAATATTTAAAAAAGGTAATAACCGCTTAAGATAACGATAATGATGCTGAAGATAGTAAATGTTGGACTAAAAACTAGAGGATTAAACGGCTGATTCGTAAGATGCTCCAGATACAATTGATGTCCCGGAGTATGCTGAGATGCCAGATCTGGATTTATTTTCATCGGTATAAATAGATATATCACTTATTGCCTGAAATTTGAAAAGTAAGATATTATGATTTAGTTGAATAGTGGAAAGAGCCTTATGCTGATCGTTCTGTGGTTTTCGTGAGGAGGAAGCAGGCGGAGGAGCAAGTTTTATGGCAACAAATGTATTTATTGGTATTGGTTGAGGTCGAGGTGCTGGATCACATATTGATCACCTGGAACTTCAAGAGAACACGATCATTGATATATTGAGCAAGGAATATTGTTGATTTATAGACTTTAATGGTACGTTACTTACTTTGGAACTAGGATTCAATGTAACTTGGGAGGAGAAACCATTATTTAAATAAGATTTTGGTTTGAGCTCATCCCAAGGGTCTACCACGAAGTTATCAGCATAGTCAACCAATCTTCTATGTTTTGGTAAGGCTGGCCCCCAATAGGTAGTTGGTATCGTTAACAACTTTATTTTCTGATCAAAATGTATAAATGATATTGCTTAGTCAAAAAACAGGAATTAATTCATTAATGACCAGTACCTTTATGGGAATACTATTTTCATCTCACTCTGACACGAATTGGAAATGGTATTCAGGTGGTTATGTACATTTTCTTTCCACATTGCCAAGTGGAACTTACTTAGAGTTAAAGCAATTTATTTTGTGGACGTATTTTCCAGGCAACCTGGAGATCAATGCAAGGGATAACGGACCAGGTCGTACACAATATTCTTAATATCCTCAGTTATGATAGCTTAGTTCTATAACTTCTGGACTGCTCATACCATTGGACTTTTTTTCGGTTTTGAAATGGAAATAAGAAAAGTAAAAATAGCAAAATTACCCACCTCTAATACATTGTACGACTCATCCTCTCTACCTATTTTGATCATCATAAAAATTGGTATGGCCATGACGGAGCCAAAAGCCATGATCCAACCAATAGCATCAGCCCATGGTGGGTAAGTATAATCGCCATATTTGGACGCCTCATAATCAACCCATGTAAATATAAAAATAAACTGAAATAAAATGATCAAAATTTCATATTTAAATATTCTATTAGTTTAGATGAGGGTCATGGAACGCTACACATTTTTTTCCAGATTCCACTGTATGGATAGAATGCCAGATCTGTAATACCGTTTCAATAAAGTGCACATAAGGGTTCTCAAAAAGCATAAATTAATATGATGTAATGATACTTACTATTATAGTAACAAAACTAAGACCATACCAACAAATCTTCCACCATATTGATGGTCTTTTACCCAGCATGACAGTTAAATCTTGATACAGCCTTTCAGCACCTTAAACAATGGATTAAAATTTCATTCAAGATTACCTCCCTTTAAGTGTCTTATTGGCGGTGTTCAGTTTGGTCTAGTTGAGGTAATTAGACTTTAGTGTCAATTTTAATCTTTTATAAAAGCTTCCTTTTAAGGAACATTCCAAAATGCCAATGTATATAGTTTGAAAGATAAATGCGTTGTATCATAAGCATGCTTACGTCGAAGAAATTTGGTTATATATTCCAGATGGAAAATGACCCAGATAATACATAAGGCGCTGTTTTCTGAAAAGTATCCTCTATAGTTCTAATATTGATGGACACACTATATATCGTTTGTAGCTACACAAAAAAAAAGTTACTTACCATAAACAAAAACAAGGGCTACTAGTTCAAAGAACCCAATAACCATTAATGTCCAGCCTCCAACATAATTATCCATCATTTGTAATAAATACATTCCACCCTTTCAAATAAAACATCATACAAAAAATGTATCAACATGTACCAAGAAGCAAAAACAATAGACATTTCAATCAAGTAATAGAGGACAACTGAAAGTTTTTTCTTTTACACCTTGTTTAAATTGGTTTTCAGCAGCATCAACAGCATCTGATTGTGTTCTGAAACTAATACAGAAGTCTTTTTGGCTGTTACAGTAACAGTACAGACAACATTCTATATAAACTGAACTTACGGGGCAAGTTAAAGGTAAACCCAAAATGAAGAAAATGCAACAAATAATGCCAATAATAAACGTTTTCCTGGGTCGTAAATGTGGAAATTGGTCCATAACACCGGTTAATACTGTTTCTAACATAGCGAACTGTAAAAACAAATACATGAAGTTGTATTAAATCAATTCTGTTATAAAAGACAGAAATAAGTAATTAAAGTAAATCATAGATGCTATGCCAATGGGTTGTATTATTTCTATTGGGGAGTAACTGGTTCAAAGGTGCAAGTCATAATCCTCGACTTATCCCTACTACTTCTTTTCCAACACTTTCTTTGTGATTATGACATTGTCTTGGTTATAAGTTGGTTTGGTAAGTATCTATAAAAGAATGTTCCGTACCTGACTATCAAGGCCTAGTGTTATCAACATGAAGAAAAATAAAATAGACCAGAGTGTTGGCGGTGGTAAACTGGACACTGCTGAAGGATATACAACGAAAGCCAAGCCAGCACCTGTCCAAAACAAAAATAAAAAAATTGCAGATCAACTCGAAATCAACTATATTGTTAAGCATCTCATATTCTAGGTTCCTTTATGAAATAACTTATAGATTGGTAAAATGTTTTAAAGAAAAAAAGTTTCAATGCCTGTACTTATAGAATAGCATAAAAGTTGTTTTTAAAAATGCGAGCAGTAGTAATTGAAACTATACCAGTCAAACTTATACTGTGTCCATTGAAACTTAAAGGGATTGTAAAGGTTTTCTAAACTTTTTATGCATGTTTCAGGGAAAGCATCAATTTGTATCCATCCGATTTTCAATCAGAAGTCTTCGGTTCCTGCAATGTCACAATGTAACTACGTGTATGATGACATTACATATCGCAAAATTTATAAGACCCTTCACGATTAGTGACGTCATCAAACACTTAGTTCTAGTGGATTTGCTGGAACCACAGACGTCTGATGGAAAATTGGAATGGTGCAAATTGATGCTTTCAGTGTCCCCGATACAATTTTTTTTTTAAAGAAAAACCTCTGCAATCCCTTTCAGCTTTCATAAAAGAGGACTGCAGCACTTGTTTATGGTTTAAATGAGACCCGAATGTTCAAAAGCATCTTTGAAGAACTCACCGTCTGCAACCACATCCTCAACCTTGACTCCCATCTGACCAGCCATGTAACCCAGGTAGGAAAATATAACAAAACCAGCAAATATACAGGTTAATGTATCACCTAAACTTACTATCAACGTATCTCTGAAAAATACATGTATATAGAACAGTTACCCAAATCAAAACCTGTAGTTTGTTCTACCTGCATTCTACAGTAGCCTACATCTAACAATTAACGTCTTCAGGTTCATCATACTTTATAAAGGCGGGGTAATATTCTTGGATTCTATAGTTGATCTGCTTAATGAAATCTTCAATCTGGCTTCGTAGTACAATTCAGGCGTCAAACGATAGAAAATACTTTCACAACTGATTGAGATCTACTAAGTCTTAGATAAAGATTACGGATCTATCAAATTCTTAATAGTAAATTAACCGACCAGGGATTTTTTTTAAAGCACTGCAAACAACAAAGATTTATAAGCAAATCTGCTATGGAAATATAGCACAGCATTGATAAAATTATTCTGAAAGAATTCAATAATTTAGAGAAATGTGTGTGTTACCTGAGAATATTGTTATGGAATCGGTTATAACTAGAGAGAGTGATTAATCCACCACCAGCTATCGACATAGAGAAAAATATCTGATTAGCAGCGTCTTTCCAGACCTACAATTCATATTTCATAACATTGCATTTTAATATCTCCTGGGGCAAAAGCATCCAGATAGTGACATGCCTTAAAAAAGCTTGTACAATATGACCAGTTATAAGTTTACCGTTTGTGCAAGAAGTTCAGATGAACTTAGAAATGGTCGTTTATAATAAAAGCTTTAATGGTTTTATCAACAAAGTCGACAAGTTTATCAACTGTGATTTTGTATCATGAATATATCCTATGCCCCCTTTAAATTAGATGAAGATAGCTTGCCTGGCAAGGTAACATACGCCCACTACCAACTGTCAGAAAAGATAACAAAATCTTTGGTGGCTTAAGATTGAATTTTCAAGTAATTTTAAAATCATCTATAAGTCAAGGCAAAAAGATGAAACAGTTCATCAAGTTACCATCGATGTACACACAAGGAAAGACAACAACTCTGAAACTGTTCATCCGATTATTACCAAAGTCAAGGGCAATAACTCTGAAACGATTCATCCGATAATACCAATTTCGATCTTGACTGAGATCCCATCAATATATACATACATACCAAGTTTCATCAAGGTTGGATAAACCTGTAGTCTCTATCGTGCCTACTAGCCATATTTGACATGTTTTTAATAAGTCAAGGGCAATAACTCTGAAACCATTCACCCAATTATTACCAATTTCGAACTTGACCTAGATTTCATCAATATATACATGCATACCAAGTTTCATCGAGATTGGATAAAAACTGAAGACTCTATCATGCCTACAAGGCAAATTTGAAACATTTTTACTAAGTCAAGAGCAATAACTCTGAAACCATTCATCCGATTATTACCAATTTCGAACTGGACTGAGATCCCATCAATATATACATGCATACCAAGTTTCATCAAGATCAGATAAAAACTGGAGTCTCTGTCGTGCCTACAAATTTGATGCTTTTTGGCAATAACTCTGAAACAGTTCATCTGAGTAATACCAATTTCGAACTTGACCGAGGTCGCATCAATATATACATTTATACCAAGTTTCATCAAGATTGTTTAAAAACTGTAGCCTCTATTGCGCCTACAAGAAATGTGGGCGGACGAACGGGCCGATGGACAGGGGCGACGGCAATATACGTCCACATTTATATGTTGGCGTATAAAAAAAGTACAGAACAGCGGAAAAATTATATTTATTTTCAGGATGGATAAAAACACACATACCCTAGCGTCCAATAGTCGTTCAAATTCAGGAACAATAAAGTAATATATTCCTTCACTAGCATTTTCCAATGTTACACCACGAAAAAATAAAATCAGTAACACAACATAGGGAAATATGGCAGTAAAATATACAACCTGTAAAACACATTAAATAAACTTATTAGTGTGTGTTCTTTTGAGAGTCAGCACAGTCAATAAACTCAACAACCTTGTAAGCATTATCTTAGGGATGATTTAGGCATTTTTCCGTTCGGTCTGAAGACAATACACTGCTACCTTGGAGTTTGCTATAACAGTACTTATGTTGAGATACCATTGTTACAATGAATGTTTTATGATAACCCATGCCAAATGACCCATGATGTGGGAGTCTAAACGGGCATGATACAGAAAAAAACAGGTGCCTACCTTTCCAGTAGACTTAATGCCTTTTATCAAACAGAAAAAACAAATGATCCAAGCTAACATTAAATTTAAAACCAATTCCCAACGCGGTAGACCATAATTTTCAATACCATCAGACATACCAAGAGCGCGATTACTGAAAAATGAATCAAACGTATAAAGTTTTCTTCTTCAAGATCATTTGTATTTCTGAATAACTGCAACTGTAGACGTTGACGGGGAATTGAATAGGTGCGAATAGATGCTATAAGCGTCCCTTGTGCACACAAAAATGCCAAAAACCTCTTTTGAATCCCTACAAAATACCACTAGATACTTACTTCCAGTATTCTTCCGATGGTGAAGTGCGTTTTCTACCAGTAACTTCAGTGAATAAAGAAGAATTCCAGATGCCCGTTATTTCATCATCTTCTGTACAAGTGCCGTCATCATTATTAATACTGTTTTCAGAACAACTATCAACTAATGGCAGAAGAAGACTGCAATCTAGAAAGAATGAGTAAATACTTATTACGAAAGACTAGACAGGATATATTTGAAAAGGGAAGATTTGAATGAAGTTCGAGGAATATTAAACCATTTCTTCTATTGATACGTTTCAGACCCAAATATAGATAAAATAGAACCGCAAAATGATAGGTATTCTGTGTAGTCCAATTACAAATTGTAGATAGTTGCTGAAAATTATTTGCTTAGGATATATTTTCAATAGAATTGAATTCGTTCAATTATCCTATGGGCTTGTCAGTTAACAGACTCTGTTTGAAGCAAAGATAAGCAGCTCCTATAACAACAATGGGATTTACCTTCAGTATTCCATTTCTGTACACAGGATGTCCATGGTAATTCACTAGTGAATGATGCGAAGAGGTAGAATTGTGCCCAAGCTAGAATCATGTTGTAATAAATGCTGGTTAATGCAGATACAATCACCATGGCAACTCCGACTCCTGAAAAACAGTATGAGACATATAACACGTCATAGACTTGGATACAATTTCCATATTGTGTTGGTGATAGAAATCATAAACTGGAACGATTCAATGTTTCCATATGAAGATCAATATACATACCTTTAAATAAGGGAGCACATTGCCAACATGTCATGGGTCCACTGCTAGTAAACTGTCCTAATGATGCCTCCAGGAAAAATAGAGGAATTCCAACAATAGCCATCATGATAATAAATGGTAAGAGAAAAGCTCCACCGCCATTCCTGTAACAAAGGTAGGGAAATCTCCAAACATTTCCTAGTCCAACGGCATACCCTAACATAGATAACAAAAAATCAAATCTGCCAGTCCAGTTTCCTCGTTCTTCGTTTTCATCAACACCAAATATTGGTTTTCTACTGTCATCGGTTGTTACTGTGAACAATGAACCCTAGAAATAGAGCAGATTGTTACGTGGTATACATTATCACAGGTTTAGAAGCTAAACATACAGAACTGTACAGAACTATCTGTTCATAACGTTCAGAAGGCAATGAAGTCTCAAAAGAGTTCAGAAATTATATTGAAGATGTAGAATGTTCATACTCATGAAAGATGGTCTTTATATTGTAAACACACATTATCTTGGCTAATTGTGAAAGAAAGATCTTGTTGAAGTGAGGGCATTAAAGCTTTCCACGTTAAAAACTATCTATGGTTCAAATATAAGTTACTTTGATGAACTCTTCACAAACAACAGCTTGGTGGACATTGTTCCGTTTCGTCCAAAATGAAATGAAATGAATGGAGTTTTACGTCCTACCCTTCTGCACCTTCCGTTTCGTCCAACTGTGTTCAGAATTCCACATGCTTAATAATTGCAATGTGAATCGTGTGGACAGCGCATTTGCGTTATTGAAGCCTTGATACCTCCAAGATCAAGACCACTTGGATCATTACCTGAGACGCTAAAGATTTATCATAACCTAGGTTATCGTGAGCCCCAGCACCATCATATGAGCCTGGTTCAATACCGTCAGTTTTAATTGCTGTATCATCATTCTTCTTCTTCCTCTTGCCGAATATTGCAGATAGCTTACTCGGTTTCTGCAAAATGGATAGTATTCTTTGGTGAAAAGGATGATATTGAATGAATAGTTTGAGTATATTATGTTACTTCAAAAAAGTTGACCCATGGAGATACTTAAAGCTTATTTGTACCATTCATGCTAATTTTACACGGGTCAACGAAATGAACTTTTTTAAACCCTTATAATGGCTACTTGACTTTTGTTTCTTGTATACCATAGCAATTGATCGCTTGATTATCCTAATTATTTTTTTGCTTAATGATTTATTGCCCATAATTACCATAGATATGAAAATCTAATATTATATAATAAAGCGTGACAATATGAAGTAAACTTGAGTCGAGAAGTCTTTGAGGATTGTTTGTAATAATTAGTAAATTATTTTTTAGTCTAGAGGTAATTAGTAAGATTTTCTATCGATAGAAGAAACAGATTAGCAAATTTGAGTGAAATTATTGAACCAAATCCATTGGTTAAATACAACAAAGACGTTGTTAACTCTGTTTTTCTTCACGTGAATAGCATCACACATAGGTCCACTTTATGTTCTATTCGATACTCTGATTTGACAAAAATAAGACTCAATTCATTTCATTTTGTTAACCATAACTAGCAGTGGCTCGATGAGCGTCAAAGATTTTAAATCTAATATATTATTATATAATGCACATAGGGGTAACAGGTGGCGGGCGTCCCCATATCGATTTGACAATTGACGTAATAATGCACTGTAGGATAATCTGATACCTTTCCTGAACCCGGATGTTAAATACATTGAACTATTGAGAAATACTATTAAGGGTTAGTCCTCTATCAAAAATGCAGTAACTTATTTTTAAAAATGGGATGTAAAATGCTTTGATTTTTGTGGACAGAACCACATAATTACCAATTCGCTTAATCACATCAGTATTGTATGGGAAGAACCTGCTTACTTCAGAGAAAACACTCCAGGTTTAATACCTGATATTTTTGTTCATCTATTTTTCATGTATAAATTGCCACTTTCTAAGGCATTTATTTAACAATTCATTTTCCTATTTCGTGTCGTGGTCCGTTTATTTATCGATTTTTTTTTTTACTAATATTGTATGAAATCTGCACAACAATTAGGCTACAAAATTGTTTAACACTTGAAAATTTGACTAGCAATTCAGAAACTATATAAATATGTGTTGGAATAAATTTCGCATATCAACCTTCAATTTTATAATATTAAGCCGATTTATTCCCTTGGTTTGTATTTCATATAAAATCATGTCTGTGCTGTGTTTGCATAATTTTCAATCAACCGTTTGTTTTCTTCTGTATTGAAAAGTACATTTTAACTGAAAATAAAGTCACAATGTTCTAGTAACCTGAGGGTGGGGTCGCTGAGGAAAGGTAGTAGTTAATTTTCGTGGGAATAAATTTGTAATTATCACCTCCTTTCAAACAGTTTTCAATATGATAATACACACTTCACTGACAGTTCACGGTCTGTTTACTCCAACGTCTTTCATTTTCATTGATTAAAACTATGTCATGTATATTTTATATACAGAAACACATGAAAATCCCAAAACTAAAAAACGTACATCACTTGGCCACAAATAAATGTAGTAGCCTATTGAAGTAAATGATCAGAAATGAGCGTTTGTTGTAGGTCTTTCGAAAATTCGAATTCAAAGCTATACCTAGAGTTAGGTTATATTTTACTACATGTATGTACTATTCAACTGTGGTCAAGTCCTGAACAGAAACAAGGTCTAAGTATTATTTCCATGCCATAATATTTCCCTTAAAAACATTCATTACGTCTTTATACAAGTAGCAATGCAAAGTATTTAAAATGAAATATCAAATAACGTTTACATATAATATATCCCAGTCAAGGTGATATTCAAATTAATATAATATAAATGTATTACCTGTTCTAGGTCCGCCATAACGGCGTCTTGAGATGGTGTTATCCGTTATCCTTTGACATATATTATTGTATCAAACATTAACAGTAATTTGGTCCGTATTAATCTTTTTTTTTTACCTTTTACATGTATATCTTAACCTCGTCGATTCGGAAGTATAATGCAGTCACGTGATAAGCGTAGCCAAAGGACAAATATCTTTTTTGTTAAAACGCACTTTTCCGTGACGATTGCTAAGAAAGGTTAAAATGTGAATGAATCGTTTGAGAATTATTACAGATATTTGTATTATTATGTGATAGTTTTTAGTGGAAACTTATGCAGCCATACATATTATTTGCATATCTCATGAATTATCGGTAGAGTTCTCGATTTTCACGCTTGTCAACTATGGGAACAGCATTCTGGGAATCGCCCAAAGGAGTCGTAAAATCCTCTTCTGATTAAATGTAATGTCAGCAGCCCCGAAATAACATGTATACAGCCAATAGCTTGTGTTAAATTCTGATGATCTTAAGGCTCGCCTTGTGGCATCGGCAAGATAACAGTCATGATATTCTTGATAGGTTCGCGAATAAAGAAATTATCAGTTCGTTTTGACCTAACTAAAGAGCAATCGGGATCTACAATATTATTAATTTGAACTGAGGTAAATCACATTTTAATGACGTACCTTTCCACATACTAATCACATTGACGATATTCAAACTAAATGTCTTTATATTTTCACTACCAGATGATTGACTTCAATATCGGCTATATGAATATAGAACTTTTAGACCGATATAAACATACGTTTTTCGCATTCAGTTGTTATAATATTCCGGAATCTTTATCCTAAAAGTAATAATCAGTAATAAGAAATAGTAATAGTAATAAAAGCAATTATTTATTGCTGTTAATTTGAATACATGTAATGCATTTTGACTGGAAATGTATCACTGACGTTCATGTCGTCTATGGACAATGTCACCATGCCAAATGACTGATTCTATAACTTGATCATGGCAGCCCAGTTGGTAAATCAGATGCTGCCATCTGAAAGACAAAACGGAAGCAAATATCAAATTACATACGCTCATTTTGAATAACTGTGGCAATTGTTGTTACCGAGAATGGTAATGCTAAGACTACAATTCGACTGGATGTGTTAATTCAGCTTCCTTTGGGTAGGACGTGTATGGGCCAATAAGTTACTTTGGTGTTGTTCCCCACATCAGAGAGCTGTGATTCCGAAAAAGTAGAACTACAAGTATTGCTACAAAACAAAACTTAAATCTTGAATGTCTTTGTTAAAGTTACAGTTTTGTTTCCGAGTTGACGACTCTAACTGTTATTTGATCAGATCAGAAACGATGCACTTTATATTTATTTATTCTTCTCACTAATCTGGACATGACTTACTTTGTTGTGTCCAATATGAGGAGATTACCCAGTTTGCCTATCTCTATTGAACCATGATCCTGTGACAATCCTAATGATGCAGATGAATTAATAGTTGCTGCTACTAGAGCTTCTGTCAGCGTCATCTTCATCAATACACATGCTAGATGCATTACAAGAGGCTGAAAGGTTAATCAATGTTAAATCATCAAAATCTTAACGAGCCACTCATTTACATAAATATTAGTACTGGAGAAACTTTACTTAATATGTGTCATCACTCTTATGAGCGAGTGCAAAGTTAAATGAAACTCGCAAAATTACGATAGATGTGAGCAATTCTATGATTGAATGACGTTTTTAATATTTCAACTTACCATAGAACAACAATAAGCATTAGGATTGAAATCAGTACCAAGAGCTACAGGAACACCATGTTCAATTAGAGATCGTACTGGAGGTAATGGTAATCTTAATATATAGGCAGTGGTAGGTAATATTACTCCGATTGTTTTAGATTTAGCCATAGCCTTCATTCCCTCTACAGATATTTCTTCCAGATGACTAATAGCTGTAGCATCAATTTCTGCTCCCATCTAAATCAAAGAATCGTATATGATCTATGTTCAAACTAAAGTGATGTTTCGATAACAGCAAAACAGTGTAAGCACTGGCTCCGGAATAAATTGTCCTTAGTTTAAAGCATTGATATAGAAAATGGTCCACTGTCGAAATTTTTGTTCGAATTTTATGGTGAAATGATAAGGACTTGGATATTTACTATTTACCTGCTTAATTTTCTCAGTTTGAAAATTCAATTTTCTCCGAAGTACCTTAATTTCTGCAATTAATGTAAGAGGGCAATAAACATACAATTCTTATTTGAAAATTGATTTTTACCTCAGCAGAGTGCAATGGAAATAATTCATCACCATGAAAGTTTATTTGTAAACTGTTTGTTTTCCCTGCCAAGAGAATATTACGAGATTGGTCCAAATTAAAAACCCCCTTTTCACAGAAAACATCAATATTATCAACATGTAGTTTTTTCTGATCTCTGAGTTTCTGTATTGCTGGTATCTGGCTGTCTATAACATCTTTTGTAGCTTCTTCTGCTGTTTTACCCCTGAAAATAGCCGTATTCTTTTGTTAAATATGTATATAAGTGAAGAATAGAATTAGAATTCCTTGTTTTGGTTATTCTGATTTCCTGCATACCTACCAAACAAGACGTTCTCATCCAACAACTAATATTAACAAATTAATGAGCGGAGAACAGACACTTTTTCAAATAGAGTTTAAAGAAACAAATTAAGAAGTATTAAATTCTGGAGTTCCGAAGACCGATTTTAGTTTAAATGCCAGGGACTTACTTTGGTACAGCATGTGCTCCACAATAAGTACTCGATATATCGATACCAAAGTTCCTTCGACCTCTCTCTATTACATGTAACATTTTAATTTCATTCTCTGTATCTAACCCATAACCACTTTTACATTCTACTAGAGTAGTCCCTGCTTCTCTCATACACTTTAACCGCTTTTCAAACGATGAATATAGTTCTTCTTCATCAGCTTCTCGGGTTTTCTCTACCGTAAAGTTGATTCCACCACCAGCTTCGTGTACGTCCATATACGATGCGCCACCAAGCTACAATGTACATGAATACGCTAATTTAGTGGATTTTAGTAAGAGACGATATGTACAAAATTTCATTATAATTAAAGACGGGTTTCCTTATTTTTTAGTGTCAAATTAAGCAAACTATTTGATTTATTGGTGTTTTTAATGAATTATCATGTATTCTTAATGATATCATTATATTCTTATTGTATATAATTAAGAGTTTTAACCAATCATAAGTGTCCATGTATGTACAGTCTAGATAAACAAAAAAAAAATCTTTTTGGACCTCTCTTGATAGGTCACTCATTGGAATTCTGCTGGTAATTCTCTTCCAATTTAGCTAATTATGAATTAATTATGGACATGTGAGTCAAACTGGTATTTTCCAAGTTATTAGAACACCTCTACTTTCTATTCATATAAGTATTAGCATTTTCATTTTCATAAATGAAACTGAGGGAACCCATCTTTAACGTTGTAATTTTTACAAGAAAAGCAACCCAAAACATAGCGATTTTAAAAGGTTTACGTAAACCTTTAATTAATAGTTTAACAATATACACCAATATACTACACATTTGGCGAGATTATGGTCTATAGTTTTCATTAATTTGAGCACCTAGCATTCCCATCCTATTTTAAAAATATGCCGCTTTAAGAGTTCCTTGCATCACCAATTTCCTATTACACTGTAGCAGCCAATATTTATTTAGGTTTTTATTATATATTAACAATTTATTAATTGTTTTGTGCAAAATGTATGAAGCTGTGAAAATAAAATTATATTCACCTTCATTTCAAATTCATGAACTCTATCACCAGCCCAAACCGGATGTGTGTGAGCATCAACGAAACCTAAAATAAGATGGTTTAAAGCCAGGTGGTTCAATTCTACGCATTACTATAAATATCTAGCAAATCGTAAAGATGTCTTTACTCAATTTTCTTGATCAAATCATACTTACTAATTGTTTAATGAATTATAAACTATTCATATGTTAAAATCCTATATTATGTACGATACAGCATCTACAATGTCAGTTTTCTGTCGTCAGATTGTGTGGATTGTTGGTATGAATTTGTAACAGTTCTTATTTGGTTTTTTGGAATGAAAGTTGCTTCCAATCCGGTGACTGGTTGGACACCAAAAAAAAAAACGTTAACAATAGACTTTTGACTGCGCACATTAATTTCAATTCCAAAGATGAAAGAGGCGTACTGCACCTGGAATTATACTTTTACCCCTGGCATTAATTACATGGTGGAATGTGTCTTCTTTATATTTCTTATTAATAACATCATCAAGGTCAATATCATGTATTCTACCATCACTGAAACACGACATCATACAAGAATCATATCAAGTTCATTTAAATAATTTTTAATAAGTTGTGTGTTATGAAGGGTGGCTTACTCGGTGATCTTAGTAAAATTCGGGAACACAGTATGCTGTATTCCTCACTTTCATGCACTTGCATGAACAATGTATTGGACAATGACGATGGCGATATCATAATCTGATAATTAAAAATAGTGCTGATGTTAACTAATTAAACTATATTCATCCTATTATAATGGACAATAGCCTTATGGCTTTAGAATATCAAACAGAGATTCTATCTCGCACGTGGACAACAGGTTTGACCTGGCCTGTGAGATTCTGTTATCTGAGTTACTAATCTGGAACCCGCCGAAGTAAAGGGCACACAGCGAGGTTTTTACAAGGATTCCTTGTTGAACGTGCAAATAGTGCACGACTGATGGTCGAAGCATTCGGAACCAAAGACCTTCAATATCAAGACTGATATTACTTACTTGTCTATGATTATACTGTATCCCTGATCTGTTGATTCTAAGACAGCAATATGTTTCATATCTAAACCATATAACATCCTTGCTCCATTATCTACAACCTGTACAATCTGGCTAGCTGACTGTATAAGTAGTTTATACTTGGACATTTTGATTTGTGTCTCCTAATTATTTGGTTTCTGTAAGCTAGATGAGTTTGTTGGTTCTTGTTTTCACCATTCAACTCTTACATCCTTTAAAATATGAAAAGCAGACGTGACTCAAATAATCCTCCATAACTGCTGTATATCTAAATACAATTAGCAGTTTTCACGATTGCTTTTCTTAAAAACACACTTCTCTCCATTCAAATCCTGGACAATTTCCTTACGTCACCTCTTAAATTAGACCTACATTTATTAGAAACATGGCACACTTACAAATATATGAATATAGCACAGGTTAGTGGCAAGTAGAATTACAATACATGCAGGATATAGGCTAGGTATGTCTATTTAGAACTTATGTCTGCTACAACTGTTACACACAGGCTATAATAATAATACTATAACACATGTCATATGGCTCTAATCTTTAATCTGAAGGATTTCAGCTTGAACTTTCCTTATCACAGTCGCCATTGTTTAAAGTTGAAGAGATAATTTTATCTTTCTAATTTATCTAAAGAGCTATCAATGTAACCAAACAGAAAACTGCCATCTTATAACAGACCCAACTATTTCATCCATTTCGTCCATTTTAGAGAAGGGACATATTGACTGCTGATACAATAAATAATTTACTATTGTAAAACATCAGTTTTTACCATGTTACAATGTTCCATGTATACATGTCTTCTAAAAGGTTTGCCCTCCTTTTATCACGCCATAGGTTATCTCGTTTGTAAATCTAAAAACCAAAATATCGACTTAGCAGTTAAAATGGGACATGAAGAACTGTGTCCGGTTATTAAGAGTTAAGTTAGTAATAATTAAATTCTGGAAACATCTTATCTATACGATGTTCAAACCGTGTTACAAATAATAAATGTCGTATTTTTAAAATGTTTTACAGGCAGCACGACAATGGCTTGATTAAAGATTGTTTAAGTTCGTTGGGTCAAACTGGACGCATGAGTATTTTATTAATCTGGGTTGACTACGTAGGCCTACACTAATTAAATGTATGACTATGAGAAAAATGAGTAAAGAAATTAAGATAAACTTATCAGCATGTGATCAATATTGTCCTGTATTCTATCACTAGAGATAACTATTATCAAATTGTATACATATATTTAAATTTTATCCAGTTTAAAGTGAGTCATGGATAGATCCGACATCATCTTAGAATTGGTGGAGGAAACTAAGCCCAGCATTTCACCCCAACTGATAAATCAATGGACAATGTTCACACTTCGTATTCCGCTGCGAATTGTGCCTTCCAACGATTGAAATTAATTAAAAGAAAACAATCCAGAAATTTCGATATGAAAAAACTACCTTAGGTTGAAAAAGGTAATCTAAAACACTATTCAATGCGAATATTAGGGAACAAAAGAAATTTTGGGGAATTCTTTTTTTCTTTTCACCGAATCTAGGTTAGATGAAAATAATTGCAACTTAATTTTGATTTCAGACAGTTAGGCTATTCCTTAAAGTTATTATCAATTGAAGACTCCATTTATGTATTTTATAGTTGTTCATTTGTCATTACTAGCATAATATAAGTCTATTATCAATTATTATTATTTTGTTGAAATAATTAGTTAAATCTATTTTATGTAACAGTGCCCTTTAAAACAGATTTCATCTTACTGGAAAAACAAGACTAGACAAAGATTTGTAAGAGTTATCTCACGAGCTAATGGTCATGTGACACATCACATGCTAGAGTTTGTTCAAGATGGCAGACAATTTTGTATTCCAACTTGTGAGTTTTGTTCTTGCTTTCTTAATTCCTGGCGTTGCTGCTTTTGATGCCGGTGATGGAATCGCTCTGGTGCTTGGACTAGTAATTGGTATTTTAGGAATTTGTGCCTGTTTGGGCTATTTTGCCCGTAGAAGAGCTGGTTCGGGCTAATAACGACGGTTGGGACCAGCCCCCTCCTGATAACTTTTTGTAAAATTGAGGAAGAATGGAATGAAAAAGGAATAATACGAATAAAAACTTTTGGGTTTAATAGATTCCTATCACAACTATCAAAAATATATCATAAAACTCTTAAATCACCTAAATTGATGTAAATGTCCTCGGTCAGATAATCCATCATCAACCAAGTGTGAGTAACAGTAACAGCCAATTCTCGATTCTGCCTGCAAATTCATCCGGTGTTCAAGTGTTCAAGAAACGGAATTTCAGACTCAAATGATAGTGTTAATATATTCTAATAGGTGGGGGACTGTTGTGTGGATATTTCAGTTTGATTTCGCAAATGTTTGTTGTGTTTTATTTAACTTATTGTAAATATTTTCTTATGCTGTATTGTATATTTGACATAATTATAAAGTTCAAATGCTTCTTTTATAAAGATATTCTTACATTTTGTTGAATTTGAATTATATGTCAAAATAAGATAAGGAATGCTCTCTTTACTCAACTTTCAACTAATTGAAAAATAGGGGATTTTAATTATTTCAACAATATTTGCTCTGTACTTTGAAATTGTTTAATGTAAATGAATTGGTAGATTGTGCTGTATGTATCAGTAATTAGCTTCTGTTTTCTCTTCCTGGTCATGGATAGCCTGTCATAATTTATGCTCAGTAATATAGACCTTTATTTTCAGCATGCAGCTGTTGTCAGATAGTATTCAAATGGCAATTGATTTTTTTTTCTTGATCATTGCTAGTTATAACCATATAAATGTTATTTTCTTAGGTGCTTGTATCTTTCATTGCAACCTTCAACAGTTATCATGTATCTTATTTTGTTAGTTGATTTTTATTAATGATTGCATATATGTTACCATGATAAATCATTATTTTAATAAACTCAATTGTTTAAAACATTTTCCTTGTGTATAAACTAAATTAGTCTTAGATGACAGTCTTTGACATACATTCTACTTAAATTTGTTATAAAGAATGTATAATTCTTTTGGGTTGTTATGATTTTGGGTGCATAGAAATGTAAAGTTGGACCTTAAAGTTTCTTAATACTTTTAAATCAGCCTGTTAGCACTGCTTCAGTTTTGATACTATATGAATGAAACTTATAGGAGTATGCTATGTTGCTTGCTATGATCTCATAACTTCAATCTTATATGCATGTTCCTTGACTGAAGCAGTGGGCATATGCTACCTTGCTATCCTTAAATGGATCTTTTCTTTAACCCGAATTGAAACATTCTCATTAAAATTAAATACATTTATTCATTTTTAATTCATAATAGATATTATACATACAATGAGAATGGGAACAGACATGAACAGAAGACATCACTGCACAAATTGAAGATAACTATAAATGTTGTAACATATCACTGCTATTGCACAACACACCAAAGTGCTTTATTCTCCCTTTTATCTTCAAAGGAAATACTTTTTCTTAAGAGACATCTAATTTTGTGTCAGAAAGCATGCAACATCATACCCAAAGAAACCATTCTACCTCAAATTATAGTATACTGCTCCTATCTAAGTTTTAATTTGTCCCTTATAGACAAATATACTTGCTTGACCACTACAACCATCTGTACAGAAATGTTAAAACAACACCATGAGATAGTTAGTTGGCTGTTCCAGATAACCATGAGCTAGCTGAATGCATTTAACAAGGACTCTAAAAATATTTTCTTAATTTTTGATTTTCAAATCCACTGAAAATAATTTGATAAACCTATTTTGAAGGAAATTGGCACACTTTTCAAAATTCTCATAATTAAATTAACAAGTTAACAGTGTTATTTAAATCTTGAATAAGTCATCAAATGTTATGTTGGCTGTCTAATTAAAGAAAGGGCCATCATAACTGGTAAAAGCTGTCACTCAAAATAAGCTAGCTTACATATATTTTTTCACAAATTTGATAAATACAGGCTATATAGAATATGTAGGAGGGACAGATTCACCCTTTACGATTATTGATGTGATATTTTTCTTCCATTAATAGCAGCATAGCATGTAAATCAACATAATATTTTACCAGCAATAAAACCTCGTAGATGAGAAAATGAAATTATGATTTCCAAATATACAAATTGAATGAAATATTTTACACCAAACGAGGTATTTACTTTAGTTTTATTTTCTAGAAAATGAACAATGATGTATTGGTGTAAAATGAAAACAAAATAATTTAATTATTCTTAATACTTTGATGTGTTGATGATGTTTCTAAAAATATCTACTTATTGTATACAATATACAAAGAATTGCCACTTTAGGTTAAAAAATGACCTGATGTCTTTTAAGCACTGATAGTTTCAACCAACCATATAAATCTGAACTTTATCTAAATCTATCAGACAAGCTGACTGGCCTAAAATTTGCACCAAAAATATATTAGAATTAATCCTGCTCCATTGGTTCCTCCGAACGTGAAACTTCGGATGACTTTTCAATGTTTGATGTATTAGAAACCTCTGGTGACTCAACTTCAGAGTTTTGAACTGACTCAGTTATCACAGATTGTTCAGAGCAGGCTTCATTCGTGTCAGACTCCATATTTTCTGAATGGCCAATTTTATCACTTGCATTGTCTGAGGATGTCACATTGTCTGATGTCAAGTTATCTGCTGAGTTATCCTGAACATTATTTGCTGAAAATGGTTGATTATCTGACTGTGAGATAGAAGTATCTAAGTTTTTATTGTCGTCACTGTGTAATGTTTCTGATGATTGATTGTCTGCTGATTCTGATGAGGTAACTGCTCCATCAGTTGCTTCCCTTGTTTCTGATTGCTGATCACTGTTATTTCTGGACGGGCTCGAATTATTTGCTGTAGTAGTGACTGATTCTTCAGTTTGTGTATTTGTAGATGCTGTAAATAGATTTTTAGTGATTAGAGGTTATATCAAAACATGCCAACTTCAGCATTTAGTTAAACCAAGAAAAAAATGACAATATATGCGTAAAAATATGGAATGACAATTACAACTTTTGGATTAGATCAAATTATAATCCTCTCCAGCAAGTTAATAGTACAAGCTGAAGGAAAGCTAGGAAAGCAAATCATTTAATGGCTCTTGCCTTTAAACAAGCATAACACGTTCAGAAGAGAGTCTAGCCCTGATCTCTCATACAGAATTAAATGACAAATGAAAGCATGTCTATCAATATTTCATAAGAATCATGTTCAACCTACCTGCACTTTCTATAGGATTTTGAATGACATTGTCTGACATATCACTGACTGAATCAACAGCAGGGACTTCACTAGTTGATATTTCTACACGAATATCACTGGTTGTTATTTCCACAGGAATATCACTAGCAGAAACATGTATCTCCACTGCTTTGCCTGGACTAGGTGTTACATGAATACTGTTCTCTTCACTAATACTGGATACAGGCTCTGTAGTACAATTGTCGTTATTGTCAGTCTCGTTTGTCACATTGTCAATTAATTTGGTTGTGTGCAAGTTATCTTGGGATGTAGTTGGAGTTGCCTCCCCTAACGAAGATGAATTGGATGAAATAGAATCGCCTTTCGGATGAGAGGTAATTAATGAGGAGTCTGTTGATTGTGAGGGTGTGTTGTCAGTTGTTTGATGAGTAGAGTTATCTCCCTCTCCATTGTGAACTGAAGATGAAGAGGTTTGACTTTGACTATTATTATTACTGGTTGATTCAGCAGGCCATGATGCAGACACTTCATCTGTAGCCCAGTTTTCTATCTGTGCAGGTACATTTTCTTCTGTTTGTACAACCTCCTCTCCATTAGCATCTAATCCATTCACTAGATTCTTTGGACTTTCACAAACAATTTTCCTAAAATTTTAATGAGAATTATAACATACTTTCGAAATATATTGGAGCTGAGCACATTTCTGAACCACAAATGATAAAAAGCACTGAATTGCGACAAATTGCAAAATATTCAAAAAAAAAAAGGCTCAAATTGATTATAGACAGGCATTACATTTTCCTGAACTTATTAAGAGTTTCCTATTTTTAAACCCATACTTTTCAATGCAAGCAAGGCGCTATCGCTATGAAAGGCTGTACAAGGCCAGCATTGGCTTAATTCCTTCAACACAAAATACAGTTGATTATTTGAAGGTATGTAAAAGGGTTTAAACTTACCTTCCAAGAGGATCAACAGTACTTACAACTAATACATTCTGAAAGTACAATATTTACTCAATTATTTCCTTAAATGTTATTACATACCTGTAATTGTATGTAAGGTAATGGTGCTGAAGCTGAATTGAAACTTACAAGATTTTTTACTATGAAAACTTTTTTTAACTGTAGATTCCTACTGATCTTATTGACTTCCCAATTTGGCACATATTTACAGAATGTATGGTCTAACTAATCAGTGTTAACTTTTAGGACCAGAACACATTACAACTGAACTTTTAATATCAATCAATCTTTCAGTGTTTCAGTTGCAGTTCACAACTTTTTCTTTGATTAACAGTTTGTCTTCATATTACATGAAAATTAAAATAGTTGTTTTAAATAATCTAATTCATTCATACCTTTTCAATTCCACGTAAGAATTTATCTGTTCTTTTATAGTGTCTTTTTGGTTCTATTATCAATTCACAAAGCCTTTGAACAGTAAAAGGTGCCCTGAAACATTCAATATTTACAATCAATTGATAGAAAAGGTGTTGCTTGGAGCAGGACATTACTCACCAATAACAATGACTTAAATAAGCTCTCAATTGTTCCAACAGTAAATGGGCAGGAATACGTTGAGAAAGATTAATACCGTACAAAAGGTTTTGAAGTCATCTTTTTCTAAGGAGAAAAAAACTTAAATACGTTATGTGCTACTCGTCTACTTCTTTTTTCAGACAATTAAGATGAGTAACACAGTATGCTATAAAGGGCTTTTTCAGAGATAGGACAAGTTTGTAGTACAGTGGAGCCTTAATTTTAGTCCCATCCAAACAAATTTTAATACCGGTACACATTTTCATGCCAATTACATTTATCTGCATCACTGACTAGAGAGTGGAGAAAGTCAGATCTTTAAACCTTTTAACAAAAGGAAAGTAATCTTACCCAGAAAATTTTTCAAATGCAACTAAAATTCTATCTCTCATTTCTGCAAACTTGGCATTTTCAACATTTGGACTATTGACTAAATGGTCTGAGGGTAAATCAGCGTTATATTTTACCATGACGTCATCTAACTTGGCTCTCAGAAATGTCTTCAATCTTTCCCAAGGAAACCTAAAAATAATATCAAATGTACAGTTCTTGGCTCAATATTACAAAATATAAAGGAAGCTGGTAAACCTATAAGTAGAGAAAATCCAATTCGAGAACTAGAACTTATTAGGACAGATGCTGCATTTGTTTGACCAACCATACTTTAATCTCAGAAACAGGAATGTTTTTAGGTAAGCCAATCAGTAATAGTGTTCACAGCTCACCGTCGACACTTGGGCCTTCAAATCCAAGTGTGTTGAGAATTATCCATATTTGAATGTTCAAATGACAGCTCATCATTTAAAGATACTCTGTGATTATAGAAAAGACATATAGAAATAGTGAGTAAAATTCCTAGTACCGGTATGAAGCATTTTTACGGAGTTATGTGATTTTCATGCATTGCTAGTACCGTACTTATGAAGACTAAAATAGCGCACCTGTTCCTTTAAATTCCAAACCATTGAAAACATTACCGATAGGTTTGCCAAAGCATATGATTTCAATGTGGTTAAGCGCCCTTAATAACACTGCCATGGCAATTGGCAATTTATGATACTGAAAGAAGCGGCCATTGAGTGGCAGGCCTATTAGGGGTATAACTGATACTAGTATGTTTCTATTTCATAAATATTACATGCACATGCCGTTATGGTTTCAGGTTTTGGCATGTAGATTATTGACACTGACAGTTGAGTCAGTGCTTTATTTATTCTGAGTGTTTTGATTGGTTTGTTTACATTTCACTAACCAAAATAATGCCTCTTGAACAACATATAGAATAGGTGTTAAAATCAAATTATTAGTATAAGATTTAGGCATTGTTTGTGAGATAGATTAATGAGTAAATTTATATAATTGTTGTCATTGTTTACAATTAAAAACTTACAATGTCTGTCCTGTCTTAGCCACATGACACAAATATTCGTTCAACAATGGTGGAAATTCTTTCGGAAGCTTTTTCTGAAAATCTGGAAAGAAAATATACAGGATTATAGTCTAAAATTACACAAACAAATATTGCCTACAGTATAGAGTTAAAACTGTTTTATTCATACCATATAAAGCGTCCGAAATATCTTCTAAATTATCCATGTTGGTCACTGAACTCGTATCGCGTACCATCAAGGTCAGAAATGGCGGCGGGGGAAGTGACGTAAGTCTCATAATAATGGACTCTACTAGAGGGGGATAATGGCATTATAATATTTCAATTGTTTAATTTTACTTTTTGCCCAGTTAATTTCAATTCAAAATAATTATCATTACGGCAATAAAATATCGATTGTTATTGTCGGGTATAATGAGTATAAAATGAAATCTATTTCATTTTCCATTTTAAAATTTAATTAATCTTATACCCCTACAACTATAAATGTGTTAGTCCATTAAATAGGTCTAATTCTATTATTAGAAAATAGTTTGTAAATATGGCGCTAGCTAGAGACTAAATTGAATCAACCCACTTTTTAACATTTCGAAGTAAGAAGGAGTGACGAATTAATTACTTTACAGTTTTTAGACATTTATATGTTCAAGGTGGGTGAAATTATCAAAAATTAATTATTTGTTTTTGAAGATTTGTGATTTATTTGTAATTATCTTGTACAGGTGTAATATTCTTTGATGTCACCACTACAGGTACGTAACAGTATAATAGGTAAATATTCACCAATTTTCAATTTTTTTTATCTTACTTCATTCTTATGACATTGTGTTGGTAGGAAACAATTTGTCCAAGATCAAAAAGCTCATTTTAGTTTGATATATATAAGAGGCCTTTCTGAAATTTGAACTAATCTTATTTATATGCATTATTAGGCTTTAGCTTTATGACAGACCTAGCTCATGTGGTATTTTAGAGTGCAAAATATCTGAAGGCTAATGCTGAACATATTTCTTGAAATTGTTTATAATCAAATTAATTAATTGATTAATTAAGGTGTCGAGGCAGGTGTTTTCTCACCTCTCTTACCACAAATCAATGAAGTGAAAAATCTGGACAAGTGATCTATCAATTAGATTGTCTTGAGAATAGTTTGAGTTATATTATACCCTCAAGGCTAAGTACAATTGATATAGACCTCTCATATGTCAACAAATTAGATACACTTTCTTAGGCCTTACCATAATCTTTTTATTAAACAATCACTTGTATTCCAAATATAGGAACTGAAATTCTCTTTTTAAAGCTCTTGCCAGAAATAGGAACAAAGTTTTTACATAATTTGATTTTTTTTGAAAAGACTAAGCCAATTTTCATTTTGAGGGTACATTGGCATAAAAAAAATTTGGGAAATTGAATTCTGATTATTAGCCCTACCTATATAATGATTATGGTAAAGGTCTGAATTATTCTGTCTAGTTTACTATGGTGTGATATTTTTACTACAGTTCTATTTTGTCAAGTTTTATTTTTGTTTATAAGTTTGTAATATATAGTGTGTGCTATGTTTCATCAGAAGCACTGCTGGAGGTCACAAGTAGAAATTGAGATAAAACTAATATATCTCATATCCTCATTTCCATTAGAACCTTATCTTACTTGTTGGCTCTGTAAAGTTTTATTACATTAGAAACTTATTTAAATGTTGAAATTTGAAATTGCCAAAATAAAGTGACTATAAACTGGATTTGAACTGCTGATGATCTGTATCTGAACCACCACACAATGTAAATCTGTGTAAAAACTATTTGTACATGTGTTACTGTACATCAATTCTAAGTCCTGAAGGCAGAATAATGGTAGAGATATCTTGGCTTGTTATTCTGTAGCATAACAATTTGTTAATGCCAACAGATCAAATAAACATGTCATTATTCTATCAAAGAGTGTCATTAAAAGTCCAAAGTTCTCATTAATATTAACCTAAGGCAAGTTGAATTAAGAAATGGTATGTAGTGCCTCTATAGATCTTTAGATGGAAAGCAATATTTAAAAACCTTTTACTCATTTCATATCTTCATTAATCACAATCAATATTTAAACATGCAAATAACAAATTTCAAACATGCTGAAATCACAAACTACGTTTTTCATAGCTTTATTTTTCAAAGAAAAAGTAGTACATGTAGAATGTTATTTTTGACTTTGACTTTTAAACATGTTCCAAGTTTGATCAAACAATGAAAGGCTATTTAGACTCTTGACATCAAAACTTGAAACAACAAAGACTGTACAGTTGTTGTCTTTACTACAATAGAAATAAAATCTTTGTAACAGTGTGATGATCATGTACAACAAGTTAGGACAATGTTTTGATGGATTAGGTCAAGTGTACTATTTCTATATTGAACCAGTTTTTGAAGATTTTTGTATTAAAGAAATGTTGTGAATATGCTATTTAGTCATATATTCTAGCTGAAATTATTTTTGTCTGTCAATTATTCAAAAACAACTACTCTTTCCTTTTAATTATCTTAATCCAGAACTGAAATAACTATGATGATTATTGGTACTTGAGTAATTGTTGCAATTACTTATGCCTATGGATGCTTTTCATCATGAAATCAAAATTTAGTCCAAAAGTAGTCATCTTATAATGTTTTATCGAATGTTCCTTAAGCAATGTTACATGATAATGATCATCTTAAATGTGAATAATCATACCGTTGCTTAAGGAACATGGTTTTCTCGTGGACATGGATGGTTGATTGGAAGTTGAAAACATACCAATGTCCATTCATCACCGTTTTTATATAAAATTTGGTCAATGTATAGAAAATCTAGCCTAGTCAGTGTTGTGTAAAACTAGGTAATAGTTTATGTTTAATATATAAACTAGTTGAATGAAGACCAAGGAGTAGATACATAATAATTATAAGTAGGAGAACATAAAAGAGAACATCATGAATGTTAAAGGTGATTTGCCATTTATTGGTGTCGCAAGTAGTATCTTAATCCATAGCAATAACATAATTTTATGCTCTACTGTTCTACAACTAATTATATATGTAGATTGATGAATAATTAATAATTAATTAGGTTAATGGAAATGAGCATCGAAATTTTGATTCACAGAATGTTGACAAAACTTGCTCAAGTAGATTTCCAATTTCCAAAAGCCACAAATTTTAAATCTTAGTTCATAGAGAACTAAATGTGATTAAAGGGTTTGTAAAGTGGTTTTCTAAATTTTTGCACCATTCCAATTTTCATTCCGACGTCTGTGGTTCTTGCAATTCCACTTAAACGTCACTAGAGGGGAGCTACCGGAAGCTATTATTGATGTTATTGCAGTTCTCCTCTAGTGATTTGAATGAAAATTGCAATGGTGCAAATTGAGGCTATCAATGTCCCCAATACACATGAAAAATTTAGAAAACCTCTTCACATTCCCTTTAAGTGTCAGTTACAACTTTAGAAACAAATCTTGCAATTAACTGGCTGGTCCAGAAGACAGTTATAAGTTTCATTTATTGTGACTTGATCCAATAAGATTTTATTTATTTATCTACCAAGGTTTTAGATTCACTTGCTACTGCCGAATTGAGAGCACAAATTAATTTTTCCAAAAGCAGACTTATTGAAAATGTAAATTCTCAAATTGACGAAGCTTTATATATGTTAAAATGGTTGCACTTTTATGACAACAGTACATTGCTCAAGGTAGTCATTGTTCCAGAAGAATTATATCTCAATTAACATATTATTAATTTTATATATCAGAGATTGCACTATATAAGTCAGTGAGCTGTATAATTTCACCTATCACAGATTTGAATTTGTATGTTCCATTGTTAGAACATTCAGGCTTTGACAAATTACTCAAAAACCCTTTACACTAACAACAAATGGTTTCAGTTTCAGAGTTTTTGAATTGATATTTGGATTGGAAACAATTATGTTACTCTTATGTAACATTCATACGTACTAAATGATTTGGCTCTTGCTCTCTCAAGAATCCCCAAAGATATAAATCCAGCGATCAACTTTGCATTAAGAATGGTATTGCTCAATGTAAAATTCCACACCTAAGCCTATTAAAACTCTTATTGTTAGATATTTTGAGGAATAAGGCCCAGAAACAGAAGATAAAATATGTGGCAGGTAGCTTTAATATAAGTAGACGTATATAAAGAAGAGATATGGTAATGACCAATGTATGTATGTGTCTGTCACACCTCACTACTTATATACCAATCTGTTCATTATACAAGGACAACTACTAACTTGATTGTATAGTAGGTAGTCACCAACCCTTCATTTCAACTTTCTTTTCTGAACCAAGTAAACATACCAGTTTCATTTAGGTCACTATATCTATATATTTTACATTGGATATCGACTTTATTTTAAAAAACATCAGGTAAGTTTACAGTACATGTATATTTCGTTGATTAATGAAGTAAGCTGAAGTATGCGTGTGAAAACTATACCTTTAACTAGCATCTTTTAGCTAATAGGTAGTACTGTAACAATCTACTAGCTATTTGCAGACTGTATACAGACAAATATTCAAAATGAAATTTTGTTCTTATTTGTCTTCAGGTACGCAGAATTTGGTGATTCTATGAATTACTTGTAAAATGGCCCATGTCTGGTACTGACATTGGCAACTGTTAAAGCAGACATCCAATGTGTTTATCATCTGTTTGAATTTTCATCAACTCACAAACAATTTATTCAAGGCCCTTAGCACTATTTAAGAGTCATCCCAATTTGTAAAGCCACACAGGTTGAATCTGCATGGGCATTAATGTCTTTTGAAAATTTTTCTTTTTTCTTTCCTGAATTATCCATATTCATGAATCAGGAAACTTTCACAAGCTGGCCAAGATCAAAACACTATTCTTTCAAGTTTCCATTGGTAGTTGAAGAAAAATCAGATGCCATATATTATGTGCAGAGCATTCAAATATTTTTCTACTAAAAAATTTAACTCTGAACATACTTCATTTATTTATCCCTACTCAAAACGAAATGTCAACTGGAAAATGTTAGAACATTTGTTTGGTTGGAATTTCAAATGATTGTACTGACCTTAATGAAATGTTGGTTTTTTATCATGGTGTGTTTACGTTACTGTAGATTTGTTTACTTGGTAGGGGGTCTACAAGATGCAACATCAGTTCATTAACATATAACTAAGTTTCTGCCGTAAGCAACAATTTGAAATAAATAAATTCACTTTTATGTGCAAAAGAAAATTTTTATGTAAAAATATGAATGGAGTTTTACAACCCTATTTTTCTGCATCAAATGGGCTCAGGTAACGACAGGTAACTCCATAAAGTGTGCAATGAGGGAAATTTTTCCAAAACAGCATCATCAGTATTCTCTTTTTCGATTTCCAACTGTCAAGAGATCTTTAACGTGCACATCCTGTGACACACGGTGCCTCGGTTTATTGTCACATCCAAACGACTAAGCATTTCCCCTCTGACTGGCATCCGAATGTTTTACCTATTTTTATACTTTGGTTAAACTCGAATTTGTATATTTTGTTAATATGGGCTATATGAAAAATTAATGAATGTATTAAGGCATGAAATATTGAAGTCATATAAGTTTCAACTCCCATTATTACATGCAGAGATGTAAATATGATATGAAGGTCAAGTGATATTATTATATCATTATTATTATTTATAACATAATTTTTATTAACTCATGTATGTTGCATAATGTACAATATCCATTATTATAATATAAACTGATTTTTAGTTACTGTACACTTTAACCAACTTGATATTTCAGATGAGTTCAGCAGGCACTATTCCAGTGTCACAACTGTTACAGTTAAAAGATGATGAGTTTGATACCACTATTAAAGATATGGGACAGAGGGTGAGTACATTTCACAATTAGGCTACAATATTTATTAAGGCCAGGAAATCTCAAGTCGATTGATTTTTTATTGTTAGGTGTTTACGTTTTTTCATTAGCCACATTAGATTTGACACACATCATTACAATGTTCAAATGCAATTTTATTTCACATGATGATTGATTGAGGATAGGAAATATTTCTGACAGACTTTGAACAAGTTTGATCTTCGGAAACAAAAATCATTGCAAAACACACAAAAGACTTTTTGTCACATAAAAAAAGCTTTTTAGGCCAAAAGTCTGTTGTATGTGTCAGGCATTTAGTTATATTTCCAACCTTGTCTTCAAAACTAAAAAAGTAAGCAATATATAGGAATCGTATGAATGTTGCCGAGCCAAAGGTTATGAAATGTTTATTTTTCCAAACCCAGGTTTATTCTGTTTTCTTTGTCTCTGCATCACCATACCATATAGGCCTATTTTATTCATATTTGATGTAAATAATTTAATACTAATACCCAATTTACATTAACATACTCTACAGTTGATGTTTATATAATACATTAGTAATGTCATTAGCATATATACCTGTAATTTACAATTCAAGTAAAACTAAACATGTATATATTTGTATAAACAAACAAGATAGGTATTTTATAATATTCAGGACTGTTAGTGTCACAAGTACATTTTTTACATCTCCTAAAATAGTCTGTAGTTTGTCATCTTTCTACATATTTATCATATCAATGTCATAGTTAAAATAATATGTTAGGTTGAAGTTTGAGGTGAATCAAGATGGTCAACAACCAGTAACTAGTAACTAACACAATAAAGATAAATATGTCGCTTTAAAGATTATTAAACCTGTACATTTCTTGATATTTGAAATGGATAATATCCATGAACTAGACTGTAAAAGTTTAGAGGTAAAGATAGAGCAATTCCTACACCTTAAGTAAAGATGACATGATGGATATGAAAGTTTTTAGTTGTAACTTATGGCAGAGTTACTGTAGTAAAAATCTTAACTCTTTAAACAATAGCACCTCTACCAGCCATCTTATTACATTCTATATTTTACTGAAGTAAAACTGTTACATAATGTCATCATCATATGCTCTAACCCTTTGAACACTGAGTGTGAATGGAATAAAACATCATATTATACCCAGACCTTCAAGTTATGAACTTACTGCAGCCACTAATATTGGATAGGTTAAGATATATTACCTGGAGGTGTATGAGGTTTATTGTATCCAAAGGGTTAATTTATTTCAGGAATAATAGTATCACAAATATATCATCATCATATAGCACATTGATTTACTATTCATACTATTATTATCAAGAAAATAGTAATAAGCTTGACATTTGCTCTATATAGTCTTGGTATAACTTTTATGAGTGCCAAAGCTCTAGTTGTCTTGCAACCTGTTGAATAACTTGACACATTCAACATGGAATAGATACTGGTAGTAATGAAGGGAACTAGTAAGAATTAGGACAAAGTCTTGTTGACATGTTATATTTATCAACATATATACAATTCATTAAGATAGGTCAAATTAGACTGAATCAACAACTTCATATGTACTTCAACCTGTACTTACCTTCTTCATCAGGCTGAAATTATAACTGTAAAGCATGGTTTAAGCGTAAAACCTCAATTTAAAGCCCAATTTACACCAGGTTGATATAAAGCATTCTGTTCTAGGTTCGGACCAGAACCTGATAAAATGTGCCCGTTTACGTTACAGTAGACTGGTGGTCTGAAAACGGTCTTTCAGTTGTAGGATGAATGAAAAGCATTCTTGGAATGGTCATTTGTAGAACTCTTCTTGAAGAAGTTAAAATTTACCCTTGTAGTAACCCTGATGTAATCGAAGACATCTGGATGTAATCAACAATTTCACTGAATAATGACGAAATTTTGCAGAAAAAGGTGAAGGTCACTTGTAAGGAATGCGCAGGAAATTGTTCTCGGAGCGGTTAGTGAACATTGTTCTGTTCTAAGAATCATTATGAGAACAGATAAATTGTGTAATGTAAAAGGGGTTTACGAGTCAACTGTTTTTTTTCAAGTTTGTGATATTTTCAATCACTTTAGTTCATGTCTTACAGATATATTTATATATTTATCCAGATATTTGAATCCCGTTGTATCTAAAATACTTCTGTATTGGACAGTTTACTTCATTGATTTAAAGAAAATAGTTATCGATAGTTTAAATATAAACAAGACCATGCACTGAACATCAGCCAAATGGTAGGCCAAATTTCTCTTGAGGATTAGTAGCAGTCAATCAGTCTTAATCAATGTTGGTCAAAAGCCTGTTCTCATTTTGACTGATCTTTATTCAGTTTAGAATTCAAACCCAATAGAAGGGTTTAGCCAAGGTAAGAAGATCCGTATGAATTGTGTTTTCTTTCCCAGACGTAATGGTATCGCGAGAAAAAGAGCATGTTTACTCTTTTGGAAACACCTGATGGTACTTCTCTCTGAAGAAGTCCACAACATACAACTTCTACTCTCGATTTTGCAATACTTTGGACGATTTTGATCGATGAAATTGTTTTGCTTGTACTGATTTTTTATGATCTGATTTATCAGATACCATCTCATTCTTTATTACCCTCATTCTCGCTGTATACTCACTATTATTTCATGATCTTGGCCAGTGCTCTTATAAGACTGTGTTCTCATCACATTCTAACACCATGATTATACTAGTGTTTGGTATGATCATTAACAGTAGATATGTTATCTAACTTATCTTGCATGGTCAAGCTTTATTTCTTTGATAGCATTGTGGTCAGGCTTGGTTGTGATTGGAGTAAGGAGGTTGTCAGACAAATGTTCAGACTTTTACTTGAATTTCAGTTATCATTCATTCTTTTTTCCTTTTCTTATTTGGGTTTTTGTACAAATACAAAATACCATGAAAGCACCCTATCTGTTAGATATCATCCCCTCTCACTCATACAGTTAGAAACAAATGTTCCGATTTATAAATTTCTAAAGTTTGGTATGATCTGAAAAATGCATGCCATGCAGTTAACAGTTACAGTCTTTGATATTTAATGGTGATGTTGTATTAAACTTTTTTAATATTGATTAAAAATACAAGTTGTGGCATAGTTGTGAATATTTTAAATGTTTATATAAAATGGCTGGTTTGACCAGAAACACAATCTAGATCAGCCTAAATAAATAAAGTCCTAATCTAAACATTAGTCACTTTTGTTAAGTTGTTCAAGTCTAGTTAAAGATGTGTGGGGTTGTCCAGGTAAACAAAGTTGTCAACTGTGACATAGTCTCCAATCATTACAAACAACTCAATGTCAGTGTAAACCAACTTATATTCCTAAAGGTTAACTCAAAGGTTACTAGTATTCCCTCACACTTTTCATAGATTAGCCAAATATTTTCTCGACCAATCACTGTTAAATTTTGTTGGGCAGTTCCCTAAATAAACTATACTATACGCCCACTATGTAATTTGGAAATACAACTCTTGCTGTATTATTAATTATACTTTGGCCACAGTCTTTGTCAGTTGTTTTTTTCTATGAAATTTAGTGTGTAAGGTTATATTGAGATCTTGGAAGGTTCGGATAAGGAACTACTTTCGCTTCCTTTTTTCTTTTCAGAATCTCATGGAAGCCATTACAGGACTGCAGAAAGAGATGGCCAAAGAACAGGAAAATTTTAACTCCATGTCAGAAGAGTTGAAAGGATTCAGGGATCGTAACTCTCGTCAATATAAACAAATATCAAAAGACTTGATGGCTTCACAAACTAGATTAACATCTCTTATGAATAAAAGCATGAAATGTTTTGCCCAGGTAAGAATGCCCCCCCATCCCTGATTCCAGCCACAATCATCCTGCTGAACATTCATTACCGTTTTGTTGATTTGGTTAATGACAAATGTTACTAAAACTAGGTGTAATCAATGTGGTAGAAATTAAAACCCATTTATGATATATTAGGGACATTATTGATATATTCAGGTATTTTCATTTTATCTGATTATCAAAATTTTCTCTGAAATTTGTCATTTTGATTCCAAAAATTTCTGTTAGTTATCGTAAATCAGAATCAGGTTATTTTGGATGCTTTGCCCTTGAGATCTTTAAACTAAAGATAAGTTATTGCCCTTGTGTTTCTGTGTTTGCATTTAACAAATTTGCTCCATAGAATTAACATTTTGTGTTTAGCTTACTAAAAGCTTGAAATGCCTTGTCAGCTTTTGCTATTGGTTAAATTTAAGATTTCCTGTAAGATATAAAATATTAAATGAAATATTCAAAATTTAAATCATTAACAAATGAGCCTTTGCAATACTTTACAAATATTAATAAATGATTATCATATTCTAATTACAATATATCTTCTCATGAATATTCATAAGGATATTACTTTATTGTTACTTATCTTGATATATATTATAACATTTCTCTTCATTTTATACCTGAGTCTGAATAATTGATTTCTTTATCATATATTATATCTGAATAATCTAATGCTTTTGACATTTTTGATTTGATAGTTCAGATTTATGAAAATTTGTTAAAGAAATATAGTCCTAGAGTACAGTCCTAGGTTACTGTATGATTATACAATTTAGTAGAAACAACCTGCATAAAGAGTCAAGTTTTCTCCTTGAGACAAGATGCATATCTGAATGAACGTGCCATATCAAATAACTATTCAAATAATTCAAATGAACCTTGCAACAGATTTATGTTCTACAAAGTGTTGTTGAAAGTTAGTTCTTGGACTATATAATTTAACTCAATTATTACTAAAGTACATAATGCAAAATTGGAAAGCTATCACATTTTCTTATAGATATGCTTCATATTGTAGATTTATTTCAAAATATTTCATTTTTGGTCTGATTCACATGAACAATATTTCACTTATCACAAACCAAAATCTTTATAGTCTAAAAGTAAAATTGACTTCAAAGTTATTGTCCATGACTGTGAAATGTCAGAAAATGTGATTTTCTAATCTCTTAAGAGTTGAATTAATTTTATAAAATGATTGTTTTCCTAATTAGAAAAAGGTGAGAAAAATTTACCATCACCCCTCAATAGAAATTGGGTACTTGTTTATTTTCATTTAGTAGAACAATTTATTTTACGTTGGTGATATGCTTTTCTTCTCAGATATCTATTATAATGCTGAGATTATGTCAAGATTCTGTTTGCATTGTGGACTTGGCATGTTTTGTTAATTTTCAATATTGTACCAATGATGGTTGGCTCTATATACAGAAAATGCCACAGATAGTCCAGAAGCGAAGCCCAAATTTTGTTTACTGTCCGAATTTTATTCTAGATGAGTGTATATATTCTTAAGTTACCCTCACACCTAGTGATCAACAGTTGCGTATGGTTACAAACAAGAATAGTGTTCATAAGTTTCAAACACATCCTCCTGCAACTGAGTTGAAAGTTGCGATCGAAACTCATGAACACTTTCATTTTTTTCAACCATATGCAACTGGTAATCGCGGTGTGAAGGCACCCATAATGAAAGTTGAAACTGACATTTTAAGATCATATCAAATGTCAGAATTCAGACATGAGTAATGAATGAGAAAAAACTTTATCAAAAGATCTGGATCTTAAATTATTAAAACAAATTTTTATTATGTCACTGAAATTCTGTTGACTTAAATAGCATAATCACAAAATGCCATTCTGGAAGTCAAACATCTTTTTTATATCTATTTTCTTTATACCTGATTTGGTACTATATTGTGTTTTTAGTTTGTTTTAGTTTGCTTTTTCTAATCCCTTACACGCTTTTTTCTGCTTTTTTGTTTCTGTAGCAAAATCTGCAGCAGGGCAAAGATGGCATCACTGTGAAAAGACGGAATTCGGCAAAAGGCACAAATCCAAATTCACCCACAAAGATTGTACAACGTAGCCAATCGATGTACATCCCACAAGAACCGAACCTCACCCTCAAAACAGTTGCACCACCTGAACCCAGCACAATCCGAACAGGATCGAATCAAAACATCAATAGAATATCTGTAGTCAATTCCAACCTGAAAAATACCCACAATCCAAGCAGTAAATCAACTAGTAATATTATTAGAGTTACAAACCCTAATAAACCCTTTAAAATTTCACACAATTTCTCCCCAGTGAGTTCCCCTTCAAACCCACTTTCACAAAATTTGAATAACTCTTCTGTAAAGAAGTCAATTTTGTTTAATTCAAAACCGGATGAAATGAAAACTTCAATAAGCATTGCATCTAAAAATGCTGTAATTACTTCCTCTCCTGCAAATTCTTTGAGTGAGCAATCGTATACACAGAATAATTCTAATAATGATGAAGCTGAAAATTTATCAAGTGTCAGAAGATTGGCTCAAAGCTTTGGAAATTCAAAACAACCCAATGCTCCCCCAAGACCAAATCGGTCCACAATTTTAAATCGTAATTTTTCAATATCAAATCAAAATTTATCTCACCCTCAAAAGGTAAATGGAGTTCAGAGTTCACTTCAAAATGGAGATATAAGCTCTCAACAACGAAAAGTAGTGCAGCAATCTGTGAACATTAGTGGGAAAAACAATATGGTTCAGTCACGACCAGTTTCTGTTTTGAATTCAAGGGACACAACTCCTCAGAGACAAAATGTTGAATTGATTCCCAAAGCTCATAGTGTACAGAATTTAACGTCAGATTCTAATGATAATGTGAAAACAACTTTAACTGTGTCTTTTGGCAACAAAAGTGAAAATAAATCAAAAGATGTGCCAAAAACTGATTTGAAAAACTCTGAAAATCGTCACAGTTGGTTTGGACAAAAAGGAGATTTGTTGAGTGAAATTGAATCTGGGAAGATTGGAAACAAATTGAAGCCAGTACCAAAAACAGAAACTAAAACAACCGTACCTGTATCAAATCAAACACAGAACAATACAACAGTGAATAGTTCAGTAACAATTAAAACAGTATCATCAGCAGGTAGGTGATATTTTATATAGAAAACAGTCATACATTATCAAACTGTCAGAGTAAACTTATATTAAAAATAATATCATATCCTTTTACAATACCCAGATCCATAACATATTTAACAAAAAGTAATAGATTTATACTCCATCAATTCTGAAACATTAGACAATATATCTTTCCTTAGAATACAATGAAACATTTTACCAATTTACACAATGAATAATCCTTAATATCAAAATAATCGCTAAACAGAAACTTAATATCATAAATTTACAGGTGCACATGCTTTAATATCACAATCTTCCCTATTAGTCATTGATGTAGAATATTAATACAACATAAAGTAACTGAATACTTGTCTAAGCAATCTATCTGGTAAAAACATACATCACATATAAATATGAAACATTTTGGTTTCTCTTAATTGATATGAAACATCAATATTTACATATTCATAGGTAAAAAGAAACCAGAGTAGAAAAGATGCAAACAATGACAAAATTACATTTCATTGCAAAAAGATTGATTTTCTGCTGCAAGTCATGTAGTGCTTGTTCAAATTCAATTTCATCAAGGAGGTATGTTTTCTATCAAAATTTAACATTACTATCTTAATTTTAATCAATTATATTCTCTGTGTAAAGCATGCATTAGCGTCTCAAACAGGATTCAATTTAGATTAAAAAATTTGATAAGCAATTTATCACACTAAATTTTGGTTTGAATTTGTTAAAAAGTAGTAAATTTACCTCAAGGTTATATAGTTGCCACATTTCTAGATTTTGTTACAAATTTCTCATGAATAACATACATATATATATATTTTTTAATTTTGGCTAATCATATGAAATATTGGATTGCAAAAGGGATCATTTTGAATTGTAAACGCATTAAAGTAAGTAGAATGATTCTCCAGACTTAAACACAGAATAATTAAAGATAGCTGACTGATAGATTAATAAAGGTGTGTATATATATATAAATAAAATAACTGTATAAAGTCAATAATGTAAGATACAAGTAAAGATGGTGTGATGTTTACCTGTTTATCAAGGTCAAGGTCTCTAGAATAATCAAATTATTTATTGTTATCCAATATCTTGACTTAATACTATTCATTGAATGTATTATAGGATTCTTATAATACCTTTATTGTTAAGCAAGATAACCTTATTCACCCATATCTTATCAAATACGAAATATCTATGTGATTATACATCACCATTTATTGAGAATTTTTTCATGAATCTTGAATTTTATTACAAGATTCTTTAGTTTCTTCAGGTTTTTTTTTTCTGTATTCCACATTAAATTTTGTTTTAGACAGACGAAAGCTATTCAGACCGAAGAACAATGTTAACATGTATGGACAAACTTGCAATGTAGTGATTAGAATTTGAAGTCTTGAGATCTTGTAAAGTCATATATTCTCTTAAGATGTCATTGGTCAACAATATTTCAAAATGATATCTATAAATACATTGGTAATATTATTGGAGTTGTATAAGGGACAAATGTGTTAAAAATGAATAAAATATCACTTTAACCATGGATAATATTACTGTTCATTAGTATACAAACATCATAGAGTAATATCTATAATTTGGTCATAAAATATCTTTTATAGTCTAATTAATGGTAATAAATGGTCATTTACTTCATTAATAGATAATAACTGAATAATGAGGTCATTTTTTGACCTTTGACATCATTAGTTCCGACTACTGACCACAACGGTACTCGGTTATTGTTTTCCTAGCATGTTAGTGAAGCAGAGTTCCTGGAAATTTCACATCTGGTGAACTAAAAGAATTGATTGTGGTGTGACTTTTAAACATTTGTGCTAATTCTTCGAGAATGTGACTGTGGCATTAAAATTACATTACAAAATTTATCAGTTCTGAGAACGGTTCTCAGAACGAAATGGATTATTTTCATTTATGTAAACGGTCGAGCGTTTTGAGAACCTTTCCAATTCTTGCCTACCTCGGGGAGGTGTTCTCATAACGGTTCTCAGAATGGACTTGATAAATTGGTTTAATGTAAACAGTAAACATTCCAAAAAAAGCTTTACTACGCATGCCTAACCAGCAACCATCACCTTTTACCTCGGAATTTCGTCATTATTCAGTGAAATTGTTGATTATACACCCATATGTCTTCGATTGCATTATGGTGACTTTTAACTTCTTCAGGAGGAGTTCCACAGATAACAGTGCCGAGACGCGTTTCATTTACACTACAACTGAAGAACTGTTCTCAGACCAATGGGCACATTTAATCGGGCCTGGTCCAGACAGAGAACAGATAAAGGGGATATCAGTTATATTTGTAAAGCATAATTGTGAAATCACATGCAAGGTGAAAAGGCATCTTAATCAAATTAGGTGCGATACAAGGCTGCTATCAAGGCTATCAAAATATCTTTGAACTGTTGGTTTTAAGTTTAATGATATAGAAATGCTATGAATATTTGTTATGATCTTTAATATGATTTATTAGAGAAATATTTTGACAATTAATTGTTGTTTATTTGTTTGGAACACAGCATTTATGGAAAAGATAACAAAGAAATATTGTAAACAGAGAGTGATGGTACAAACAGATGGCTGTAATTGTACCCTTTTCATCATAAACTGTTCATTTTCTCTTACAAATTGTAAGACTGTAAAATTACCATAATTAGTTCATGAAACATAAATGTACTAAAATAAATCTGAAATTTTTGAAAGGAAGCTTTATATTATCATATTTTGCTATCAGATAACTTAATCATATTGATCTATTCTAGTAGGAATGTTTGTAGGAAGCAAGTCAAACAATGTTATATTGACCAAGATTAAAACATAAACAAACTCTTGTGGGGTGTGAAAAATAATTCATCTTATCTTCTCTCCTGACTGTCTCTCATTTCTCATAAAAAATACTCACTTGTTTAGACAAGTGTTTTTGATCAGTTTATTATGGTACCGTTTTGATCCAAGATTTCCTTGTTCCGGTACTATTCAATTATTTACTAAATTATTTTCAAAAACAAAGTCATTAAATGAATATCAGCTTTTAAAAGGTCAAATATTTCAATGGCAACTGGTTTCTCATTTGGTTTCTTGTAGAATATAGTTTGATAATAAAAAACAGTATGATTTATTGTAGAAACTAGTTTGATTGTTTGTAGAAAATAGTTATTCAATATACAAAAATAGTTTGCTTACTAAAGAAACAAGATGGGTTCATTGCCAAAAATAGTTTGATTAGATGTTGAAAATAATTTGATTAGATGTTGAAAATAGTTTGATTAGATGTTGAAAAAGGTCAGATGTTGAAAATAGTTTGATATAGTTTGATTAGATGTTGAACATAGTATGGTTAAATGTAGAAAATTGACTTCATTAGCTTGTTGAAAAAAGATTGCCTTTTGACATATTAAGGTATCTTGTCCAAAACAATAACTTTTTGGTGACAGAAGTGAATTTAAAACAATTTTTCTCCATAATTCATATATTATAACAAAACTTTTACTCAAAGATCAATAAGAAATTGATTGACATATCTGATCAACACGACCTGGTAAAATATTGATCTGATGGACAGGACTGGACATTGATTTAAATACCATCACACTTCATACTAGACTATCAACATGGTGACATATACAGTAAGATTTTTAAAAACATCATTATATTTCTGTTTTATTACTCTGTAACATCATGTACTAATATTTAATCACATGATTGTATTTCTCAATATATTGTTAGTGTGGAAGTGTATTTTGTCAAAGAGAGGAATTAAGTGACAAGGATTTATGAAAATATCGTATTTGTTTAAGTCCTGTTCAATCTAAATAGATCAATATGGCCATTAGGTACACTAAATTTGACTTTCTCTGATTGACATGTGTTGAACTTTCAACTATATTGTTACCTGTGTTTTTATATAAGTATAATCTATTATAAATAAATGGTTATATATAGTTAATGGGTGTTATTCTTGTGTACAAATGTATAATTAAATCATATCTCTTGTTATTGTTGCTGGATATTTAATGTATATAGGAACATATTACTAAATGGTAATATTATTAGTATAAGTATATGCTTGAGTTAGAATATTGCCCCTGTCACCTGTCTTACCATATTAAAGGCATATTGTCCTCTATATAAGAATATAATTTTTTAATTGAAATATCCTTCAAGAGTGGTTGTAATTAAACACACTAGTGTTGAATTATGAAAATGAAATTCAACTATTGTTACTTTAAATTTTAATTCAAAATATATACGTGGAAATAATTCTATCACAAAGACTTGTTGTTGGAAATTTTGAATTGATTAAGAGACTGTATGCCTTTAAAAAAATAAATTGTTATCGGTTGATTGAGTATAAGTAATAAATCACATAGTGTGACTGACATTCTAAACATAACTTGACCTAGGCCAGTTGTCATTTCAATCACAATACTAGGTAGATATTAGTTTCTATTGATGCATTTTTATGGTCACATTGTTACCCCCTTTACACTGGTAGTATAGATATTTACATCATATTTCCAGAGAACACTGTCAACAGACTTGAAACTGAGCAATGTAGAGGAGCTCAAATTGATTTTATCTTAATCAAGCTTAATAAGAATTGAATCTCAGCCATATGTATCATTTTTCAGGATGGAAATCCACATCAAATTTATCTACAAATTAAATAGAAACATACCAAGCAAGTATCAATGGCAGTCTAAGTTTCAAGGCGGTTATCCACATCTTACAATGAAGACATTATATTTGTAATTGTGAAGTTGATAATGCCCTGAAATCTTAGCTGCTTTTCACCTTCACCATGATCTTTTAATTCAATTGCAGACATGAAGGACACCAGATTTTCATTCTGAAAAGGACAACATACATGAATCAGAAATTCGTCAAGGGTTATTTTAAATGTGATAAATATATTTTCATTGATGCAAGAGATATTGGTTTTCCAATGCTTGTATAGTTATTTATGTTATTAAAGTTATCCAGGTGTTATAATATGATTACAAGATATAATACAATAATCTCTGATAATGTACCTAATCCCAAGGTAAATGGTTCACTTTATTTACTGGTGTTTGTCACCAATAAAATTTTGTCAGATTATGGATAAAAAACAGAGTCACCAACAACAAAAATCACAAAATAATCTCGATTCACTTTTTATTCAGATTGAATGAATTTAAAGAAATTGCGCTTATGTTTCTAATGTAGATGATGGTCTTTTGGAAATGTGGTTGGTTAACTGAATTAGTCACTTGCAAGCTGCGGAAGATTATTAATTATTTTTCTTTTTCCTATATTATGAA